ATTTCCCAAACTCAAGAGGACACTCAAAGCGCAACGTTTTTCCACAATAGATGAGATAAAGGCGAAATCGCAGATTCAGCTCAAGACGATACCCAAAGAAGCGTTCCACCAGTGTTTCTCAAACTGGAAACTACGTTGTACATCATTGTATAATATCACACAGGGGGACTACTTTGAAGAAGACGGGATTGACATTGAAGATGAAATAAATACTTTCCGAGAAAGTAAAAAATCCTCGCTACTTTTTGATCAAACTTCGTATGTTATCAAATCTTCGATTTTCCGCAACCGAGGCAACGTTCGCTCGAGAAAAACAAATGGAATCCGCCATTTTATTAGATTAGAAAGGCAAAGCGTGCGTGCAGAATAAAGCACCGCTCGCGTGCGCGCGTCTCGAGAGGGCCGCGAACTTCGTCCTCCCGATGTTCGCGTTCGCAGCGGCGGAAGGCGCGTGCGCGCGCGCGCGCGCGCGCGCGCCAGTGAATGGCAAACGTTTACGGGGTCAATGGCGCGTAGAAACGGCGTAGCACCGTAAACAGATTCGTATTCTTAGACCGAGATTTTAGGGGTCAGCCACCATACGCCGTGAGACCATTAACGATGATATAAAACTGTCTCGGCAACGCTCTCGCGAGCAAACGATGTTCCGCAATTTCCGCGCGCGCGCTGCTCGCTCGGCAGCGAACGCCTGCCGACTCTGGCGAATTCTGAAAATAGCGGCTGTCTTTCCGATCGGTTCCGTCGGGATTTCATCTCCGACGTGGGCATCGCCTTGCCAGTGACACGACGACTACGTCTTCCCTCGCCTCGCTTTACCGTCCGACAGGGTGCGACTTTTTCCACTTGAGTCGAGCGCGAGTAGCGACGGGACCGACGACTCGGTACGGTGCAGTGGGCGATGAAAGCGTGCCTTTTAACAGTCGAAAGTAAAAGAATGTGATAAAAGAAGCACGCAGGAATAATAATAAATCGTGTATTAAATGTGATGGACGTTCCAAACTTGTCGCGCGCCAGTGGGAGTTACCGTCGCAGGCCGTTTGGTTTCTAACGACATTCGGAAACGTTTATATAATTCTTTTGTGTTATAAAAAGAGAGAGAGAGAGGGAGAGAGAGGCGTAAACGATTAAATTTCCCACATAATTTCTCCAATGTCCGCGAGATCGCTGCTAATTACTCGCGCTCGCCGCGATCTGCAAGTGGATACGCAAGTCGCACTCGTACGCACGCACGCACGCACGCACACATTCGTACGACGCGAGGCGCGACCGCGAAGAAATCCCGAAGCGAAAGTGAGAACGGTGTCTTCGCCGTCCGTCATATACACTGCAGCCAGCTGGTGCAGCGCGGCGCGTTCTAGTGCACGAGCGTCCCTCGCGCGCTGCCAGTGAAAACCGCACCGGTGCGATAGAGCCGGTGGAATGGAACGCGAGGGAAATGAGGAAAGTCGGGCACCGATGAAAGTGAGAGGATGCCGGCTACAGGGTGTCTCAGGCCGGCTTATTCCGCAGTCGACCGCGAGAGAAAGGGGTTCGCCTCTAATGGAGGCGACGCGGTCGCTCCGCTCGCGGTCGATGGAAAACGAAAAGGCGCAAAACGAGCCGCGACGGCGGCTGACGGATCGCGGGCTGCTTTCGGAGCTCGCTTTGCATCGTCGGATACACGACACCGCCGAAAGTCACACGGCGAGGAAAGAGGAGAGGCAGAGAACAGGGGAGGTGAAAACACGCCGGCTCTCGCGGCTCGGGAAACGCCGAGGAGGAATTTCGCACTCGCGAGAGGTCTCGCGGCGGGAAAAATCGATGGGATGCGAATCGATCTGCCTCGGCGACTCGTTTAACCCTTTAACGCCTGCTACTGTAGGTAATTACAGTTACCAGAAACGCATTTAAGAATCCATAACTTAGTCAAGAGAGGAGATATTTTCGTTTACTTTGCATCTGCATTGTAAAGGTGAATTCTTCTTCTAAAAAATAGTATATAGATTGTATGTAGATTCGGTTTAGTCTGTTTTTAGCTCAGTTTTAATGATTACAGGTTTCGTCAAATTCCAAGTAAGCATAGTTAGCATTATTACTGACTAGGTCTAGAAGTGCGCTATAAAATAGATTGGTATCTGTTGTAATTTTATACATTTGGAAACTTTCTCAGATGCAAAGTGTGAAATTAAAAGAATACAGAAATTCAAAATGGCGAATCGAATATGGTGGACACGAAAATCAAGAAATCAAGCTATTTTCGTGAAACCTGGTGACCTACAGTTTTTTATGCGACGAAAAATGAAGGGACGATTGACTATCTAAATGGTGATCTATAAGATATTATTAGAACTAAAAAAAAATTTAGCCAATCAGGCGTATTTTTCACTTCTGGGAGTAGTTTCTGCTTGGAAAGGTAGCTTTTCGTAGATATAAAATTCTGATATTATTTTTGGGTTATCACTACTTATAGTCTCAGTTCAAAAAAACTCAAATTTTATTCTTAAAACACTTATAAAAAAGTCGGGCGTTAAAGGGTTAACCTGCCAAGTGTGCTTCGGCTCTTCGGACCCGAGCATCGTGAAGTAGGGTTGCCAGATGGCCGGGATTTCCGGGAATGTCCTGGAATTCTTAAACTTGTCCCGTGTCCAGGAATTTAATTCCCCGCTGTCCCGGAAAATCAGAATTTCAACAAAATCATAATCATAATATTCATGTTTCTAAGTGGCACCAGAGAGAAACCTGAGAGCGGTCACCGCGATTTATAGGGTCGAATTTTTCGACGCGCCACCTAAGAAAATCGATGTCAACTAAGCCATTCATGTGATAAAAAATACAATCGCACTGTTTATGTCCAAACATCTCTCTGTTGGTACCTAATTCATGCATTTGTTTGTTGCGAGTGCACATCTCTTAGCCTCGTCTTATCCTCCCTCTATCTCTCAAATTTAACTAAAACTTTTTCTAACAACCTATTTTGCAACTGTCGCCTAAAAAGTGTCCCGGAAATAGTCATTTTGCATCTGCCACACGGGAAATAAAGATTTGTTATAATATATGGACAGCTTAAAATATATCAGCTGCGAGAGTAAATTTGCTTGCTTTTACAGCAACAGATTTAATTGTGATGGCTAAAAGATTTGCCAATATCATACATTAGTAAATTTTTTGGTTATCATAACTAAATCCTTTGCCGTGAAAGCAAGCAAATTTGCTTCCGTAGCTGATATTTTAGTTGTCCGTATATTAGCAAATCTTTTTTTCCGTACAATCCTATCCTGAAGAGATTCGCGAGCATGGCGCAGCTTTCCTCGCTGCGATCACACCGTATTCGCCTCTGCATATCGTAATAGACACATTTTCTTGATACGGCGTAGCTTCCTTTCATGTTTCCTTTCGCTTTTCTTCTCGCCTTCGGGACGTAGCGCGCTTCGATCGGGCCGGGCTGCCCGGAAGTGTCATAATGCGATCGTTCCGAACGCGTTACGTTGTAACGCGCCGACTAACTCTTCACAACACGATCCGACCGCGTGTGCGCGGCCGTAAAGCACATTTTACCGCAAGCTCACTGCCGTCATTATTTATTCGGTATTTTACAAACAAATAATACCGGGCGTAGCAAAGGAGCAGGAGGCGGAGGCGCTGGGGCAAAGGGAGAAGAAACGGATGACCGGTTCTCGTAAACATTCTCGGCTGGCTAGAGATGATGAAGCAATCGCGCGCGCGCGCGCCACTGCCGGATGCGAGCGAAGCTCGGAATTCCCGTCGCCCGTGAAACAAAGCGAGATTTTAGGGAAGCCGGCCTGGCTGCGGCCGATCCCTGCGTGACTGCAGTTATAAATAATGCGGCGGGACACGCATAAGCCGGGAATCCAGCGACGCGCGGACTCGTCGGCCGGCGCGCTTTTTCGCGACTCGTTCGGCTCCGCGCGATTCTCCTTGTCGAACGATGGAGGAGCGGGATTCGCCGGCGAGTCTGCCGCGAAAGTCCTCGCGGAGGCGACAAGGAACGCGTGGAAAGAAGACACTTTTACCCTGTATAGAAAATGTTTTAGAATCTGTTTGGGTTCTATCCCGATTTCCCGAAATATGTTTGGGTTCTAACTGGGAAATCCATACAGCTTCTAGTTAGAAGTGTAATGTTTTAAAAATGCGATTCTAAATGGGAAACACAAACAGATTCTGTTTGGTCGCTCCCAACGTTTTCCTAAAAATGTTTCTGGTTTTCATTTTACATTCTATGATAGAAGAATGTACAATACCTTAAATATTTACATTTTACATATATATGCAGACACACATATACTTGTAAAATGTAAATATATAAAGCATAAGTACTTGAAGCAATATATTACACATGTACGAATTAATCAAATTATCTCCAAATATAAAAATATATTCTATACATTGTATAAAACAAAAATGTATTATATTACGTCCGAATACGGAACAATTTAAGGCAAAAAAAAACATTTGTATTATCCCTATTGCATTAATAAAAAAAGGTTGGAATTTACACGTTATTACCGTTTCGATTCTGGATAGAGAACCCATTTTTGGGACAAATTTGGGTATTCTAGTTGGAATCTAAACTGTATCTGGGAAAATCCTGAGAAATTTCTATACGGGGTTGTAGGAAAATTCGAAATTGTCTGAGATTCTCAGATTTTTTCTTTAGGCGAATATCCGTTGAAGGTGTCTCTCGCTTGAGACTGTTGTTTTTTATTCAAGGAGGAATTTCGACGACGTACGATTTTCGTTGCGAGACGCGATCCTGTGGAGTTTGCGGACTCTGCTGCCGCGCGAAGGGGGGCGAACGTGGAGAGAAGAGAAAATCCTTACGTTCTAAGCATATTCTAATCCTCTCGACGAATATTTGCCAAAAGTGGGCTTTGGAATTCCTGTTTTTTACCCTGTGGAATTTCGACTCCTTGAGATCGGCACGCTCGTCCTTCTCGCATTGCGCGCGTGTGCATCGCCGATTTCTCTGCACCTGTTGACGATCCGCCTTGCTCTGCTTGCAGATTGACCATACGAATGTGAGTCTCGCGGGCGGCCAGCGAGTTCCTCCGACGAGGGCTAGGAATCCGGGCTAGTGGCATTCGCAAAGGTCCGCGTAGGGCGGACAGGAAGAAAGGAAGGAAGGAAGGAAGGAAGGAAGGAAGGAAGGAAGGCAGGAGAGGGCGAGCAAGAAGCGCGATAGAAGATCGCGTCGCGAGCCAGGTTGAAATCGCGGCGGAATCATGGCGGGCGAGGACACGCAGATCCTGTCGAACGGCAACGTCGAGGCGCTCACGATCATTCCGCCGAAGATGGCGAACGGAAATGGACTGATCTGCGGCAAGCAGCACAACAACAACGGCTCCATACCGAACGGGAACCTGCACGGGATCGGCGGCACGGAAAACGGCAAGCTGATCGTGCCGGACGAGAAGTCGAGCAGTCTTCACACGGAGTTCGACGACGCCGACGTGTCCTGCGGATGGGGTCCCTGCAGGCCCCACTGGCTGCAGTATTTCGCCACCAAGCAGGCCTTCCTCGTGACCTTCTGCATCACCTGGGTAAGCGTATTCGAACGTCTCCCCAATTTTGCGAACCCCTTTAGAGAAATGACTTTTCGCTTCCTCGGTGAATCTTTCGAACCTTGCTCGAATTAACGCGACAACGAACGAGCCAAACGCACTTCTGGCTCTTGCCAGTCAGATTCGGCTGTATGAACTCAGGAATGCTGTTCCCTTCGAAGCGCGCTCGGCTCGTTCGTCGTCGCGTTAATTCGCGGGCCAAACCTTCTCCTCCGTGCGGAGCAAGAATAATGTTACCACTGAATGAGGAAGCAACGAAAGACAAAACGGTGTCAGAATCGCGAAGGATAACGCGCCGAGAAGTGGCGATCTATACTTATTGGCTAAGAGCGCGGTAGTAACTCGCGAGTTCGATGCGAGTATCCTTGATTCCTCGGAACCCCCCTCCCCTCGAATCGCCTCTTTTGCCGCCCCTCCGACGGAGCGTTAGTGTGTGTGTGTGTGTGTGAGTGTAACGATGACATCTTTCTCTGTCATGTCGATGCGCAGGTGCTTCAAGGCATGTACTATACGTACTTCGTGTCCGTCATCACGACAATAGAGAAACTCTTCCAAATCCAGTCGAAGACGACGGGCATCATCATGTCGGCCACGGAGATCGGCCAGATCGGCTCCTCCCTGCTGCTGACGTACTACGGCGGCCAAGGTCACCGGCCCAAGTGGATAGCCTGGGGCATGATCCTCTTCGCTGTGAGCTCGTTCACCTGCTCGATACCCCATTTTATTTTCGGCGAACAGCTGATTCACCAGAACGAAATGCTGTTCAACGGTGAGAGCGGACCCAACAATACCCACCCGATACCGGCGAACCTCTGCAAGTTCCAGGAAAGGTCGGAGAACAGCACGTTGGACGGGTGAGTAGTCGGCTATTGCCCCGGCTTCTTCGGATTATCCGCCTCCGCCTTGCTCGATTCTCTCGGCTAGGTTCCGAGCTCTTGCTCGAATTCTTGTTCGCGGGCGCGCGCGATGCTCGGCGATCCGTCATAACGTAGAGAGAAAGAGAAATGCCTCGGTCTGCGGCCTTTGGACCCGCGCGATTAAATAGTAGCCGAGCCGACCCGACGGCGGTGAATCACCGGGGAAAGAACAAATAAATCGCGCTTACCTGCCAGAGCGTGGAATTAAATCCCACGGTGTTATCGGCGATCGCCGAACTCGCCGGGCCGATCCGTTTGCATTATATTGTCAGGCTCGAGCGGTACGTATTGTATCGTACGATTGAATCTTTCATTCCCTCGCATCGAAATCGTGAAATCGTGACGAAACGCATGAGAAACACGTGACTTTTGTGTCTCGCTCCATATTCCCCGTGAGAGATCAGCGAAGGTGCTGACGATCGCTGGCGAAGTGAATCCCCGCAGTCGCGAATTCTATCAATTCCGGATGAAAGCTCGTTCATTGTCGCGTTGAATGGACCGATCGCTTCCTCCTCTGTCCGCGACTTAATAAAATTTGCAGAAAGCAAAGCAGAAAGCGGGAGAAAGAGAGAGAGAGAGAGAGAGAGAGAGAGAGAGAGAGAGAGAGAGAGAGAGAGAGAGAGACAGAGGAAGAAAGAGAAGCCCGAGCCCTCGAAACTGAATTCGCTTCATGACAAACGGGAATTCTGCTTATCTCGGCCAAACCGCTTTTGGCTCCTTCATCGTCGCGTTAATTTAAGCGATCTTTTCTCTCGTACCTGGTCTAACTACCGACTCGATTGGCGTCACTAATAGCGGATAGCGGACCAACGAATTCGCAAATTACACGCGTCGCGGCGTCGCACACCGGTCCCCCGGGAGATACGTTGTTTCAAAAGTCTGTACAAATCTCAAATCTCAATGAATCTCTTCAACCATTTTCTTTTTAAACGTTCATCAGTGAATTTGTAACAAATTACACGAGCTCAATTTTCGATTAGACATTCGAGAAATTGTTTGTCTAATCAAAAGCAAAAATTTCAACCAAATGAAAAATCAAAATGGCGGACTAAGATGGTAGACACAAAATATCAAAATTTGATAAATTTGCAAAAAAGTACGTATAAGGAGGTTCTTGAGATCGCTGAGAACTAATATGCCCTTCGTTTTTTTTACAATCGCAATGAAAAAATCATTGTACAATTACATTTTTCAATTAATTGTCAAGTCAAGGCGAGATCTCCAGATCCAGCCAGTCAAGGCATCGAAAATCGAGCTCGTGTAATTTATTACAGATTCACTGATGAACGTTTAAAAGGAAAATACTTGAAGAGATTCATTGAGATTTGAGATTTGTACAGACTTTTGAAACATAACGTATCTCCCGGGGGGGGAGGGGGGACCAGTGTGCGTCGGGGAAACTCTCGCGGGGTTGAACGGGTGAGGCGGTTCGGCCGCGACGGAACTGTTTCTCTCATGACGATGATCGAGCTCCCTTATTTTTCGAGGAGGCAGGAAGAGGAGAAGGGCTTAGCTTCTCCCTTTGTCCGTCTTTGAACGGCGATCGACGTTACATAATGCGAGAGCGCTGTCCATCGCCGGGCGCAATGAAATTCCGCGGCCGGCGCGGCGCGGAATGCTGGAACTGATCCGCACAATTTAACGCGGTAATAAAACGGAGCAATGTCGATTACGTTTTCTCGGTATCTCGCGCACGCGCGCTCATTGTTGCGTCGGTTGTTGCGCCGCCATGCGTGTGTGCAGCTGCGCTTATCGTCGCCCTCGCGAAAAACGAGGCGCGTTCGCGCGCGCTGTTTGCTGCCTCGGCCGTCTCGTGGCACGTGGGTGTCGGTTTCCTGGCTCGGGGTTACCGGAAGTGCTTGATTACACTCCAGAGTGGAGCGGGACAATAGTTATCGGCGAGCTATCCGGGCGAATTTCGGAGACGCGGGCGTTCCGGCGCGAGTTGACTCGCATGTATAATTAATCGCGCCCGCCGAGCTCCGGCGACGAGCTTTGAGCGCGGACGACATGCAAATGCGCGATCATGCGAAGCTGAGCTCTACGGGAATCTCAGTGATTCTCGGGGAATAATTATCGCCGCTTCTCTCCTCGCGCTCGCGAAGATCCTGTCGGCGCCGAAATCTCTCCCCCTGCCGCTACCAGCGGCCACACCTGTGTGACAAACCGAGTCTGAAATACGGCGACGGACAGGCTCTTACGATAGAAACGAATGCAATAAAAATACGAGAAGAATCACTCTCGAGTTTACGCAACGACACGTTTTATATTCTCCCGGCGATCGTTGAATAAAATTGTCGGAGACTTGGACAGACATTTCGACCGTGCATAATTCGCCGGTATTTGCATACTTTTTAGAGAGTACTTTTTCAAAAACCTCGACCTCGATCGCTTATCGGCAGAAATAGGTCGTCGGTAGTTCCGATATCAACGGCCCACGGGCCGTCGTTGTATCCTGCGGATAACTTTGCATTTCCCCGAGTTCCCCCTCCCCCCTCCCCCGTCGAGGATTAAATGACGCTCGCGTTAACGAACGTTCCATGGGTGATCCACGGCGGAGTGGACGCGCACCGCTTTATTGATTTGATCTCCACGTCCGTTTTCTGTTCGCCCGTTCTCGCGAAGGTGGATCCCGGCGATGACCGCGCCGCAGACCAACTCGGTGAACTACTGCGAGGGCGACTTCCTCACGGAGCAGAGGATACAGGGCAAGATCACCACGGTGGTGCTCGCGATATTTTTCGTATCGCTGCTCGGCGTGGGGATGGGCCAAACGGCGGTGTACACCCTCGGTATACCGTATATCGACGATAACGTCGCCAGCAGGGAGAGCCCCTTGTACTTTGGTAAGTCTTTTCATCCCCCCGTAGATCGCTATCCTCGTCCTTCCCCGTATATTTTCCATCCTGCAATTCCATCCCTGTACGCGCATGCTTCTTCCATACGCATTTTTCTACATGCGCTCCTTCTGTATAAATCGGATACCTATTCGTGTGTTATTTGAAGGGGAATTCTGAGGGATCCTCATTTTCGTGACGTTCAGCTTCGAGTATTTTTTCGTGATCGCCTCAAAGGCGAACCGTCGCCTTCGGGAACGCGAATTACAGAGTTCTCCGACGGTTTTCATTTTTTGCGACAGCGATCACCATCGGAGTACGGATCCTCGGTCCGGCGTTGGGATTTATCCTGGGTTCCATGTGCACCATGCTCTACGCTAACCTGTCCGTGAATCCGCCGATCACGCCGATGGATCCTCGATGGGTCGGCGCTTGGTGGCTCGGTAAGTAAGCTTCAGCACGTTACGTTACTTATTGGAAAGGATGCGACACGACGAACACCGAAGTGACTTCCTTCCTTCCGACCGAAATGAAGAAGGAATCGATTCGACAACAGCAATAGTGCCACCCGCCCCCCTCTCTCGTTTGCTCCCCCCTCTCGCCCTCTCTCTCTCTCTCCCTCTCTCTCCCTCTCTTCCTCTCTCCCTCTCTCCCTCTCTCTCTCTCTCCCTCCCCCCTCTCTCTCCCCCTCCCTCTCTCCCCCTCCCTCCCCCCTCTCTCTCTCTCTCTCTCTCTCTCTCTCTCTCTCTCTCTTTTGACTCGATTATTTCGGAAAAAAGCACTCCGACCGCTTCGCGGAGCGTGCAGTATAATCAACTTATCGGGAATTTTAATAAAACGCCGAATCTTGCAGAGTTGAGGCAAGAAGAGAAGGAGAAAAAAATAGGAAGAAAAAGCAAGTCCTGAGGCTGAAAGTCGCTCGACCTTCGTCGTTCTTGAGTGCGCATTTAGCCACTGTGCGCATATAGACAAATCTATCCGCATTCGTCACGAGAGAGCGTACGTGCTATTAGCGGTGCTTCGACTGGTTTCTCGCGCTTGTCGCCGCAACGAGAGAGAGAGAGAGAGAGAGAGAGAGAGAGAGAGAGAGAGAGAGAGAGAGAGAGAGAGAAAGAGAGAGAAAGAGAGAGAGAGAGTCGGCGACGTAAAAATAATTTCTTAGACGTGACAACGGCGGGCGGCCGTAGGTCGAGTTCAGTAAGCCGGTCTCAGACACGAAAATACACCCCCCGTTACTTCCGCCGAGGAAAGTCTCTCTCTCTCTCTCTCTCTCTCTCTCTCTCTCTCTCTCTCTCTCTCTCTCGAGCGTTTCCGCTCGTTCGCGTTGCTGCTCGTCGCGGCTCGATAAAAATGCTGAACGCACGCAGATTTAAATAACGTTAACGATAATAATAATAATAACAATAATAATACGCGTATGAGAGTACACTTATTTTTATCATAAAAATTACGTGTTACGCGTGTGCCTAATTTGATTACATATTTTTGATCCCCCTCTAATGATCTAATAATCAAACAATTATCCGTGGGAAGGAAGAGTTTTCGCACTTTCCGTCGACGTGATTTTGCTTTGTCATGGACCTGTTTCCAATCTCCTGCCCGGTCTTGTTCCAGGTCTGGTGCTAATATCGGCGATGCTGATGCTGGTCAGTATAGGAATGTTCGCGTTCCCGACGCGGTTGCCCAAGAGCAGAACACCGCCGAGACGAGCGGACGCTCCAAAGCCTAGTCTCCGAGGTAAGTCCTGATTTATCCTGCGAGCTCTGATCGCGCGCTCGTCAGCGCGAGAGCCGGCGTTTCGGACTTGCCGCGCGCCATCGGATCGCGCGCCGACTTAATCTGTTTTTATGGCTCGCCGTAAGCTGCTTTGTGGCACAGCCATGTCTCTCTCCTCTCCTCTCTCCTCCCCCCCTCTCTGTCTCTCTCTCTCTCGTTCCCGGTCGCTTTCGCTCTCCTTCGTCCTCCATCTCTATCTCGCGACTCCCCGGGTGAACTCTCTCCTCTCTATCCTCTCTCTCTCTCTCTCTCGCTCTCTATCCTCTCTCTCTCTCTCTCTCTCTCTCTCTCTCTCTCTCTCTCGCCGAGGACTCGTCTCCTCGCGAGGAATAAAAAGGATACGGTCGCTGCCGCGACAGCGGTGTGATATCGGTTTATTCTCGTCTCGCGGTTCCGCCGCGAGTAACGCGCGCGTAAATTTAGCCGGCGCGTCGTTCGCGGCCGCGAATCTTTCTTTCTGCACGATTCGCGCGCTCGCTCTACGATTATGATATCCCACGCCCGATGACGCACTCGATACACACTGCCGCGGCGCGGCAACTTACGGCGCGGATAAACGCGCCGCGCGCGTGATAACGCCGTGTCGCCAACGTCGGCGTCGTCGGCACGGCGAGGACGCGCTGATAAATCGTGCGCGAAAATCAAGAGGCGCAATAACCGGCACATCCGCGGGATCCGATCCCGCGATAATGGTCGTTGCAATTGCGCGATCGCCGGCTCGCAAACGACCGGCAGATAACGTCAATGGTTTACATCGCGCGCGCGCGCGCGCGCGCGACGAAATTCAGCGCGCGGCCACTTGCCGCGGCGGAATCGAAGGCTAACGAGAATGCAAATAGAAGTCGGAGACAATGTACTCTTCGTAAGTTAATCGGGAGCTCACGACGAGCGATTTCGCCTACGGCCCGCGGATAATGCGCGTCCTCTTATACGCATATTTATGTTGCGCATCAAGGCGACGGCGCAGCGCCGGCCTTAGCAGATTCCGGTGCCCCGGCCGTGCCGACGCTTCGCGCCTTTGCCTCGTGTCGTGTTCTTCCGTCTCGGTCTCTTCCGTTTTATTCCGTTGACTCGCTATGTGCGGTGATCATCAAAAAGGGAAAAAGGAAAACCCTCGATTATCACGCGGATGCGCGTCGCGATGGAAATATGAGACGTCGGTGAAAATTGAGCGGGAAGGTTTACGCGCACGGATGGAATTCTGATGGTTTGTTAAATCGCGAAAGATTTGTCGCTAGAATATAAAGTGGTTTGATTACGAAGGATTGATCATCTTCACGAATCAAACGAACAACATCGACTCGGTGTCCTTTCGGATATCTAACGAGAACTCGAGCAAAACGAACGGTTCGCGATCTCTCTTAATAAAAATTACCCCGATGCGTCTATTCATATTTTTTGCATTTCATGTTCTTAAAGGGCGTTGAATATATAGAATTAAAGTGAATAGATAAATATTTTTTCAAAAATTACCTATTACCTTGTCCTAACTTGTAGAAACAGATCGCGCTGTGATTGTAGTTGCGGTAGTCGCGGCGTTAACGCGCTGAAAGATCCCGCGAGAATTCGACGGAAAAACGACAGATCTTTGATACGCACCTGACGAAACAACAGAGTCCGACAAGCTTTCGCGCTTAACGCTCGTCCACCCCCGACGACGGGGGTGAATCGCACAGACGCGTGTCGACGGAGTTTCCGATGTCGGTCTCGCCGGCTGGTCGCGCGGTCGCGTATAATGTATGCGGCCGGCTGTATCATCGGTATGCGCGTAAAAGGAGGAATAAACCGATCGGATGATCTTTCAAGTATAAGCCCCCGCGCTCCAAGGTCAATGGCGAATTTCGGTGGCGCGGCGCCGTTGCTCGCTATATAAAACGCGCACCGTCAGTGCGTGCGATCGGGGGAAGTGCCAGCAGCAGATTCTTTCTGCTTCTCTCTCTTTTTCCCTCCCTCCCTCCCTCTCTCTCTCTCTCTCTCTCTGTCGCTCTCTGTCGCTCTCCCTCGTCGCAATTTACAGGTTTCGGCGAGCCTGTAAAAAAGTTAGCCGCGCGCTCGCTAGCGCGCGATTAGGCTGTCCGCGCGGATAAAGAGACGCAGAACCGCCGGCTCGAACGAGTCTCGCGGACTCGGCAACCGTGAACAATCCGGTCTCGTTCTTGATTAGATTTTTGCGTGTTCGCGTCGTGTTGGCTCTTCGTTCTTTTTTTTTTTTTCCTCGTGTCTCTCCTCTTCTCGTTGTTCGCTTTTTTGCTCCGTCGCGTCGTCGTTTCGTCGACGTCGCTGCCGTTTCGAGCCGAGCCGACTCCGAGCTGCTTCCGAGCTGCTGAAAGTCGCCTCTTTGCAGACGGTGTTTCATGCTTCGTTTGCGATCCGATCACCTTGACCCGATTATCTCTTCTCTGATTTCTCCCGGCCTACCGGCCCGAGCTGAATCAACGGGGCGAGGGGGGGGGGGATTTAACACGTTGTAAAATTAACACGTCGAGCGCGCTCGCGCGTCAATCGGAGTGCATCATTCGTCTTTCCGCCGATGTATAAAGTAGTCGCGCTAATAAGGCAGCGCTTGCGGATAATCGCGAATTATGTAAGCGGTGCGTCGAACGACACACGCGCGCTATCTCGCACACACAGCTTTCGCGGCTTGTTACTCGCGCGCTGCGTGAATTCTCACTCTCTATGAGCTTCGCTCACACACGTACGCGCCGCGCAGACCTTCGAAATTATTTATTACCGCGGCGATAACGCATTGCACCAGGAGCTGCATTCTGGACTTGTATCGAACGCTAAATATGCTAATATGATTCCCGTGGCTGAGACAATGTTGCACGCGACGTCTGAGAAAAGTGGAACTTGAAGTGTCAGACGGTCGGTGGTCGTTCCGAAGAGAACGATTTCAGAGAGTGTCGCGGCAAATTTTTCAAATCTTCTTTTCCCTCGTTTTTTTTTTACAATTAAATTATAACCAAAACCTCCTTTTATAATGGAGATATTTCAAATCTCTCAAACCAGGCTAATATGGGCTGTACAGTCGATATCCGGTCGCTGGGGTTATTTCGGCACGGAGTCTCTCCCATGACCGGAGATTTCTTCTTCCTCCTCTCTTTTGTGCGAAAGGACACACGCGCACGCAACGGAGAGGCCGCTGCGTAGAACGTGACTCTAATTTCCACGCGATGCTGCGCGATCGCGCATAAATCCGTCGCCGACGTGCGGCTCGTTCCGACGCCCGAAAGCCCCTGAAACCGCTCGGATGCTCCTTTAACGGATCCTCGGGCGCGCGCGCGCTCTCTCCCTCGTGAGGAAGAGGATGATGCGCTCACGCGTGTGCATACGCACGTGCATGCGTGAATGCGCCCGCGCGGACGCATGAGAGCGTCGCTCGCACGCCGCCGCTCGCTCTCTCTCTCTTTCTCTCTCTCTCTCTCTCTTTCTCTCTCTCTCTCTCTCTCTCTCTCTCTCCGTGTGTGCGTTAATAATAATGACTGACCGACTCGTGCACGAGGTGGGGCAAGTTCACGGTCACGCGTCGTGCATAGAGGCGGCGGTGGACACGCACGCGTGTACGTGGCGCGCGTGTACGCACATAGCTACATGCGTGTGTCTCTCACTCCGCTTCCTTTCCTTCTCCTTCCTTTTTCCTTTTGAATTTGTTTTTTCTTTTCGTACTCTCCGCCTCTCCCTCTGTGTCTCTATCTCCCTTCTCCTTGTCTTTCTCTCTCTCTCTCTCTCTCCCCCTCTCCCCCCTCTCTCTCTCTCTCTCCCTCTCTCTCTCTCTCTCTCTCTCTCTCTCCCTCTCTCGGTTGGCCTATACACGCGCCCGCTCTACGACCCGCATTACCAAACCATCGCGCTTAATTCGGCGAGTCGCCTACACGAGAGCCTGTTTTAGCATCTAACACTCGTTCGGCCGCTAATGTTTTATTAATCGCACAACGCACACGCCGCGTGTTAGCTCGCCCGGCGAGGAATTTTCCGCGTGTTTCTCGCGTATATTTGTGAAACGAGCGTCGTCGAAACTTGCGCGTCCGGATGTACTCCTCGCGGATGGCTCGCGGAGAGGCGCGCGACTCCGCCGTTTGGTTCGATCGCAGACTCTCTCGGCCGCGACAGAAAGTCGCGACTTCGTCGCGACCGGGCAATCGATCGGTATCCGCGAGAGCAAAAGCAAAGGAGAGAAAAGGAGATATATTATTCAGACAGATGCGCGCGATGCGAGCTGATCCGTCGGGCGGCTCCTGCGCGTTCGGGCCTTTAAGGGCCGGCCGGCGGTAATACTCGCGGCGCAATGTTAGTCACGTTTGTCTACTCATGGTCTGCGGGACATCCCTGCGCGGGGTTGCCGCGACCGGTCTAGCTGGACTCTCTCTCTTGTCTAGGAGGCCTCTCCTAGGCACCTCTAGGTGCGCGGCCACGTTTGCACGCGCGAGGTTACGCACACACGCGGAGCCGATGCAGCGTCGTGCAAAAAAGCCAGCCATGTGCGGCGCATGAATCGCCTCTTCTGCTCCTCGGACAAGGGAATCGGCGATGTTCTCTCGTCGGCTCTTCTTCCTCCGGTCTCAGGAGCAAACCGTCCGATAGACGGGCCCCCGATCTCCGTCGAGGTCGCCTCGGGGGCTCCTCGACGTGTCCCCTCGAAATTTCAGATTAACCGCCATCGATCTCGGAAAGGTTAAATCTCTCCACCTCTCTGGTCGTCTTCTTTCCGCGTTGAGGGGATACAATTTCACCGGTGCATTCGTATTTTAATCGGAGCTGCAGTCAGAATATAATCTTGGGAAATGACGTTTCCCAGGATCGCGTCGACTTTCGATTGCTTTTTACTTTCTGATGTCCGGCTCGTCTCTCAGCTCTGGGCGGTTCGACCAGCTTCCCAGCGATTAGCCTCGGAATGCGTCGGGTTAGATTCGAGAGAGAGAGAGAGAGAGAGAGAGAGAGAGAGAGAGAGAGAGAGAGAGAGAGAGAGAGAGATCCATTATTTCGAGTCGAACCGCAGCTCGCGGTCGAAACTCGTCGAGGGCGGTGAAACACCGAGACGCTCCCTCGTTGGAGCATTCGAATGGAACTGTAAATCGGAGGGATGCTCGCGAGCGCGTTTATCGACTCGCCCTGATCGTTCCGCGGGACTTCGCCGCGATAACGGTCGTTCTCTTAATCGTCGGGCGTGCGGACGCTCTCCGTGGTGCGCGGACTGTAGCGGGCTTCTGAGCGGTTCTGTACGTTTCAATGGGTCAATACGTTCGCTCGCACACATAGAACCGAGTGCTCACCTTCGTCTGGCGAGAGCGCGCGTAAAAGTCCGCGCGACGCATCGATCTCCGCCGATACGGGCGCGCGTTAATTCCGACGGAACTGCCGGTAAACGTCGTCGTCGTCGGCTGAAATTGCTCGCAGGCTCGCGGGATCAGCCGCAGGACGACGTTCGACGTTCTATAATTCAGAATCACCGTGCGAGCGCATCGCCTTCTTTATCTCCACCCGTCGCGCGGCTTCTTTCCGCCTTTCCCGCGCAACTTCGTATCTGCGCCGTGAGTCCTCTCGTGTCCTCGGAGGAGGAAACGATTACAAGGTAGAAGGCCGAGGAAGAGAGAGACGCGCGATAGTTGGCTAATTAGCTCGCCCCTCGTAATCGAGCTCGTAAATACACGGGGAATCGACAGAATCCGGCAGCTCCGTCTGATATTCGCCGGGTAATCGCGCGACGCTCCAGACGGACGCGGTGATCAGACGACGACGACGACGACGACCAAGACGAATGAAAGAGAGAGAGAGAGAGAGAGAGAGAGAGAGAGAGAGAGAGAGAGAGAGAGAGAGAGAGAGAGAGAGATAACCATGTCCCCGCATGCCGAGCCGCGAGATGCACCCGCGAAGCCGGATCGCGGCTGAGATATTGCTGAGCCTTGCGTAACCTTCGCCCATGAGAGACACTTAACACCTCGAGTCAACGACCGATACATTCACCCGTCCTGTATCGAGCACCGAACACGGTCGTCCGGTTCCTTTGTCTCTTTGATGAAGAGATCGCAATGGCCGGAGCGTGTGGTTCCTCGGGAAGAACTGACGTCGTAACATCGCCGCAGACCGGCGGAGGAACGCGTAACCGATGCTTGCGCGCCGCGATTCGGGGTGCGTGTTAAATAATTAACACGGATGAATAATGGGATTAGCGGGCGATTATCCGTCTAATTAGACGATTAGTTCCTTAACCCTTTCACTGTTAGTGGGAAGTAGTATACTTCCCACCTTTTCTTGATTCAATTTTGCGTTGTGAATGTCGCATAATTTTGAAGAACTAACCGGGGGTTTGAGTTTTCCAGATGACTGAATAGTTGTCCGACATACTCCAATGGGTTTTTATTTACCCAATTATCCATTTGTGATTATTTGTAACGAATCAAAGTTGAAAAAGATGCTCTTTTTAGGGAAAAATCGATTCCTCGGAGAGTATTGAATGTAGAGGTCTGAAATTTTCACCAAATATTTTTCTGATGTTGTACGAAAACATACATTTTTTTTCAGTATTTTTTTGCAGGTTAGATTCTTTTTTATAAACAAATATTTCTACAAAAACGGCCGAAATTTGATTTTTTTGCACATTTTTTCTTTTTAGCTCTATTTTCCTAGTTTTTTCATTCTGTATCTCCAATCTTATCCATACTATCAATATTATTTTACTCAAAAGATTCGTAATCAGCGACTCGAAAAACCCGATATATCATCAATAATAATCAGAATTTTTCTCAATTTCGTACATTATGATCGCCATATTGAGTCCGTCATTTTGAATTTTACAAATCTGACTTTAGATTCGTAATCAGCGATCCAAGAAAACGCGGGACCACCAAATATTTTAATAATTTTCTCAAGGGAAGTTAATTCAGCAGTGAAAGGGTTAATGCGTGTGACGTCGGATCAATCTTCGAGATTTTTGCGTTTTACTCGCGAAAAAAAAACGACTGTGAGCAGCGTCAGAGCGGGACGATCGCTTCACCGGTCTCTCGAGCTTGATGGAGCTTTTAGAAGAGGGGAGGGGGGAGCGAACCAGGTTCGCAAAATTTCGGTACGTTCGATACTCGACCGATAGAAATCCGTCAAATTACGTAGACAGGATCGCCCTCGATACGGGCCGAGCCGAGCGACGTTCCCGCACGCACTCCGCGTTACGTGCCGCAACACTTTGACCGGCGCTGTTGCAGACTTTCCTAACGCGGTGAAGAGGCTACTGAAGAACGACATCCTCATGTTCAGGACGGCCAGCAGCGTGCTGCATATCCTGCCGATCGCCGGTCTCTACACCTTCCTGCCAAAGTACCTCGAGAGCCAATTTCGCTTGCCAGCTCATCATGCGAACATGATCTCAGGTAATTATCACGGACGGACATGCGAGGAGCCCCTTAGGGTGAATTTGGCCGTGGAGGGGGAGAGTGGAGGGAACTCTCGAAACGTATCCCCAATTATGACTAATGACATGCACCGTGCGAGGACGCGAGTCGCGTCGCCGAATAAGCCGCGAACGCGACGACGACGACGACGACGACGACGACGACGACGACGAAAGGAAACGCGCTCCCGACGGTCCTGCGGAGGGAGGGGGGATTTCGCCGGATGTCCGTCGTGATTACGGCGCAAAGTAGATAATTTGGCGTAAACGCGGAAGCGAGAACACCCGCGAGCGCGCGTTTGCGCTTCTCCGACGGTCCGCGCTCTTTTCTGTTTTCCTCTCGTCGTCGCGACGCAGGAAATTCGCGGGGTTTATTTAACCCCTTCAGGGATGACACAAAGTCCTTCGTCACAAAGTCCGAAGTAAGAGCTGATTTAATTCGCAACATGACACAAGTACGAGACGTCTGTCAGTCACACGGCGAGATCTCTCTTGCTCTTGCCGTGAAATTACGCGGCGGGATTTAATGCTCGTTGTATCTTTGCCGACGATATTTCAATCAAACCGGGACAATTGAACCTAAACGCGTACCACACGCATACGCCTACACAGAATCCCTGAAGAGGTTAAGCAATATTAATTATCACTATCGCTATTGTCATTAACATTTCGAGCAGCCGCGACGGCGCGTTTCGTACTTCGCAATCGTCACCCCCTCCACACCGCGCGCGGGAACAATGTCTCACCGGTGTGCGGTGCTGCGCACTCGCTATATACACTCGCGTAAATCGGGGCTGTAATTAATAAGTAGTTAAAATGCACGGGAAGATCGAGAGGATGTTGCGCGGCTTGGTTGCGCATACAACGATAACGCGAAAGTGGATAATTCGATGTAATCGCTGGAACACGGGACTCTCGGCCGTATTAATTGTACAGTACAGCACTTGCACGCGCGCGCGTGTGCGTGCGCGCTCTAATTTATGATGATTGTTCGAGCCGAGTAATTGGCGCAGGCCGTAGAACAAGGCTGTCGCGCGCGCGCGCGCCGCTTCTATTCTGCTGGCGCGCACGCGCGCAGTATTATAATCCGCGGCTGTTTATTATTCAGGGAATAATTCGCTGGCTGCGCCGCGGCGAAGCTGCAGTTTGTCGTCGTCGCTTGTGCAGCCGCGATCGCCGTATATCGATCTCGGGCCAATCCGCGACTGCCCGCGAAGAAGTCCGGCCGGCGGCTCCGTCGTGTCTGAGACTGCAATCAGGGTTGGGAAGTAACTCGTTACTTGTTGACGAAGTTACAGTTGCAGTTATTTCTTCTTCTTTTTTTTTTTTTTTTTTTTTTTTTGGTAACTATAACTTAATTTCGTTCCTTTTTTCCCATCTGTTAGTGTAACTTAACTCGATTACATTCGTTTGATAACTAGTAACTGATTTAATAGTTACTCTAATAGTTACTTTACGTTTACTTCAGACTTACAGTTTCTGGCGCGATTAGCGCGATAACGCGACTAGTGCGATGCTTGATATCCAGTAAGCGTACAGTTATTCTGGCTGGAATTTGGAAAACGCGCTATTGCGTCATCTGTCCGTATCGTATATTAGACATAAAACAAGGATAAAATGATGCAATAGCGCTGATAGTCTCCTCTTCGAACGCGACCTGGATTTCTTTCAAAACAGCGTGAAATGCGCTGCGTGGTTTCAGTTATATAAAAAATTCAAGCAACAGATAAAACAATCTCAATCTTCGGAGGAGGCTTTATAAAATGCCATGGCCAGCATATTATGCAAAGATATTCGAGTTGCAGCAAAAACTTGGGAACGAGAGCAGCTGGGCATTTCTCAGCCCAGTTGTTAATTAATAGTCTTGAAGAATAAATATGAATTGCTCATTTCAATTAATGGATCTAATTTGTAAAAATTATACACAACATGAGAAATATAATAATCAACAAACTACTTTTATTATAAAATTGAAGGAATTTACACAATTACGAAATTTAAAATAACAGCACTGAAGAAAGTAACTGGAAAAAGTAACGACTCGATACTCTCTCTAAATAACTACTTATTGTAACGTGTTATTTTTGACGGTCAGCAATTTGTAACTGTAACTAGTTACTTTTTCATTAAAAAAACTAACTGTAACTCTAGATACTTTTACAAAGTAACTTTCCCAACCCTGGCTACAATTGGATGTGATCGCAGCGAGTCTATCTCCATACGTTTGCTTTTCGCGGAATCTTACCTGTACGCTCGCCTGTCGCACACACAAGTGTGACGACGATCGATTTCGGCTCGACGCTCGTACAAACAAATTGAGCCCGTCTCACGGTTTGGAAGAAAGGGCGGCTCGTGAGGACGGTTCCTCAGATGCTTTTTTTTCCCTTTGTAAGAGAGTCGCACGTTTCTTTAGCTTGTTTTCTCCGCTGTACAATTTAATTGCACAGAACCGTTTGTAAGCTGATGAGACTTTGGCGATAACGAGCGATCGATCGGCGTCTCTCTTTTTCGTCTGATTTTTTTCGCTGCCTTTAATTCAGCGCGATAGAACGGAGCGTGTATCGAGTGCCCGGCATCTTCGGCGGGTCTTTTCATCAACGAGGCCCGAGCTCCCTCGGGGACACGAGTCGAGAGAGAGAGAGAGAGAGAGAGAGAGAGAGAGAGAGAGAGAGAGAGAGAGAGGCGGCCGAACGAGCGGTACACCGTGAGCGAAATCGTGTTTTTTTTTTTGCACAGGTGTCGGTGGTATTCTAGTGATGGGATTGGGTATCATAATTAGCGGAGTATTTATCTTGAGGGCGAAGCCTAACGCCAGGTTCGTCGCAGCCTGGATCGCCTTCACTGCGGTCGTTTACGCGATCGGCATGGGCGTGCTGATGTTCATCGGCTGCCCGATGGACGATTTCGCCGGGCTCGTGTCGCATTCCGACGGGTAAGCAGAGCAGACGTTTCAGCATCTAGCGAAATTCCCAAGTGTGCGCCACCAGGATCAACCGCGATCACGGGCACGTCGTGCACGCGAGAGGTGAACGGACGCGCGGTGGAAAATGCAAGCCACTGCGAAACAATTGCGCGTTTATCGATATCTCGTATCGAGTGTTGCTCATTAAGGAAATTACTCACCCAGCTCTAAATCGAGCGAGACACATTTCAACTTTTCGATCGTGCTAATTCTTTATGAGAATTGCGGAAAATTCGACTAACGAGTTATTCGTCGTGAGCAATTCGTGAGCATTTTGAAAATCATTGCGCGTCCTCTCTCTCTTCCTCTCTCCCTCTCCCTCCCTCTCCCTCCCTCTCTCTCTCTCTCTCTCTCTCTTTCTCTCTCTCTCTCTCTCTCTCTCTCTCTCTCTTTCTCTCTCTCTCTCTCTCGATCTCTCGAGCCAATTGACTTTTCCTATCCCCTCAGATAACGTCGTTACGGTGTTTTCGAGAGTGTCCGGCTCGCGTTAGTAACATTGTTACAAAACCATCGGTATTCAAATGTGCCGGCACGTCATCCGTAGTGTTTAACGAAAAGACAACGTGTTCGGATGCGTGTCCCATTAGAATGCGCATCGTAAATATGCCTATCTGAAATGCCGCGGCCACCGCGTCTTATTTACAAGTCAACGACGTCACCCGGTCCCCCCAGATACATACATTTCTCGGTCTCTCCCGATTTCGATTCCTCCTGTCCCCTCCCTTCGGTTTATCTGTGCCCCCCGCCCCCTCCCTCGTGTGCGTGCGTGTGCATGTGCGAAAGCGGCCGGCCGAGCCTCGACAGTGACTTTGTCCGGTGTAGCGCGATGTACCTCGTCGCCGAGGAGAATAAACCGCCGTATCGCACGCCACCGTGTCGCGTTGCCAAAAATGCGTCGAGACTTCCCGAGTGTCCCGCACTTCCCACCTTCCCGCGACGAATTTATTCAATTGTTTCGCAATCTTTCATTTCGCCAGGCGGCGCACAGTGGTTCAAAATAAATAATTAGAGGGACAAAAATAAGAAAATGAATGATAAAATTAAAACATTTCTAGCAATTAAACAAGGAGGTGGCGCGATACGAATGATGGGAATAGTGCACGACGATTTTTCAAGAACACAGACATTTCATCGGGTATAACTGGTATAAGTAAAGAATTAATAGACAGGTTTTCAGTTATTCCAAGAACAATAACCTGCGATTATGAAATACAGTATGATAAATTTGAAGAATACTGCAATGAAACAGCCCAGCTGTATGTATCTCTCTATAGGTGGTATCCTATGCCAGTCACATTACACAAAATATTAATACATGAACCATCTGTTATAAGATAATTTTTGGTGCCTATAGGCTAACTATCAGAAGATGTCCGAGAGAGTAGACATAAAGAATTTCGCAAGAAAACCGACCGGAAAAGACACAAATACTGCTAATTATTCACAATTTACTACTAACTTCCGATCCTGTGATTACAACGCTTAAACGAAGAAAGGATTTAAATTAAAAAAAAAGTTTGTCAAGACGCTTTAAATGTAATTAAGGCTCCTGATATAATAGAGACATCTTTTGAGGAATATGATGATTCTGATGCTTCCGACTCTAATTAGCTGTATACGAGCACGGTACACCGACGGTAATTGAATCGGTCATTAGCTCGGAGACGCACCATAGAATCGGCAGTTTAAAAAGTTCTCAGCCTAACGATGAAAAAAAATTTTTTTTGCCGTGAAATATGTTTTTTCAATATAATCTCCTGAAACTTCAATACATTTATTCCAACGTTTTTCCAATAATTCAATACCATCATTAAAGTGTGATTCCGGAAGGAATTCTTTTCGTTCTGGTGTATAGTGGTGGATCAAAGGATCAACAGTTATGAAACGACGCTTGAAATCCATTTTATTTTGCTTAAAACGATCCAAACACGCTTGAGAAATACGCTTTCGAATGAGTTTTTGGTCAATTGTTAGCAAATGCGGCACCCATCTTGCACAAAGCTTTTCCAACTGATGCTACTACTCGAATGATTTGACAGATCGAATAAAATTTTACATGGGTTTGTATCAGGGATGCCACTTTCCAATACAATTGTAGTTTGATAGTTTCTAATGTCATGTATGCGTCAGGTCGAGAACTTTTCAGACTGCCTACGTATAAATGTAGAACGTAATAAGTGTTGATTTTCCAGTGTTTCCTTCCGTTATACATTGTTTGTTGAATGTAAAAAATATTATATAAATTAAAAATATAACCTTTTGTTCCCTTAAGCAATTCTGTCCTGCTAGATTTGCAAATTGAACCACTGTGCGGCGGGTTTAATTGCGATCGGTCGAGACGCGGATTGTATTATGAGGATGAAAAATTCAACGCTCCGCCGGTACATCCAGTGAAAATTAATTAAGTAAAGGACCACTAAGAGCGTGTGCGCAGATTTTACATAGTGGAGGCAAGTCACAATTGCCTTGCCAAAAATAACCTGGAGATGTTCAGGATAACATGTATGTTTACAAAAATATCCGAAAAAAACAGTCTGAGATTTTTCTAATTGTATATTCTAATTATCCTAATTATTCTCGGAATATTTTCGAGGGCGAAATAATCGGCTATTATTTTCATCGCGCCGTAAAATTTATATGCGAGCTGCTTTCGTGGTTCTTTACTCGATTAGTTTTTGACAGAGATTATAGATTCGCTCAACTCACGCTTTCGCGAAACTCCAGTTGCCCCGAAATTTACTTTGAACCGAGCAGGAAGCGAGTCTCGGTTTTAGCTAGTTTTAAGGCGATCCTGACGCCGTGACGACGTTTCCGCAGGATATCCAACTTCGAGCCGATCTGCGAGGCTACCTGCGACTGCGATCGGAACAAATTCAGCCCAATCTGCGGCGCCGACGGCAGAACATATTTCTCCGCGTGTCACGCGGGCTGCTCGAATTATACGGTTGTTGACGGCAAAGTAGCATCGGTAAGTACGCCTCGGTAATAGAACCGACGACATGTCTGTTCCTCCAACGAGATTGCACGGTACACCGACGGTAATTGAATCGGTCATTAGCTCGGAGACGCGCCCATAGAATCGGCAATAATCAAGATCGTCTCGCGCGGAGAGTGCGGAAGCTCGCGTCGTTTTCCGCGACGAATTTGCGCATTAAGGACATCCAGACGTAATCAAGTGTTTACGAGGCTCTTATTTTTACGTCAGCTTCCACCTGAGTCGATATACAGGGTGTCTCGGAACAATTTTTACAGAGCTCGTGAAGCGTAGATTAAGGCGAATATAAAAGCCCCAGGCCGTTTTGCGATATTCGCAGTAATTGGCGAGTTATTAATTATGGAAATCTGACGAGTGAACTCATGCCGAGATGAACGATTATTAGAGGAGCATCACAGCCATATTCGGGCTGCAGCGCGGCCCAGTCGATCCAGCAACTATTGCCGGTGCGCGGCGAGACGTAGAAGCGGCGAAATAAGACTAGCGCATAGCCGAATAGCGGCGCATTGTTCTTCCCGTCGCCGCGCGCCGACAATACTTGCTAGGTCGACTGGGTCCGCGCTGCATGCAGCCCGAGTGGCTGCAATGTTCGTCCAATCATCCATCTCGACGCGCGCTCATTCCTTGGATTTCTATAATTAATAACTCGATAATTATTGCGAATATCGCGAAACGCCTATCGTATGGGACTTTTCGTTCGCCTTAATCCGTTCGACTTCTTTAAGGAATTAAGTTCATCTCTTTATTACTATTTATTATTATTTATTACATCACTTGTTACTATATCACATTGTTGCAAAGGATGAAATGATCAAGCGATGAGTGAGAAGATGAAAAAAGAAAATAAAAATTTGCAGCGATAAGAACAAGTTTTTGCCGATAGACTTTTAAATTGTACGTTTAGCTTGTATCATTCATTAAAAAACAATGGCTTTGTATTTGTAGATTTTATTATTTATTGCACCACTTGTTATTATATCACATTGTTGCAAAGGATGAAATGATCAAGCGATGAATGAAAAGATGGAAAAAGAAAATAAAAAATTGTGTGTTCAGCTTGTATCGTTCATTAAAAAACAAGAGCTTTGTATTTATAGATTTTATTATTTATTGCATCACTCGTTGCTGTATCACGTTGTTGCAAAGGACGAAATGATCAAGCGATGAATGAGAAGATGAAAGAAGAAAATAAAAATTTGCAACGATAAGAAAAAGTTTTCGCCGACAGACTTTTTAAATTGTGTGTTCAGTGTGTGTGTGTTGTGTCATTTATTAAAAACCAAGAGCCTTTATAGATTTTACATGTATTTCGTTTTAATTACTCGTGACTATTCTCAATATATTGGCGCAGCGATATCGCGTTAACCGTCGAAGTCGGTTACTATTAACAGCTTCCCACCGACGTAAAACCCATATTATTCAGCAGAGTTACGATGCCCTTCTTTTATACCTATTTTTTGTTTTTTTTAATTTTACGCGCGACTTATCGCGTAACTTATCGGTAAGCCCTCCCCTCGCGTCGGGCAATTACGATCCTCGTCGTGAGGATTCCTCCCTTCATTGCCTGCTTTCTGACGACATTACGTCTCTGGTATACTTTGCAGTTTTATAACTGTCAGTGCATCGGGCAGAACATAACGATACCGGAAGCAGTGAGCACAGCGACGAATGGTTACTGCGAGCTGGAGTGCAGTAACTTTTGGGTTTATATGATCCTGTTCTCGGTCTTCGTTTTTATCCACTCGACCAGCGAGGTGGGCTCCATGCTGCTCATCCTGCGATGCGTGGATCCCAGGGACAAGGCCATGGCGCTCGGCCTGATACAGTTTGCCATCGGCTTGTTCGGTAATTACTCGACGAGACATTTTTCTTTTTTCCTTCCTTTTAACGGAGGAGCAGAAGGAGGGGGGGTAAGAGAGGAGGCACAAACCACGGCGCGTCTCTGCGCGAAGGAACTCGTTGGTCCGGATGGGACGAGGGAGCGAGCGCAGAAAACGTCGGGAGATTGTAGTTATCTCGATTCTCGCGTAACAAAGTAATCGGGAATGCAGATTGCGCATCTCATTATTCGCTTCTCGTGGCGATGTTGCAGGCACTTTTCCGCGATATTTTTTTTTCCCATTTGTTTTATTCCCGTTTATTCTCCTCATAAGTGATAAATCAGAGTCGTTATTCTTTGCGTTCTGTCCGGAGGAGGAAAATCACGGGCGAGTCAATGGGAAGAATTAAGAACAGTCAAAAGTTTTCGATGACGTCAGGCAAATGTCCCCTAATCTTGACACGTTCTTTCTCTCACTTCAGGCAATGTTCCGTGCCCCATCGTTTATGGTGCTGTGGTGGATTCCGCTTGTCTCGTATGGGAGTACGCTTGCGGCGAGCGAGGCGCCTGCTGGCTCTATGATTCGAACGTCTTCAGGATGTTTTATCACGGTGAGTACGTCTCTCTCGTTCGGTTTCCCGAAACGCACGCGGCCGCGAGTTGACCGACGACAGCTTGACTCTGGTCTCGTCGTGTCTCGGTTTGCCTCGGAAATCATCGCGCTTTAAATCGGTTAATCAACGCGCTCATTCATGTCGACAATTTCTTTTCTTCTTAACTTGTTTAAAAAGAAAGAAATTGGAAGGAAGACACTCTCAGAATAGACGAAATGCTGAGAGAAGAGATGGTGTGATGAGAACATCGCGTATTCAACCCTTTGAATCCCGCATTTTTATTTTGAAAATTTCACGTGGTTTTTTTTCACAGACCGGATGCTGCAAATAATGTGTCAACAGTTTGACGTAAAAATTGCTTTAATAGGAAAGAATTTCAAAATTTCATCATGAAAAGAAACAAAAAATTGATGAGAAAATGCAGACGACGTTCCTTCAAAGTATATAAGCTAGCTAGCTCCGAAAGCGCCCTATTGAACGACGCGGACTTTCTAGAGGAGTGTTATATGGCGCTTATCCTTAAGGACATGCCGGTACTCAAAGGGTCGGAGCGACCGGCGCTAGTCGGCGACAATAATGTGTGCGTTCATCCGCAGGCACGACCGGCGGTATCCTCGTGCTGGCCTTCGTGGTGGATATAGTCGTCTGGTACAAGGCCGGGAGCATAAGCTTCGTGGAGGAGCAGGAGGGCGAGGAAGGCACCGCGGAGGAAATGGCGACGTTAAAATCGCAGGACGCTCAGGCGGTCGAGAACGATTATTTGTGAAGGTTTCGCGTTACTCCTTGCGGTGAGCACGGGCGGCGGCCCGGCGAGCGCGGCGGCTGCGACGTTGTCGTCGCGAGGACGCAGGACGCAGGGCGCGGATAGCAGTGTCGTAGGATACACGGGGCGTCGTCCGTCGCGACAGCAAGTGCCAGTAGCTCGTTGCCGTGCTACGTGGACGCGGCGAAGGAGCGACTTGTCGGCGATTCCGCGTCGGGACCGACGGCATCGACAGAAGTCTAGTCTCTCGTCGACGACAGGCGACGTCTCTCAGGACGATCGAGACGCTCGTACGGATCCTTCCTTCTCCCGACGTGTCCACGCGCTCGCGCGTGTTACTAATTCGAAGGATAAGGAAGTGGACGCGCGGCCGAAGGAAGCAGCAGCTGTGTGAGACGCGTAAATCGCAGGGAAGAGGAAAGTAAGCGAAAGGAGAGGAGGAGCAGAAGGAGGGAAGGGGGCGATCGAACGCGCCCGGAATAACGAAGAGGCTTCGGGAAACAATCGCGCGAGACGCGATGAATCGCGCGAAGATCGGACCGGTAGAGGTGGAAGGACGACTCGGAAGACCTTCGGACGCCGAGAACTCGGTCCCGCGCTAGCCGGCTTCCGGATAAATACGCCTTGCGTAGGAAACGACACGTCAATCGTTGCTCGTACCGCGCGGTGTCCTCGCGAGTCTCGGGAATGTCGGCCGGAGGAGGAGGCGAGGTGTAAGAGAGGAGAAAGAGGGAGAGAAGGAGAGGAGGAGGAGGAGGAGGAGGAATAGTCGTCGGTCAACACCTCGCCGGGATGTCAAGGCGCGTCGAAAAATCGCCGAGATGCGGTGGGTCGGGAGGAGGAAGTCGCGTGCAAATAACACACGGACAAACAAACGGAGATACAAAGCGAACACGGGGAGGTGCGCGAGCATCTTGCCTGAGCATCGCGGATGCGATAGGAGTCTCTGGAGCGCGCCTCGGCGAGTTAGGGTTTCTCTCTCAGGGAGACTGTCAGTAATACACGCAATAAAAATAATACTTCCGTGCCTACGAAAGACGGTGCTTGCGGCGAGCACGCGATCGGCCGGGTCCGCCCTCTCGACGGACCCGGCGAGTCGAGTCGAGACGAATCGAATCGAATCAAACGACGTGCGCGAGAGAGAGAGAGAGAGAGAGAGAGAGAGAGAGAGAGCCTCGCGGGTGACGGCGGCGGATGTGCAGCCCGGCGAGTGCGGGACAGTGAGAGATTGAATGCATATGTGCGATGCGATGCGCCGCACCGGTGTGTTGACTGCCACTTCGGATGACGGGAACGCCGTCGTGCGCGCGCGTCGTCTAACCCTCTAACGGTAACGTTCGCTCGTCGTTGCCGTGACGTAAGAGGAAACGCGAGGTGCTACGTCGCGTACCCGCCGCGGGAGGCGTCTTCTTTCCTCCGCTTCTTTTCTTTTTCTGTCGTCGCACGGTGTTGGTATCATTGATGGGTGTGAAATGGAGCCGACGTCGTCAGGTATTGCCCCAATCTATTTGTATCAGAAGGCGATACGTGCACTCATTTCGTTGGGCCGTATTGGAGACAAAATTTTCAATTCGCGAAGACGTATTGAATTTAAAAAATCATGAGTTGTGTCATATCCGATGTCAATTTAAAGGAAAAATTAGAGATGGATAATAATATTGTTTATAACAATATTGTTAAACATAAATCACAGAAATGTGTAGCTTTTGAAGGGTATGGATTGGAAAGCATTTTTCGGTCGTGTAGATTCGGTAGTTTCGAAGCAATTGGCAATCTCAAAGGTTCAAGCGAGAGACAGAGGAAAGCGAGAGAAAGAGAGGATCGTCGACACTCCGGCCGTACTCTCGCGATTTTTATTTAGACGAACGAGAGTGTTCCTCAGTAGTACGTGTGCGTCTCGCGTTTCCCTCCCGAGGGCGAGCCGCACGCTGCACGGCGCGTGCATTAGCGCGATCACTTCCGGAAACGCGCGAAAGGAGGAGGAGGAGAAAAGGAAGAGAGCCGAGGGAGGAAACTGCCGATCATTCCATTCGATCAGTCGTTGCGACAGGAACCTTTTTCCTCGCAGTTGGAGCGCGCAAGGGGAAGGTAAAGTGCGCATAATCGCGCACGTGTAAAAAGTGTATACTCGCGTATATAACTGCGTATGTAAAGTCGAAGAGGAGAAAAACGAAGAGGCAATCGTGTCGATTCCGGTCAGTCGGTCCTCGAGTCGTCGCTCGCACGGACGGACGTCTCCGTGTTTTCGGAACGCGCTCGCGTGCGCGCCTCTTCCTTCGATCCTCGCGTGTGCGTTCGATCGGTGTCCCGAGATAAATTTGCGTTTCCACGAATTTCTTGTGGCGGCTGAAGCCTTTCGTGAGGAGCGTCGCGGTGACGAAGCGCCGCGGAAAGCATGGGTCTTCGAACGGAGAAGAAACGTGGGAAACATTTCCACAGTTACAGCGCGTCGTCAAATTCTCCTTCTCTTTCGTTCTTCCATCGGCTCCAGCGTCAAAGGCTCGTATTAATAACAATAGTCCAAAGTTAATTTAAGATATATAATTCGAATCTATAAATTTAGAGTTACAGGTCCGAGTTCCTCGGATGAATCATACTCGTAAAATTATATCTGTAATCGCGCGTCGGCTGAAAGACTCGTATCTAATTTTAAACTCAAAACTCCAAATTTAAACTTTAAACTCTGAGTAGATTTAATATGTGTGGCAAATTTCAGACGATGACTATTGATATTGATATACTGTTAATTCGGGCCATGGGACGGTATTCATAGTCGGATCTTATATTTAACGTCGTCCTAAGTTCATCTTCAGCCGCTGTATAGATCGTTTAAGCTATATAGATCTGTACGTAAAATTATACATACTTAACGAAAATGATGACCGATCGATCGATCAGGGGTCACGAGGCGCGACGTAACCGCGCGAGAATCGACTATCGGAATCAGAAACGTCTCGTAGCGGTAAGATAATATGCATACCTATATACATGCATACATACATACATACATACATACATACATACATACATACATACATACATACATACATTGATAAGTCTAATACGCTAAGGATTAACGCAGCAACGACTACCTCCCAGCATACGTCTCGTCGTCGTCGGGACAAGAGGCCCCGTCGTAGCTCTTCTTATTTGGAGGGTATCCGCGAGAGATGAAGCCGGGAGTTCGACTCGAGTGAGAGAGTCGCGTCCCCCCCCCCCCCCCCGCCCGCGATTATTACGTGTATGAGTTTGCGACGCGGTCGGTTGCCTCGGCGACGACAATCGCGGCGTACGGACGAGATTCGACTATGCTCCATAAATTAGCGATACATATATTTTTCTCTGTGTAAGTATTCTCGCGTATATTCTTATCTCTCTCTCACGGAGACGCGAGCCTCGGCGTTGAGAGCTCCGTTCTCCGTGCTGAGAGCGGCTCGGCGAGGAGACGACATCCCCGTTCCCCATACATCGGCTGTGGCTCGATTCGCGCCGTTAAACGGCTCCTTGAACACCGTCGGTTCAATGAGATCTGTGACTGAGAGCGGTTTACTTTTCTTCCTTTTTAATTTCGGATCCTGTCGTGTCTCTAAATTTGCATCGTTTCGCGCGTTTGCGTTCTCGGGGACAAGTTGACAGCGCCAATCGAGACGCATCCAGGTACGCGAACCGCGTTTGTTTCGCTCCACTTTTTACGCGTTGACGTACACACACTCAGGTACACTCAGCACACACACACACACACACACACGCGCACACACACACACACACACACACACACACACACACACACACACACACACATACACACGCCGTTTTCGCATTCGGAATTCTTTTTCGGATCTCGGGTGTCCTTCTCTTTTTAGGCACTACCGTCCGTGTGTTACACTTGCGCATAGAGTACTACAATGATACACATTATATATGTATACTTATAGGCATTATGTGTAGGTACCTACGGTTAATAACGCGTATTCGTCTCGAGGGAAAAACGCGCGCATAGTTCGCGCGACTACTGGGATGGGCGGGCGAAGGGAGCTTTTGGGCGACTTCTCGCACGGAACAAACGAAGACGAGATTGCGAGATGAAAAGAAGAAAAAGGGGAGAGAGGGGGAGAGAGAGAGAGAGAGAGAGAGAGAGAGAGAGAGAGAGAGAGAGAGAGAGAGAGAGAGGGAGGGAGGGAGGCGGAGGCGAAGACATATACGACATATTTTTAGACGATTTGACGCGCGGGGAAGTAACATAAAACAAAAGTAATATTAATTACGGATATGGATTACGATTATTATAATTATTATTACGATTGTCGCGCGGGGTTTGAGAGCGGCGAGAGACCGGAGGATGCGGACGCGCGTACAAAGGGGAAAAGGGAGGAGAGAAAAAAGGAAAAAAAAAACACAACCAAGCAAACGAAGAATTATTGAGAGAAACTGTATTTTAATATGGTACATTTTTTTTCTTTACACGTGGAACACACGCTCGTCGATGTCTGAGACGTTTTGCCTGTGTGCTTTCTAGTGTTCCGACGCGTCTCGACGTCCTCTGCTGCAGCATCCGAGAGGAAGGAGCAGGAAGACATCGCGTTTAGCATGCGCGTCCGTTTTGTCATGACTGCATGGAGAATTGTCCGCGAAATAATTGAAGAACGAGCGAGAGAGAAGCAAAAGCGGGCGATGAGGAGGAAGAAGGAAAGAGAATGAAATCGTAACGCGGCATATAAGGGACGCCATGCGAGCGCGAAAATGACCTCTTTCTCGGTTCTCAAGCACAAGAACAACACAGTTACAGCTGACGTTTGTGCGAGAAAAACGGGATTTGCTGTTAGAAAGGCACGTTTAGCGTTCGCTGTGCAGAAGTGCGACTCGAGAGGCGCGCTTTTGGGACACGTTTCGGTCGATACGCGAGCACCCGGGAAATTATTCACTTCGAATCGCGCGTATTCGTGATCCTGCCTCTGCAAAGCCGGAGGGGAGGTCGGGGGGAGGGCGTCCTTCGCTCGAGGGAAACGGAGAACACGCGCGAGCTGTCGCTGTACGGTCCTGAAGGATCGTTCGGAACGATCACTCGAGTCTCTGGGAGGACATCCCAACGTACGTAGAGAGGATCTGTCCGGATCGTTGGGCGGACGACCCGCGGATTTCGAGCGCGACCGATCGCGCCTGTTCTTTCCTTTTTTCCGTGGATGCGCACGCTCGGCTCCGGAGAGAACCGGAGAACCGGAGTTTGATCGAGCTCGCTGAAACTGACCCGCTCGAGCGTGTGTGGTGCGGCGCGCGAGAAAAAGAGGTAGAGAAGCAGAAAATGGCAGAGAGAGAGAGAGAGAGAGAGAGAGAGAGAGAGAGAAACGGGAAATATATTTTTGGAGAATTTTATGTTTGGACGGTTACACGTGCACTTCTTCTCCATTGATCCCGAGAACCGGAGCGCCGTCCGCGCTGGACGAAGACGCCCGACGTCTCCCTCCGCTGCGACTCGAGGGGAAAGACAAGAAAGGGCTGAGGAGAAGGACGAGAGAATCCAACATATAACAAACGCGTAATATCATTCGCGGAACGAAGGAGGCGCGTCGAGCGATCCGTCGATCACCGGCGCCGAGCAAAATTTCAAAGCGTCGTCGAACGTGCGGAAATGGGGCGATCTCTTCTTCGAGGAACGAGAAGAAAGAGAACACAGAAACGAAGCGAGCAAAACGCGAAGGGAAGTCGCGCGTAATTCTATCTTGCCAGCTGAAGAGATTCAGCGACGCACGAGGAGCGCGATCGAACAAGAGCGGCGGCGCACTCGAAACCGGAGGATCTCTCTCTCTCTCTCTCTCTCTCTCTCTCTCTCACTCACACACGAGCCGTTTCTTTCCGACGTGCCGAAAATTATATTTTCAGAAACTCCGCGTTAATACGTCCGTGTCTCTCGCTCGCCCGCCCGTCCGCTCGCTCGCTCGTTCTTTCTCGCTCGCGAGTGCGCGTCGCGCGTTCCACAGAGTGGAACGTGCCCGAGCGCGCTCGAGCGACGTTGGTTTTTCTCGTCTCGTATGCTACGGGTATATATGTATCGTAATTAAACAAGAAAAGAGAAAGAAAAGAAAAGAAAAAGCAGGAAAAAGAGGGAAAGAGCAGGCGCGTCCGCGCGTGAACGGATGATCGTTCGTCGGATAATCATTCGTCGGACACGCGTGCGAACGACAACGCCGGCGCCGTACCCGGTCGAGAATCGTATTTTTGTATCCGCGGAAGAAAACAGAAAAAAGAGCTATATTTTAAACGACACACGGCGCGGGGAGTAATACGGCGCGCGATACGGCGGTCGTGTCCGATCTATCGGTATCCGCGAGCCGAGACGTACGTGTAAAATTCAAATATATATTAAAAAAATATATATAAATAAATATATATATATATATATATACATATATATATATATGTATATAAATGTAAGAGATATGTCAAACGCAAATAAGCTCACGGAGCCGAGTGTATTACGAATGGCATTCTGCTGACGCTCGTAATCGAAGCTTCTCGATGATCAAAATCTTTCTCTCGCCGGAGAGACAAGCAAAAAGAGAGCGAGAGGGCAAGAGGAACGCGGTGAAACGAGAGGTCGCGCTAATTAAAGTAACTCACGTAAAACGTAGGTGATTTTACTGTTCTCTGTACGTATACTCTTCTTAATCGCGTAGGAATCGTGAGACGACTCATCGCCGATCGTTCGCAGATATTTTTCGAATCAACATGGCCGTAGAATCGTGCTATACAATCTCTGTGTGCGTGTGTGGGCGTGCATATGTATATACATATATATGTATATATATATATATATATATACATATGCGCGCGCGTGTGTGTCGAATCAACGGCGAGAGCCGCGTGTACAAATCGAAAATTCCGCGCGATTCCTCCTCCCCATCCGATCCCCACGTCCGCGGTGATCGATATATCTTTCGGCGATTCCGTCGCGCCGTTCGCCGAGGAGCGACGACGTACACACTGCTCACTGTACAGATTGTCCTTACCTTCGACGTAAGCACAGAGGACCGAGACGCAAACTCGTGCGAGCGGACACTCTTTCATTTGATTTCAGACTTCGGGCAGAAGCGAATGGCCGATGCTAGATCGGATCGCGGCTCGCGAAAATTTATCGAGTGATAAATACAATTGATCAGCGTACCGAAATAATATGCCGATTTTGAAGCGACGTCGGGAACGCAAAGTCTCCCGATGCGGCAGTCAACGTGTTAACCTTCGTGACTTTTTTCTCCAAATTGTCGGCAGTCGGAAAAAGGCGAATAATCTTCGCTTCGCGAACCTCGCGAGCGCGTCCCTCGTGCGTTTGCGTATCCTCGGTGCTTCACGCATTGCATATACGATACACTTGTAAATACAGACAAGTACAATAATTGCCAAAACAACCGGGATTCCGAGCGAGTCTCGGGCTCTTCTGTAGCTGTCTTTCGAACGCCGCCAGCCACCGTCGAGCGATCACGCCGACAGATAATTCGCGATCACTTCCTGCGTGTACGTGTTGGCGTTGTTGAATTTCCACCAAGATCCACCAAGAACCATCCGAAATATCGGACGGCGTTGAGTATATCCCGAGCGCGAATTATCAGTCGACCGTTTGCCTCTCGGCATCTTTACATGAAACGTGAAACCGCGACGGCGTGCCAAGCCCCGTAATAGCCGAAAGACTGCCTCGAAACCGAAAACTGCCGATCATCAACTCGAAGGACATCGTCGTCCCTCTCTCGAAGATGATGTAAAACTCGGAAACTGCCGTGTCGACACTGCCCAACGTGTGCGGCCCTCAACGCTCACGTGTACCGTAAAGCGCGATTTTCTACTTCGTTGCATTCCCGCCGTCGTTTGCCGATCAAGCACACTTCGTTCTTCACGATGACAATCACTTCCGTTGTCACTGAGAAACACAAAGTCGATCGATCAATCGCGTGTCGTGTCTCTCACGTGTCGCGACACTTTTTATATACTTTTACACTCGTCTCTCTGCTACACTCGTCGCGAACGTTTTGATCTCGTCGTAACGAACAACGAACGCGAGCGCGGGCTATTCCGTCTCTCTGTTCGACGGTACCCTCGAACTGCCGCCTCATCGCGAGGAGAAACTCACTTTTCTCCTCTTTTCTGCCCCTCGCGAAATGCATCTCTGCGCGCATTTAAAAGCGACCCTCCAACTCCCCCCCTCCCCACCCCACTAAGTCCTGATCCGCACGTCGATCGCGCGTTTGTCGCGGTTTCACGGGGAGCTCGCGGCGGCGACCTCGCGCAATGTTTTCTCTCTCATCTTTGTCCCGGTGCGCTCTAACTTAAAAACGATCATCGGTGAATCACACAAAATACCCTAACACTATATTTTAGTAAAGGAATTTATCGATAACGTAGGTTAAAAAGGGGAAAAGAAGAAAAACAAAAAGAAAAGGAGAGGTGCCGGCTCGCGGTTCGGCGGTCTGCAACGGTTTTACCTAATTACGGTGTAGAGAGCCCCTCCGTGGGCATCATAATTGCTAGTCTTTAATTTCATGATGTGCGCGCGTACACTCCCGTCGCCGTCGCCGACGCGGGTGTGTGCGCTCGTGTCGACAACGAGGAGCGAGTATGCGAGTGAACAATGAATCACGCGAGAGAGAGAGAGAGAGAGAGAGAGAGAGAGAGAGAGACCGAATGTACAATGAGTGTGAAATGTAAATTGCCATTTCTTAATCGCGATTATCAACGTTTGCTATTATTATTTTATTATTTTCATTATTATTATCATCATTTTATTATCGTATTGATATTATTATTATTATTATTATTATTATTATTATCGCTATTTTAAACTATTAACTATTAAATACAGAGTTATCTTAATGGTAGTAATTATTATTAGTTATTAATTACCGCTAATGTTTACTATACGTAACGGCAAATTATAATGATAATAATTGCGCCTCTGATTTTTATACCTAATATTTTATATATACATTTTACATACACACACACACACACACACGCACACAGACACGAGAAGAAAAAAGAGGGAGAAGAAGAAGGGAAACGATCGATTACTCTTTAGGAGACGTAAGTGTATTTTGATATAGAGCATGTATGCCATATTGTGTGTTAAGTGTGGTACGAGTAAAAAACTCCGCGCGCCCCCGATCCGGCGATGAGATCGGTGCTGCGGGCCGCGGGAGCGAATTTCATTTTTGCGAGTCTCGCGTTGCACACAGCGGGCGGTTCGTTCGTTCGTTCTTTCGTTTATTTCTCCTACCGCTTATGTTTTCGGCCACGAACGTCGCACAGGAAGAACTTGTATTAGAATGGACAGTATTTTTCATGGGAATTGCTCTCGACGGAGCGGCGGGTCCTGGTCGAACAACGAAAATCGAACGGGCGAATTTCGAGAATCGCGACTGTTTGAAATAATTATACATGCGCAGAGAGAGAGAGAGAGAGAGAGAAAGAGAGAGAGAGAGAGAGAGAGAGAGAGAGAGAGAGAGAGAGAGAGAGTTCGTACGATGTAACCGTAAAATTTCGACAAGGAGGAAAGGAAGAGAAAAAAGTAGACAAGCAAACAATCGCTCCCCTAAGCTATTAACATTCTTCAACAGGCCAGTAGAACGAGATTCGTCGAATTGTAATCTCGCGCGTAATCTCGCGGCGATCGTCCTCATATCTGCGACGGCGATTTCTCGGTTTGCACGATTCTCGAAGTGACTCGCGCGCGATTTCGTTCGGATACCGTTCGTTTCAATACAACAATCACCACCACCACCACCACCACCACCACCACCACCACCACCACCACCACCACCACCACTCGATCCTTCTTCGAGACATGCCGACGTGCTCGATCAAGGCTGTTGTAAATAGAAATGATGGCAAAAACCCGGGCGCGTTCGATGTGCCGCGATCTCGAGGTTCTCCGTAACTTCCGACATTTAAGTGCCTAAATACCCGGAGCCACGTCTATTCTCTTCGTTGTCTGTTTCAACGGTTGGATAAGGCGTTGCTCGTCGTCGGAACGGCAGCGATGACGAGAGAGAGAGAGAGAGAGAGAGAGAGAGAGAGAGAGAGAGAGAGAGAGAGAATGAAAGAGAACAAGAGTCAGCTCGGAATCGCGCAATTGCTTGCGACGCTCCTCTCGTAATGAGTTTCGCTCGCGATCCGCTCAACTTGTATATCCGTGCAGGACGTTATCACGAAAGTACGTAAGATCGCAATTTGCGCTTCTCGCGAATTTCCGCTAGAATAGACAACAAGCAGTGGACGAAGATCAGACGCGCGGGTGGCGACCGTTCGTCGCAATCCTTGCAATATCCACGGTACCTGTGAAGATGATCGCAATAGCACACGCGACCCTCCAGGACTCTCCAGGAGGACCGCGCGAGATTTTATTCATCAGTTCTCTCCGAGCACACCTCGAAGCGCCAGCCTCGACAAAATCTACCGCATTTGTCAAATAGTCCCAGAATTGACGTGTTTTACTCTCCTCTAGCTCGCGGGAGGGAAAGTGTCGATGTATATAGGACAACGTACAAATACCGTAAAAACCCTCCGACATCACAACTCCGACATCACTCGACGGTCGAAAGTAACTTCGACGCGCGATACGAATAAATTCGTTCTCGTCGTTATATCGCATAATATTAGCCTGATATTTTTTAACTCTTTTAACTCGTTATTCCACTACAGCAAGATATTGATTTTATATTTTTGAAATGTATAGTTCGTAGATTTTCGAGTAAGTTTAGCGTGTAGTAAAAATCGCGTTTCCATTTTATCTTTGATGATTCATAAAATGATTAATAAAAAAGATAAACCTTAGAAAAAGAAATATCATTCTTTCGTGTGCGCATGCTCTGAGGAGTTAGAGGTAAAAGGGTTAAAGGTTATCGCAATCGTTCACTCTGAGACCGTTTCACCGCTCCGTATCCGTTAGATTACGTGCCGAGGATAATCAAAATCCCAGTTGGGCGAGCTGTTAAGTCCGTTAGGTCCGTCGGAGGGTTGATGGATTATGCGCTTACTACGAAACGCGCCGAACGCGTCGCGAGATCGAGCGAGAGGAAGCAGCATCACGGAGAATCGTGCGGCAGCGCTTTATCCAACCCTCGCTAGTTTTACGTCGCAAAAGACGAGAGACTGTCGCTCGACACACTCAGCAGATCTCAGCACTCCGGCGAAACGAACATGGATCATTTATTTTTTATTCGAGAAACTCGCAGAAGAGAGAGGGCCAGCTCGTTTTCGTGGAGTGCGCCTAACGAATAAATAATGATATATTACGAATAAATAAATAAACAAACAAACAAACAAACAAATGAATATAAATATATATATATAAATATATAAATATAAATATATTATATATATACATACATACATACATACATACATACATACATACAGAGATGCGCGCGCGTGTACATACATATATAAATCTAAGTGCGAGAACCTCGAGCGGCGCGGTGTGCAACGTTATACGAAACGAAACAAAAAAAAAAAACAGAAAAACAGAAAAGACGAGGAACAAGGAAAGAAGAGAGGAGAATCCTCGAAAGTGGAAGCGCCGGAACGTCGTCGGCCCGATGATGTTTTGTTCTTTGAGGGTACAAAGAGTCAATTTTGTCGATTACGTAAAACGAAACCCCTCTGCATCACTGTAACATACCTCTAGCACGTCTCATAGTTTAATTAGCCCTCGGGTTATCGGTCGTTTAAATTTTTCTCAGGCACGAAGCAGGCATACACGAAGTACCTTCAGATAATTTATTTTTCTGACTAGAAAATCTAGGGGCGGGTCGCGAAGAGCAGATCGAACGGCGAGGGGGTGGGTTGGGTTACGAGTTGGGAGGGTGAGAGGGAGGGAAGGAAAGAGGAAGAGAGAGAGAGAGAGAGAGAGAGAGAATTGCAGCATACCCTCCTCTGGTGAGCGGGATACGGTATTTTGGTAATCCGAGGGTTAAGACTGATTCAATCGCGTTATAAAAAATGCTAGACCGAGCATATTTTATAATTATACTGTCAATATTATTGTTTGTAATTATACGATTACTATCGAATTTGTTTTTAATAAACGGCAGGTGCCATGATTACGTACACCGGCTGTGGTACGATCATCTGTTGGACTTGTGTGACTTTAAATCGCCCGCCCCCCCCCCTCCATCCCCCTCACACGCATTTACATGCACGAGACACGCACCAAGAAAATAAATATATAAGGATCAATATTGTTTCTATTTTAGATTCCGTCAATGACAAGTAAGTCAGCTGACCAAACTGACGAGTAGATTATGATAATAGCAATAACAATAATGATAACAACACATTCGCTTGCCCGCGATTTTCCTCGAGCAAGACTGCAAGGCAGAGCACGCGAGCAACAGCTCGGCGACGGAGCACGGGCACTTTGCATTTATATTATTTATTTACGGGCAAAAATAATTAGGTAACTCGCTGAAGAAGGCACGCTCGAGAAGGCAATATTCTTCGCTAATTGTACATCATTTTATTATCGCAAACACATAATTTTACACGAGTCGCAACTAGACGCGATGAATCCTCGCGATATCCTCTCGAGCCTCATTTATTCTCACTTCACGATGTGGTCTCGTTGCTGAGGTCGAATATCTTCGCTCTGAAAATGTTCTTCTCGAGATTATCGTCGTTCGTTCGAGTGTATCGTTATTTGCGTACTTTGCCGTGGAAACTATCGATTATGAATTTCTCACGAGAGCAAATCGTTATTAGCGGGAGCTGTCCCGCCCGACACGGTACCTGTTAGAGTTGATGTTCGTATTAATGTTAGAATTCGAGTTGACGTTCTGATTGCGGTTCGACGATCGGTGTCGTTTCAGCTTTCGCAGCGTCGGCTGGTAGTCGTCGTCTTCGTCGGAACGGCTCATGGATCTGCGGACGTTCATGAGGTTCATCGACTGCATGCGCGGGCTCCAGGTTCGTCCAGCGCTCTGGGCCTTTTGCGACGCGATCGATAAAAGTTGAAGAATCGTTTTTAATTGTCGGGCTAACAAAATGTAGGTGAACGATAGGAGCGCTGTTATACCTCGTCGTCGTCGGGAATCTTGGAACGATCGGAGGCCAACGCGGCTAATTTCTCGTGAGAGAACTGAGTCATGCAGGCCAACGCGCTCTGCTCGGCCATCTTTTGCATTCCATTCTCGATGCGTTCCAGAGTCATCAGAATGGCTTCCAAATAATCATTGGAGTTGGACTTGTACGCGTCGCCGTAGCGCGACAGCAGGATCACAAACTCATGAAAGCAGAGTTAAAATTGTTGAAAATTATTCCGCCGATGTGACGCCGATGATTCCGCGCTTCCTCTCCTTCGCTCGAAAGTTCTCCGCGGAATAAAATCTCGGACAAAACGTACGGTGGAAAATTGCGGCAATTGCGCTGACTTAATGAAAAAAAAAAAAAATAAAGAAACGAATAAATTGGACGAAAAATATAATTCAACGGAGAAGAAGAGGAAGAAGAAGAAGAAGAAGAAGAAGAAGAAGAAGAAGAAGAAGAAGTGTGGTGCACTCACCAGACAACCGAGCAGTCGGCGCGATACCATCGTGGAGGACATGATCGTCAATCGTAAAGGCCACTCCCGACTTGGATCAATCGCTCGGAAGTGAGTATTTATATAGGAGCGTTCGGTCACGCCAGAATTAAAACCAGCTCGCGAATTTGCGCTCGCTGCGCAATGAAATATTGCACATCCGATAAAGTGAACGACGATCAGCGGGTGTTATCGTTCGCGCGCGTGAACGTGCAACATTCAATTTCTTCTTTACGATATTAGCCGTCCCGCGCGAAACTATAAAATCGCCGCTGTCTCGGCACTCTCGTCATGGTGGATGAATTCGCGCGACGGGGAACGCGCGAGAAAGCAGTCTCGAATGACGCGACTGTTGCGTGCAGAAGCAACTGTCTCCGCACTTCGCTCGTCGTCAGTTTTACTAGGAAACGAAAACGAGCGCAGTCATGGGAAGCGTCAGCAGGCTGTGACACCCTGAGGAACAGTGTTGTTTCCATTGCCATTTTCAATAATATAACGATACTGTGGTCAAAACTTGCTTCCTGCTCGCCGAGAAACGAATTGTTGAGAGAAAGGAGGAAGATCACTTCCTCGATGCACACGTACGCGTTTTCAAACTTATGCATGTGTAATGAAATAATAATCTCGAATAATTGACATCTGCAGGAATGTTTAGGGTAAGCGGACGAAAAAAAATTTGATTCGAAAGAAACGCCTAAAAAAAGACGTGCATACGGATACAGTCGGTGCACGAAGAGAATGTTACAATTGCTTCCTTTCCACGTAAAATCCTTTCTAGATTCATCGCGTTTCTCTTCCAGCGCTGCGAGTGTCAGTAGAATCGCTTCCTTGCTCCGAGGAAGATGGCAACAAATCTTTATCAATATTAGTTATTTCAGTAATTACCATGTCCTACGGCGAGTAAAATTGTGCGAGGAAGAGAATCTTTTGTGCACTGACTGCGCGCGCGGCTTGCAAACGAAAGCAGACGTAGATTGAGCGCGATCATTTATTTAACAAAGTCCGACGCGTAGGAGCGCAGCGGGCGAAAACCGCTAATGAAGCGCATCGAGGATGTCCCGCCTGCGTATCTTGATCCTGACGTTCACGTAATCCTCGCTGTCGTCGTTCTCCGCCGACGTGGCTGGCTCGTACATCCTTCTGACGGGCGCGTCCGTCTCGTAGGCCCTCGACTGGATCATCTTCAGCGAGACCATCATGTCCGCGACGATGTCCCTGGTCATGATCTCTTCGTCCATCAGGTTGATGTTCGGAATGCCGCGGCTGAGCGCTCGCCGGGTGATCCGGTCGAGCTCGTTCGCTACTTGATGCGCGGACGGCTGCGCCGAGCTCCTTCTGTTGGGCGACACGAGCGAGGCCACCACCTTCTCCAGATCTTTGATGGCGTTCCACGAGTTGGTGGGGTGGCTGGTGCTGTTGTTGAGGCGAGCCTCGATCACCTTCCACAATTCCTTGGCCACTTGCTCTGGGTCCACGTTCACGATGATATTCACGTTCTTGTTCTGAATTATCGTGTCCTGGAAGGTAAGTTTGCATTGTACCTTTGAAAAGGATTGTCGCGCAAGGAAGCTTCCTTCGCGGAGTTCGCGACGCTACGGCGTCGCATTAATATGGCGGCAGAAACGGATGATTCTTCAGGGTCTGATATCGACACTACTTCAGGACTTCCTTAATTCTCTTAGCTCTCTCGCGACAAATTTTAAAGCGTTCGAATGTAAGATTAGAAATTGACATATTTTAAAATAACATTTGTAAAGACCACGAGACTTCTGCGAAATTCCTGCGAAAGATTTGCAGGAATTTCCTACAAAATAAACTCTGATAAACGGGGCCGCCTTCCGACGAGGACCTAGAGACGTCTTACCCTGCTTGCTTTGCTATCCTTACTTGAGCACTGGTCAGCGCAAGGATGGCGCACAACGACGGCAAGTACGTCATAACGTGAAATCGGAATCGCATGCGGCACCGTCGTCTCGGAGACGACGAGCGCATGTACTATCAGCGGACTTTTATACGCGATAGAGAAGCCCTATCTTTACAACAGCCGAAAGTTTGCACGTCGAAGAATTACGTCGTCGATAAATCTGCATGTGACATCCTGAATTCGTAAATCCTTCCTCCGTGATAAGGCAGGCGAGAGCGCTCTCGCGTCGCGAGAGTCGCCGGCAACATGTGACCGAGGACACGTGTTTCTCTCTTACGAAGCGCGAACTTCGGCCGACGAGACGTGACGCGAAGCGAAGGATCGCGCAAGTTCCTGCGCTCGATGCGCGCTCGCCGTCGTCGAGAGCCGGTTTAATTTATCGGCACGAGCGCCGATTACGCGTCATACGATCGATAGAGCTATATAGATCGAGTCGGAGAGGCGGCTCTCTATGATCCGGCGCGCCGATTCGCGACCGATCGATTTTCACGCCGCGGTCATAAAGATAACGAAAGCAATTCGGGCGAGAAAAATGCCGATAGCCGGCGCCTGTTGGAACTAATCTCTTGTAATTAGAAATTCGACGGGGTGTATATGTAACTTATTACAATATATTTCGCCTCAAGGTAAGATCGCGCGCACACACACGTGACGTACACACGTCACTTTCGTCATTACTTTCATTGTTCTTATCATTCCCGTTGTATCGTGACTACACTCGTCGTTATATGTTATATCGTGACTGCACTCGTTGCGTGTGTGTGTGTGTGTGTGTGTTTGTCACTTGTTATTAATTATACACTTATGATGCGTTATGATAACGATTGTATGAACGTCGTGAATGAAGGAGAGATGCCAAAGTGGATGAGAGGTAAGATGAAGTACAAATGATACGACAGGTGTTTGAAGCTCCAAGTGCCTCGGTCGGATGTCCTCAGGGTTGAAGGGTCGCCAAAAAGGTCGCGCAGTTCTCGTCGGTAGGCAGACACTGGCCGAAAGCTTCCAGCAACAACGGTTCTCCCTTCACTGCCATCTCATAATCACGGAAGGATATCTTGCCGTCGTGATCGACGTCGAGCTTCTTCAGAGCCAACTCCGACAAGTCCTTGACTCCCTCGTCCGGATCCTCCTCGCCGGGTTGCTTTATCAAGCAGTTTCTGCGGATGTGTGAGTTATCAGTGATCGTCGCTTAAATTCGTCCTCGTCGTGAACGCACCGATGAGATAATGACGAGCGACATTATCAAATTACGCGTTACATTATTATGAAGTAAAGATGGTTGAAACTAAAGCTAAATTTACTGAAAGCTGAAAGCAGCTGGATTTAAACGAGCCGACGCTGCTTTTAAAGCTACATAGTCGCGCTTTCTTCAAGTTTTACAAGAAATCTCGAATAGCGCCGCTACGACATCCTCGCACAGTTCGAGAGCTTTAAATCGCGTGACGCATACTTGAGCAATTGGAAGATCTCGTCCTTCGTGATGAATCCGTCGTTGTTCAAATCGTACACGTGGAAGCAGAAGACGATCCTGTCGCGGAGGTTGCCTCGCAAGAACACGTCGAGGCCCATGATCCACGGCTCGAGCCTGATGGCCCCTTCGATCTCGCGGTCCCAACAGCAGAACAAACGCTCCACCAGAATGTCCTCCGTGATCACGTGGAACGTATCGTGCAGGAGCTCTCGAAAGATCGTCCTGTCAATACCCTGGAATACACTTCGGGCATGTTCAACAATGTGATTGTCAACTGACCGGTTCATTCGCGAGCTACTCCATTACCTCGACCGCCGATCTCGATTGCGGCCTTCTACCGCTGGACGACACCGATCGGTCTGCTTGTTGGCTGGTGGTCAGCTTCATATAGAGTTTGCAGAGGTTGTCCAACTCCACCCTGGCGAATTCAAATCGAGCACACCACGTGAAGCGACAGCGAATCTTCCGCGGTAAGTGGCGCGCCTCGGGTCGCTACGAACGTGTCTAATGAAGAGTCCGATATTTAGGTACCTTCTATCTCACAACGAGTATCTCACCACGGTCGATCAAGGGAATATCAATCGCTATCGATGAAATCATTGCAATAACAAAGACGAACTTTCGCTGGCACTCTAAGCACGACACTGCGAAATATTAACGCGGTCAGAGCGAAACTTGAATTACTGTGTCGTGCGTAAAGATACTCGCGCGACCAACCCGGCTTCGTAAATCCAATTTCTAACACATTGATTGCAAAATGCAGGATCATTTATATGAATAAATACGACGCTAATAGTTCTATCCGTACCCAAAGTCGGCACGCCGACTTTTACTTCAGAAGATTCAACGTCACAGGTGACAAGACGATTGAGATGGCAGTTAGAAATTAATAATGAATTCTCACGGCTCCAAGGAAGATTAGCTTAATACACAACGTCTTAAAATTCACGTAGCAGCTGGTCTGCAGACCGAATTTGGATACTTTCGCGTGGATAATCGCGTCCTCTAGATCGGTCCGATCAGACCGTCAGTCGCAACGACGCGAGAACAGAAAGAACAGAGAAAACGTCGCGAGCGATCCCTGAGTTCCTGGACACTCGCCTGGAGAACCTCGTCCTCTTTTTCAAGGACTCGATCACTTTGACGATGTACGCGGAGTTCCTGACGCCGCCGGCCTCCGGCATCCTCTTGCGACGTCTCTTGCCACCGGACGCGGCGGAGATCTGCCGCTTCGCGTTCACGGATGCCTTGCGACCCTTCAGGAATATCGAGACGCTCTTGATGAACGTCGCGCCGGTACGGAGCCTCACGCCGGCGGGACGCTCGGCGCCGGCGCCCACGCCGGCGCCTGGACGGTCCTCCTCCGGGTGCACCGTGGTCGGCGTAACGCTCCGTCGTCCGGACATCCCTCGACCCTCGACTCGGCTGAAAGCTTCGTGAGTTCCGAGTATGTTGAGTTGTACTTGGCTCATTGTGAATTACTCGAGTTTTCGCGAAGGTTCCGCTCGAAATGCATCCTTCGAAGCCGCTTCCCAGCAGCGGGGGGAAAAATATTTGAGCCATCACTTTCTAGTTTCTCGCTCCGCCTCGTCGAAGCGAGCGAACGCCGTCGGCTGCTCGAATTCTAGGACGCTATTTTGAATGATCCGATACAAATTCGGTACAAATGATTTCCGTCTTTTGTGTGTAATACACGTTTGGGGACTTTTCCGTAAAGTACGACGCTGAGATGGCGAGGAATTCGCGTTTTGTATTGCATTGTGAGTTCATGCGGAGTCTTCCTCCCTCGCCGGGAGATCGGTTTTGCTCGCGTACGCTGAATAAAGGCGATCACCGCGACTGCGACAGAGATGCAAATTCTCCTAATAAAAGTAGGAAAAAAATACACGATAATAGAAGCCGTTACCACGGACCGATATAGTCGTTCGAGTCGATTGATCGATAAGAAATAATTCAAGGGGAGAGTAGCGTCTGCTTTTTTCTCTTCTCTTTTCTCCGCCTCGGCCGACGAGGATGGCTGAAAATTGCGGACGGCCGATCGCGGCCCGTGGAAAAATTGCCTCTCTCTCTCTCTCTCTCTCTCTCTCTCTCTCTCTCTCTCTCTCTCTCTCTCTCGTTCTCTCTCTTTCATGCGAGCGAGTTATTATTATTTACGATTCATATTTGCGTAATTCTCTTGCAACATGGCCGTCGTCGGTTTGTCGGTTCTGCTGGGTTACGAATCTTCGTGGCACGGGTAATGTCCCAATGAATTTAGATCGCGCATTTACGCGCGCGTAACTCGGCCCGCGTGCACGGCGAAGGAGCGCGATTTGCATAGGAAGCAGATGAGCGACGCAGATTTACAATACGAAGCGGAACATCGTTCGGATTACATGGAATATGTAATTCCTTCGACAAAATAAAATGATCACCAGCGAGGGATGAATATTACTCTCGCGAATTTCCCACCGTTCCCTTTTGTGTCGTTAGATTTTCGTCGTGATGAGTAAATAACTCATCGCTCGCTCGCGACGCGATGATTTATCTTTTATAGAGGATCTTTTATTTTTCCCACGCATCTTGTCATTTACGCGCGCCGACGATGGCAAAATAATAAAACTGAAACAATGATAAAAGCCCCCGTGTCCCCCCCCGATCAAAGACCCCGGCCGACCCCATCGCCGGAAGTTCGTGCCTCGCGGTCGTTTCGCGAGATGAAACGTATAAAGTTTTCTCATTAGATAATGAAAATAACTCACGCCAGAAGTTGCGTTGGTGAAGCGAGGCGGGCCGAGCATTATTTAGGATTTGCATCAACCGTACACGCCGTGCCAGGTGGAGCCACGGGAAATCGGGGAAACTTTGGGGGAGTGTTTTCGAGTTTCACCTTCGCGAGTATCTCAAGTTTTACGAGCCCTACATACGTAATCATTCCGATAGTTTCGCCGAGATAGTTGCGCCTTCTGCCTCCGCACGAGAGCGAGGCGCACCGTATCAGTTCTGCACTCCAATATAATCCGTCGTCAAACGCCATCATTTTGAATAATGCATGCCGAATGCATCTCCGGATGGTCGTTTTCCACCACGAGCATCGAGCTACCGTTCGCACGAACGCGACGACGATTTATAGCCCGCGATATTGCAAGTTTGAGAGGATAACATGAATCTAGGGCAAGCTACGAGCGCGTCTTTTACATGTCTTCCATAAAATGAAAGAGAAAAATTCATAAAATAAAATTCACAAAATTAATAAAAATAAATTTTCAAAACGACAGAGTATGTTTAAATTGCAGTTACTTCTAATCTAGGGCGAGCTACGAGCGTGATTTGCCCTGCTTTCTTCCGCCTTGCTCTTTCACAAAATAATGCCTTCCATGAAATAAAAAAAAAATTCACAAAATTAATCAGAATAAATTTTCAAAACGACAGAGTATGTTTAAATTGCAGTTACTTCTAATGGCAAGAGTGTCACATCGAATCGTCCTCGCGAGCACGAGAGGACGATCTGCAGCGCACAAAGTCGCAATTTTGAGAAGACAGTGTCGATTCAAGCGATTTTCTTTCCTGTCATTCTTTTTTTTTCCGCGCATCTTTCACGCTTCACTCTCTGGCTTCGTTCGATTCGTCGTTCTCCCAATTATTGCACTGCTAATTCTGCACGTGATCGAAAGGGGCCAAAACGGGACTGGAGGAGCGCAATTAACACACAGTGCACGTCGGAGCCAGATTGCTCTGCGATAACGATCGACGCTTCGGTTCTCGCGCGATTCTCAATTTAACTTGCCCAAGTTTCAGCTCGCGATTGACGCCGCGTGTGCATGCGGCTTTTCTCTCTGATCGCCCGTAGACGTTGATCAAAAGACGTGCCATCCGGTACATCTGATAACCGCGGATTTCGCGAACTTTGCTGAATCATTCTACCGCAATTATCGAAGAATGTCGGTTCTCGAAAATGTAAACGGCTCGTAAAAAGTCGCTAAAATGTATTATAAAATACGCTGTTTCTCTTTAGTTGTACATTTAGTGTACATGAAGATTCGAAACGAAATTTGAGAAATAATATTCATATGGAAGATTTCCTTTAATTTTGTCGTACGTCCAGGGGTTACTTGCAATGTTACGTGAAAATGGACGGTTCTCTCGCTAAAAGTAATCAAGTCTACAAAATAAAATGCCGAGTAGACGTCCAAGTATTATGTAAAAATGAACGATACGTGCACTTCGTTATTCGAATAGTGATCGCTAAAAATTGTCAGCGAAATCGAAGGTGCAAAGAGCTCACGAGTAACCGCGGTCCATCATCGCGTTCTTCATCGCGGGAATACGATCGATGGTGACAATATTTCTCGACGGGCTCTCGACGAGGCAAATCAACACGGCTCTCACTCGTGCAGCACGCATTCGGTGTGATCGGTGGATTCGATGAAATCGGAAAAAAACTTACCGATTAATGACAAAGGAACGCTTCCGTCGCACGACGAGGGTTGCGTCGTCAGCGGCGACTGCGTCTTATCGATCAAACGTAGCAAATGGCGAGTATGAGAAACATTTTAACTCGATAGGTATATCTAACGGGACACACGAGTCGTATAAACATATACACAGGTGCGTGCGATGATGAGACACGCGAGTCACCGCAATAAGTTTCTAAACCGCGTAAACGTCGGATGTCATGTTGTTGGGAATTCTACTAGCGACCGCTTACCGATCGCGTTTGTGAAATTCTAGTTCTATGTTAATCTTGCAAATTCCGTTAAATTCGAAAACCTAGTGAAGAATCCCAAGACACAGCACTATATAGTTACCATTGTTACGTTCTGAATGACACTTTCTCTGTGCTGAGAAAAAACGAAAGAACTTGACAATAAGAAAAGAATGATATAACAAAGAAACTACAAGAGAGGGAAAATTTTGTTGTTTTATTTTCTCGTAAATTATACAGACCCGTTAGTTTTTGCAAGATTAATTTATGTTTGCTCATCGTATATATTCTATTTGCGATTAAGTTACATTATGAGTAAATTGCTTCTTGAAAGCAAAAGTACAAATGAGGTGCAAGTGGAGAAAACTGAAATAATCCAACAACAAATAATCTTTTAAATGGTCTCTTCTGATTTTCTTTCCTTCGCTCTTATCCTCGTTTAGTCTATCATCGATGCATTACCGTTAACTATATTATTTCGCAACCTATACATTTTTAATTGTAACAGACATGTGTAACAAAATCGAAATTTTTTTACTGAAAAAATTAGATTAAGATTTTTATGCCGTAATACATATTCCACTTTACTCTTGGATGCGCGTCGTGCATTAATTTCGAATAATCGGTACTTTGTCCGCCCGATCTACAGAGGCAGCATCATCGTTAATGGAATTTATTTCTCTGGTCGTCGTCCACGTCGACTGATGTTTCCTGGAGCGATTCATCGTTAATTAAGAAATAAATGTGGCATCGCAGTTGATCTATGCTTCTTAATTTTCTCTCTCCTCGCCATGATCTTACTTGCATAATTTATCCAGATATTTTCGAATTTGCGTTAACTGACGCTGAACTTCGAGCAGCATATGAATAATCCTCTCCTGCCGATCTGACGCGGCTCCGTTGGCGCGTTCTACAATCAATTTTATAGACTTAATTATAGCTTTTCACGCGCTACTCATTCACCGTCACTTTAAATCGTTATCTAAATATTTCGACCAGTTTCTATAATATTCAAATTTATTAATATTATTAATACGACGTAACGTTTAAAAGTATACGGGGAAGATTCGCGAACGCTTACTGATCCGAATGTGCTCATCGGTGATCTCCCCATTCTGATGAACGATATCGAGCTCCTCCACTGTGTCTAGAAGCTCTCTCAAGTTGTTAACGTTCTTTATCGTCAGTTTTCTACTCGCTCCCTCCAAATTCGAGTCTGTAACGTTGCCGAGCTTGGCGTACGCGTTCCTCACTTTCGACTGTTCTTTAACAACACGTTCGACGAGCGATCCAAGCTGAGTCTGAAAATGCGTCTGAAATAAAACAGGATCATCGTCATTCGGCTCAAAGGTGTTCGTTATCTCCGACGAGAAACAAATGTCAATTAATATTGCTTGTATTGAATTTGCTTTGATTAACGAGATTCGCGGTATTGACCTCTTGTTGATTATCGTTCTTATCTTCGCACATTCTTCTGGCGTGCTCTACGAACTTGGCAACATTTCTCTCGTACGACGCGATCAGGTCCTTCAATCGCTGCGGTATATTCGAAGGAGCCTTCTGATCCGTTGAGTTCACGAGGCTCATGGAAACCGAGGACTCTATCCAGGTCGGCGAAGACGCGGCTTGGCTCGCATCCCGATGTACTCGCACACTTCGACGCTCGTCTACGCAAGCTGCGTTCTTTTTCCCTGGTGAAATCATTTCGGTAGGTAGAAATCGCAAACACGATCAACGCAATGTGCGCTTGACCTTCAGCTTTTTTCACACTCGAAGAACGCTGTCGGGTGTCGTTCATAAAGCCCGAGAGACGTTCGAGACACGCTTCTTTCGAGTAATATTTAAAGAAATATTAATAATTCCAATATGCATGATGATATAATTGCACGACAGTTTAGCGCTTTAGTGCTTCAGCGAGAAGAGCTTCCTCGAGTGCAAAGAGTCCGCACGTGATACAAGTCACGCACGCGAAAGACCTACCTGCGTCTCTCACGTCGGAGAGCGCGAGCGAGCGATACTGCGCCTGAAAGCGAAAATTTTACAGAAATACTTGCGCGCCTTCGGGTGAGTCTACATTCGTTTTCTAAATTGACGAATATAGATGTAACGTAGGATCGATGTGTTAATTGCACACGCGAGCGGTCGCGAGGCGTGTCGTTCACTCACGACTCACATGCGAAGGGAGGACAACCAATTCGTGATCGAGATATACCTATTAAGAAACTTACTCCGATCGCGACCACGGCGAGCACAATCGCGAAAAATCGCATTTTCTATTTCCCGGCCGTTCCCGTCTCGGACTCGGCTTCGTTAAATGAGACTCTAACGAGACCACTTGGCGGACCGTGTGGTTTTATAGGCACCGCCTGCGCACGAACAAAGGCATCCGCGTATGCGCGATATGCATTTCTCAAAGCATTAAACGGCAACATCCGGTGCAGGACAAACAAGGATATCGCCGTGCAATCTGAAGCCAGCGAGTGGTACGCGTGATTATTTCACGCGATAATTTACATATGATACTTTGCGTAAGCGGCAGTCGCTGTTTGTAGGATTATAATAAACACTGGTGAAATGATTCGTCACGCGTCGAGATATCACGAGGATCATCAAGTCGGACACAAGTGGATTTTGTGTTTTTTAAATTTATTCTATAAAAACGGGAGCTTACAAGAGAGATGTTTAACTACAATCGATTTATCGTCGAGCGAGTCCGTTTTTAACGACAGTTGTCGCTTCCATTTCATATTCATCCTCCGTATCCGCTGCAACAAACGGAAAAGGAAACCTCATTGTCTACAAATAATTGGCTACATCGGAAGATTCGACCGGAGAGATTTAAAATCGCTTCGTACAAATAGACAAGTAAAATTTCCTCTCGACAAACCTTCTGTTCGATCCAATTGGAGAAAAGAAAAAAGAATTCTCTTCAAAATACCATTCAACCAAGTTCGGAAAACAATATATTAAGAATTTCCGTCCACTGAGAACTCTCCTGCGATCGCTCCCTGCGATATTTACCCGGCGTTAGCGAAGGAATTCGCGAAGGAGGCGCTGCCCAACGGCGTGCTTATGGAGCCGGCGTTGGATCCGCTGCTGGCGAAACCAGAGTGACCATGATAATGTCCTCCGCCGAATCCATGCTTGTATCCATATCCGTGACCGTGACCGTGGTCGTGATATCCGTGGCCGTGTCCGTGGCCGTATCCGTGGCCATATCCGTGGCCGTAGCCGTATCCGTGGCCGTAGCCACGTCTACTGCGCGACTCAGGGTCGGCTTTAGGGTCGGCTTCAGGCGCGGCTGCTCTGGTTATTCTCGAGAATACTGAATGAAAGAGAGAAAAGTCCGAATCTGACCCTCCGACTGTACTTTCGTCACCGCGCGAGTTTCGACAAATCGGCCGTCGCGACTCGATAAAAACGCTGTCGAGAAAAACGTGATCGCGAGAAATTCGGTCCAAGTGGACGCAACGTCCTTCTCGATCGTGTAAAAAATTATTAGCGTTTGCCTGACCGTTGCAAGAATCGAGCCAACGACGAGCCTCGACGTCGAAGATATTCACGTCTCGGCTTGCGGATAAGATTCTCACCCGGCTCTTCTCACGCGTGTGCGCGGCCAAAATTCGGCCATCTTTCAACGAGCGGTTGTCGATCGATATTCCGCGGCTTCGTTATTACGGAGGACGGCCGAGTATTCGCAGCACCCGCATGACGGAAGCGGCGGCTTCACCGCAATATTTTCGTAATCCTTGCCGAGTAAATTAATCCGCCGAACGCGCACCCGGTGGCTTACCTTGAGGTCGCGATGTGACGGCTGGAAACGCAGCCGCGATCGCTGCGACGAGGGCGACGAGCAACAGGAAGAACGCGATCCTTGACATTCTGCCGTGCTGCGATCGGATACGTGATTAGTGTGTCGAATATGTGTGTGTGTGTGTGTGTGTGTGTATGTGTGTATGTCACTACGGTACGTTTTCCTGCGGGTATCCCAGTGCCAAATGACGGTGAGAAAATCGACCAGGCAGTCTTTATATACGGCGCGAGTCGTCTGTGCAAACGGGATACCCCGTTTCGCCGGAGCGTTTACGAAAGCTGCCACGAAACGGCCGCTTTCGGCCGCGACGAATCGCCGCATATCATTAGCCGACCGACGGGTCTCTTTGTCGGTGTGCGGGGCGATGATGCGCCGCCGTGTCCCTGGAGCTGGATTTCCTGCTTGTCCAGACAGAACGTCACTTTGTGACAGGCTCGAGCAGTCTTCGATAGCGCAGGAGATTCATCATGCCGATCTCACATTGGTTTTCACACGTCGGAAACGATGGAGGAGGACCGCGAGAAGACCACGGGGGTGAGTCCTTGACGCGGCGTTATTGCGTGAATCTTGTCGGCTGCTTGCAAAAATGTCAGAAGTTTCGAGTCTCGAGAGTCTCGAGGTCTGTTGCCAGATCGTTCGGGGGTGATCCCTCCTCTGCCTAGGAATGCGTAAAAAGATGCCGTGTTCAATTTATCGTTAGTTATCGTTAGAGAGAGAGAGAGAGAGAGAGAGAGAGAAAGAGTGAGAGAGAAATCGTGAAAGAGAGAGAAAAATATCTAAACGATACTTTCCCGCAACGGAGAGCCTTCGAACCGGAGGAGAACGAAGCCGAGCGGTTTGGGAACCGCTGGTCAGGATGATCGCGCGGATTGTTCTTTTTTTTTTTTTTCCAAATGGCGAAGTTCCGAAAATAAGAGAGCGAAAAAATAAAGGAGCCGAAGAGGATGAACGGGCAAAGGTTCTATCTGGGATTTTGTTTTCTTTTTTCTATAGAGCGAGTGAGAAATCGCGGGTCGAGCGGGAGAGTTCAACGATTGGTGGAGTCGTGATCGTGCGCGCATATATCTTCGGGCTTTTTTATTCGGCCTCGTCGTTTTACCTATTTTCGTCTTGTTGGCGGGAATAAGGACCTCTTCCGCGTCCCCGATAAATCACGATGTACTTCACGCGCGTAATTAATGCCTGACACGTCGCTCGCGATATTCTCGGGCGAATTGTGTCCCGAACGAGACACGAGGCGCAGGATGTATCCTCGCGGATAATACATGTCTACGGATTTTACTAGGATATGTTTTTACGCATCTCGCGCTGTTCGCGGGTCTTCGCGATGTTCGCGCTAATGCCACGCGCTAATGTTTTTCTTGTCGAGGCGACGCGCCAAAGCGCGATTAACAATGGTAAGCGCGAAAAGGAAATTCCACGCTTATTGTAAGATTACGAGAGGCGATTCGCAGATCAGTCGTAAATCAAACAATGACGTACTCCAAAGACGACGATATTTTCTCGATTTGCACGCGCGAAAATATTTTCCACCGTTCTCCCGCCCCCCTCTCCCCTAATACCTTCTCGCAATTGCGTCGTTGTATAATCCGTGTACTTAACAACATCATTTGTCAAAACGTCGCTGCGTGCTGCGTTACGCCTAAACGCCGCTCTAATCGACGCTCGGTGCCTAACGCTCATCGGAATCGAAATCACGCGGCATGCTTTAAAAACCGTAAAACGCTTCTCGCCCGGTAGATTCATTAACGGCCAAAGAGGAGACCTTGGGGCTCTCTCGGGGCTTCACGGTCTTGGGTCGACGAACGAAGGCGCGTCGGGATTCCCACCTGGGCAACCTGACAACGTAATTCCGCGATTCACGGTCCATGTTTGTCTCTCCCTCTCGTCTCTCTGTCCTTCTGTGCGTTTTCTGGACGCTTGAACTTTAATATTCCAATTGGGACATCGATCGCAACGTAAACTCCGATCGAGACAAGGAGAGAAACATATATATACTGATCAAAATTTCAAATTATGCCACGTCTGTATACAATTCCTGTATAATTTGGTTTGCAACTTACACAACTTTAAATTCCACCGATGCCCCGTGGTTCCTTCTGCCTTGCGTAACTTTGTTTATACACACAGTTCGCGTATAATAATTAGTAGGCACTTAGGAGACTCACTTAACGACGGGGAAATAAATCCCTGTGTCGCGCTGTTGAATTTTGATTTATTATACAACGAATTTAATGGCACGATCCTCAGTTGACATTTTAGCACCTGTTCATCCTGCAAGTTTATCGGACTTGGGGATCTTCATAGAGGATGGTGCAGGTTGAAAGGTGGGGCGAAAAGAATGATAATGAATGATAAATGAAAAATATAAAGATAAACATAGCGGTTGTGGAAATATCAGTAGGGATTTAAATTTGCTGAATGCAAGTAAAGAAAAGACATTCAAATTGAAATCTGCTGGCCAAGTAGCTTTAGCAAAGACATAATAATAAATAATAACAATAAATTGACATTTGCCAGCTGACTTGGGCGCGGTATTCATAGTTGTAAATTACTTACGTTCTTTGATCGAGAACATGTCAATTACAAATTCGTGTCCATGGATCGTTATTTGGCCGCTTGGATCGGCATTTCTTTCTGTACGAGAAGTAGCATAGATAAATGAGCGATATTGGAAATTCGACTATGAAGCTGTGATTATTTATTAAATAATAACGAATCGTGAACGGCGGCCTTGAATTAAATTGATTCTCAACTTTGACTCGAATATCTTTATGTTTCGGTAAGATCGCGTCAAACGTTAAAATCCGAGATATGTAATAATTGATATTATATTGACATATAATAATTGCACATACTTGGAAATGATGTTGTTGTCTACATCCTAGCGTTCTGTGACGTCTTTCGTCCTTCGGCTTTCAGGTCCAAGTCCATCTTTCTCCAGGTTGTTTCATTGGATTTTGGACAGACACACACACACACACACACACACACACACACACTGCACTTTTGCAGATACGGTTCGATGGAGAAACGAATATAATCAAGGCGTTGCCGACGGAAGGCAAATGAAAAAATTTACGAATCATTTTTAACCGGTATTTTTAAGATTCGAAAAGGGAATGCGGACTGACGCGTACTCCGCGGAATTTGCGTCACTCGACTCGAGACGTAATAATTCAGTTACAGGAAGAGTTCGCAACGCATGAGAATTCCAACAGAAATTCTCATTTCGACATCTGTTAACATCATTTAACGTCAAGAAACAAATAACGAATAATTAATACGAAGCTATGTTTATTTAGTAGCGACACGAGAAGGACGGCCTAAATTTCAGCTTGCGTTACTCACGTGGCTGCTCGTTAATTATGTCGTTGCGTAAACTTTGTCGCACTGTTACAACATTGCAAAATCTCACGGAAGTCGGACCTTGGTCCGACAGATTCCTTCAGATCGGAAAGATAGGACGAACGTTCGCACGTATGTTGCGCTACGGAGACTCGAGAGGTCTTGAAAGTGACGTCAGCTGCTTAAATTTGGGATTACCAACGGAAGGAGAAGCGAGCGTTATACGTGACAACTCGCATATCCTTTACTCGAGACGAGTGCATAGAGGAGTGCTACTAATTACTAATAATAAGGTGACTCGAGATAATCTCGCAGACTCTGGTCAATCTCAAGGACGAAATTTTCGGCGCAGCGCTCCTTCCTTCACGCAGACGATCGTTTCTCACCGAGCTTGCTTTTTCTGCTCTCGCAAAAAACGGAGCTCAGCTTTCCTGTTTGGCAAAAGCCGATTCTCCTTTTATTTTCGGCGCGAGATTAATAAACGCCGATATCTCGCCGCGGCGCTCTCAAATCGCGCGGAATGATCCCAGCGTGCGTTACGTAAAGCGGACAACCATTGTAATTTGTCATTTTTGTGGATCAACGAGTCGAAGGACACACGGTGCGTAGGATGAATAAGAACGGAGTCTTTCGTTTTTAATACTTTTTATTGCGTCAGAATTAACTTACGTGCTTAACCGGAAAGTGGACCGACGTGGACTGTCGAACGCGCGAGGGAATACTGACTTTCGTCTTAGAGACTGTTTCAAGGCTTTGGATTTCGGTGTCGTCAAGTAATCGGTTTATTGTAACATAAGTGCTCGCAAGAATCGGACGTGAAGAAGTGCAACGTCACGTTCGAATTCGGAATGTCTCTTTCGGTTAGATTTTCCACCCGAGCAGGTATTCGGCTCTCCGAGGAGAATTTCAAATCTCAAGTGGTCGACGCAGCTGTGATCGTCGCGCGGATACTTAACAGTATAGTTCTAGTTTACGGAAATACACGCTACGACTGCGAAATAACGCTAATATTGTCTCCTTGCGTGCTGCTATAAATTACGGTAGTATTACGTCCCAACTAAAGAGGCTGCTACGAGTGTGCGTTCGATTCTTCTCAAATGAAATCTGTGTCATCTAAATTTGCACACGGTAAACATACAATGGACGGACGGGAGAACAATCTCCGAAAAATCGCGAGGACGAGAACCGTGTGGAACCGTTATGACTTCGTCTGTAAATTCAGAGCGAAGCGGTAATTCGAAGCTCGTCGTGATCCACCAGAAACTGCGAAATTGCAAATTTCCACTCGCTTTAACGAAGTGCCTCGACAATTTACGACAATCGATCAATTCTTACTTTCCAATTAACTTGGTTCGTTCGCCGAAGATATTTAGGCGACGGTCGTCCGCGTGTTATTCTTCGTTAAGTGTTCGTGATTCGGAGATGAGAAAGTTCGGTGAATATAACGCGCGAGAAATCCGGCGGAGATCGCAGCTTCGGTGTGTTTACCTTTCTCAGGTGTTCAGGCGGTGACGACTTGATCTTTCAACTTGCCGATGAAATCGATCGCTCTACTAGGAGCTATTCCTCGGACGGCTGCGAGCGTCGTTTCTTTCTAACGGAAGTGCGTGCGACAAGACGTGTTAGCTTGCACGAATCTATTATTATACGTTCGAGCAGCGTATTTGTTTCGCACAACAAATACGCCACTCGAACTTAAATAATTCATCATCGAAATCGACTGCGTGTGTTTTTTAACCCTTTAACGCCCGACATTTTTTATAAGTGTTTTAAGAATTGAGTTGAGAAAATTTGAGTTTTTTTGAACTGAGACTATAAGTAGCGATAACCAAAAAAGACATCAGAATTTTATATCTACGAAAAACTACCTTTCCGATGTAAAGTAATGTAAAGTAAAATGTAAAGCAATAGTCTGCTTCTGAACGAAAAAATTTTTTTTTGCAAATACAACGGTAAAAATGATAAACATGGACACACTCAGAGATGATTATTCAGATGGAAAAACCGTGAAACAATTACACGGAAAATCAGCATCAATCGTTTACTTCTGAATAAATGAGTGCATGAAGTTTCCGCTCTTCGTTTGTTGGTCTCGTTAGTTTGGTTTTTTTATCGTTCGTTTTTTGTTCATCGGTAAATATGACTTGAATTCTAAAAGCATATACGAAATCAGCAACCTATACAGAGAAAAATGAAGGATAATCTATACGACATAACTCTGATAGTCAGCTTGACATTTTTGAGCTGAAACTTTACTATATTTGTGAGTGAAGTTTATCATCCAGAGCGTCAAGCTTACTATTTCAGAGGAATATCTTAGAAGTCACCATTTAGATAGTCAATCGTGCCTTCATTTTTCGCCGCATAAAAAATTGTAGATCACCAGGTTTCATGAAAATAAGTTGATTTCTTGATTTTCGTGTCCACCATATTGGATTCGTCATTTTGAATTTATGTATTCTTTGAATTTCACATTTTGCATCTGAGAAAGCTTCCAAATGTATAAAATTATAACAGATATCAATCTGTTCATTTATAGTGCACTTCTAGATGTCAGTAACAATGCTAACTCTATACCTACTTGGAATTTGACAAAACATGTCATCATTAAAAGTGAGCTAAAAACAGACTAAACCGAATCTACATACAATCCACATACTATTTTTTAGAAGAAGAATTCATCTTTACAGTGGTGCAAAGAAAACGAAAATTCTTTTTTGACTAAATTATGGATTCTTAAATGCGTTTCTGGTAACTATGGTTACCAGTAGGCGTTAAAGGGTTAATCCGATTTTCCTCGATGAATTCTTCGGCTACTACGTCCTGCGCTTAACGTTCGTCTGAACGCGCGACGTAATGGAACTCGTTAACACTCAAGCAATTGCACGATTCAATAAATATAATAATTTTGACAAGCATATACTTGGAAATTGCAAACATCTTAATAATCTTGACGCGTTTTAGTACTTCATAATTCAATATTTCATATTTCAGTTGGATGATTTTTAACGATGCGAAAATAATCCTTCTTCAGCAGTTATCTCGGGAAATGATTTCTTACGAGCTATCCCTGTTACCCTAACCGTGTAAAGCTGAGGAGAATCGATGTTAATAAGAAATTTCGACTTACCCAGCAGGAGATCCGCCATACGCAGTCGCCACCGAGCTGGCAACCCCGCCTTTCCCTGTGGAGTAACTATTCGCAATAGCAGTGATGGCTCCAGGAGGGGAGCCGGCGGATCCGGCGCGAGTAGCCACTCTCGGGAAGCTGAAGACCATGGGGAAGAAGTTGTTCAGATTAGGATATCCCTGACGACGCCGGTTGCCCTTAAAAGGTACGAACGGCGCGGCCGGCCCGTCGTCTTGCTCGTCAGCCTCGTCGTCGTCATCGTCGTCGTCATCGTTGTCCACGATCACGGGTGTCTTTTGCGTTTTCTTGGTGTTGTGCACCTTCGGCCGCGTCACCGACACTTCCGTGCTGGCCGCGATCGGCCCCTCCGCCGGCTGCGCGATATCCGTCGTCGACGGGATTTGCTCCGGCTCGTGGTGTTCCTGTAAATGAAAGATAATGCTGGATGCAGCGTTTGATGGAAGCACCGCGCCATGTGTATCTCAGGAATGAACCGACGTATTGTTATGCGGAGGGTTTGAAGAGTTACAAATTAATAGATCCGTAGCATAAAATGCAAAGAAAGGATGGAGTATGAGTTTCTAGTAATGTTTTAAACATTAAAGGATAAACATCACTAAATAACATAATGAAGAAAAAAGAATGTCACAGATAGATTTTCGATCGGTTTTCAACGCTCACGGGTTACGGAGATTGCTGCCTTCTTGAAACACGAACTGGACAAAATGGTTGCTACGAATTATGAACCGACTGGACTCTCGCTCCGAATCCTTCATCCCGTCTCTCTTGCAGACTTATTTGCCTCGAATACGACTTCACGTACGTTGAATAACTGCAAAACCCGCGAACACTATACCTGAGGGTTTAGAGAGTCCTGCTGATGCCGGTGATGATGCTCGTCGCGATGATGCTGTTCCTCTTCGTCGTGGCGGTGGTGCTCGCGATGGTGCTCCTCTTGTTGATGATGATGATGATGATGTTCCTGATGATACGGGTGATGCTCCTGCGGCGGCGGCTGCTGCTCCTGATGCCGTTCCTCGTCGTTGTAAACCTCATCGGACGCGGGCGCCGCTTGAGCCTCGGCACTGGACACTTCCGATTCTTCGATCGGCTCCGGGCCACCCCCGAGGTGCGGCGTATGCATCCCGCTGAAGAAGGCCTCGCCGCTCACGGCGTTCCCCTGAGCGAAGACGCCAGTCGCTTGGCCGCCATTGTTATTCGAGCGACGCACCGGCCTGTAATATCCGGTGAACATCATCGCCCGTTGCGGATAAGGGTGCACGGCCGTTCTCTTCTCTCTCAGGAACATTATGGGATTGCCATAAGCGTCCAGCATAACGGAGACTGCGGAAGAAAGGGCGGAATGCAAGCTTCTCAATTATTTATTTTATTCTGTTTAATATTTATGTTTATGTTATTTACATATAATTTGGATTATATCTTAGATTTATATTATTTTTAATTATTTCTTTTTATTTTAGATTGAGTTTACGTCGCACGTATCTCGAAACTGACTCTGGAGATTCTCCGCAGTCGGAAAAGCTGACAGGTGATCTTCCAAATCTCCAATTTTCCAATATTTCGGATTCCCCAAGTTTGAAAGATATAAGAGTAAAAATTGTTATATAGAAAACATACAATGAAAGAAAGTAATATGTTATAAAATTATCGATTATTTATAAGTTGTATAAAAAAAATGGAACAATACGAATTTTTATATTTCCTTATTATTATAGAATATTATTATAGAAAAGGCGTCTCTCTCTCTCTCTCTCTCTCTCTCTCTCTCTCTCTCTCTCTCTCTCTCTCTCTCTCTCTCAAAATATCTCCCTCAAGAAATATTATGTGAAACTCGAAAGAGAGTCGATTTTAAAAACTTTTCTAGTTTAAGAAACTGCAACATGATACCCGTAGCTTGAAAAATAATGGCGAAAGTCACTAAATAACGTATGAGAAAGTAACATAGATTTATCAATTTTCAGCTCTTACTAGGCTCGGCCGGAATCACCCTCGACTCGGCCATTGCGATCGTCGACGCGATCGCGACGAGAACGAAGCTCAAGCAACCGGCCATCGTCGCCCGGGTTCTTTTTCTCGAGTTCCTTGCCGCGCAACGACCCGCTACTTTCGACCACACTCGAGATTTCCCTGTCGAGGCTTCCTCCGGCAGGCACCGACTTCTTGCGCGGTCGGACGGAAAATCGCGGTGATCGACGGGGCTCACTTCCACCGATCTCTCCACGCTGCTGTACGCGATACCGACGATACCGACTTTTTGCACGATGCTGCTAGTCCTCGTCGACACGCAATTGCTTTTATACCATGAAACACACGGACACGGGACGGACAGGCACATGTCCGTCGACACGGGGGTATGGGTATGGGTATGGGTCGGAGGGACTCGTCGGTGGGACACGGGGGATGTGGGATCGAGCCGGATCCCCCCACTAGGCGTCGTCAGGTGGTCGCTTGTACGCCAGGATCGCCGTAAAGCAAACGCACGCATCGTTCAACGGTACGTGATCCCCATGACCGATGCGGCACATGCTGAATCTGATGCATTAATTGTGATCCGCGCCGATGGCAATCTGGATTCGAGGGATCGGACGCCGGCGATCGGGATATAGAGATGGCTGCGACGATGTCCTGCCGCGCTCAATCAAAATCCTCCTCGAGTGTGCCCCGCGTGAGCGCGCGCGCGCGCGCGCGCGCGCGAACGAAGAAAGGAGAATGCCGAATTCCGCATCGGGATGCGCGTTTATCGCGCGTCCTTCTGCCAATCAAAAGTCTCCGGGACGAGTAATTGTTCAAAGGGATCTCAGATCCTTTAGACGCTTGGATCCTGGATAATTTAGATTAGAGACGCTTTACCTTGTTATTTCTTGCTGAATTTCTGCGCGATGTTCTTTGTGATTTCAGTTCTGCCGCAGAACAGCGGAAGGAGAAAACACATCGAGCACCCGATAAATCCTGCGAGCGAGAAACAACACTCGAAGGCTGGCTCGAAGTCTCAGGCTCATGACTGAAACAAGGTGTTTGTAATGAATTCGCTTGGGAAACGGCGGGAATGTGAATGGGCGATGGTTGACGAATGTCGCGGAGGGCCGATGGCCCGTCACTTTTCCTCTTTCACGACGTGAGTTACTGAGTCACGGATCGAGGCGCGATAAAGGGATCTCTAGACGAGCAGGCTCGAGGATAGATTCATACATTTTCAATCGTTCTATAAATATGTTCCTCCGAGAGGAACGAGAGAACCCCGAGAGGTTTCTCTGCTTATCCGCCATTATTTTCTCGGTCAATACCTCCTGGAGAGGTCTTCGGGATGCCCGTGTGTTCGTTTGCAAACGCAGGTCTCACCGACTGAAGGAGCCGACAACGCGATTCTCAGGACAATTTCAAATATGAGCAATGCATATTGTGGCAGAAATAAATCAGAAGATCGACGAAAATAAAAATGACTCGCGATTAGGTGCGTTGAGATATGATGAAACGACAGTAAGGGGTAACACCGTAGCGACTCATAACGAGATGAGACCTAAACCCGAGGAAGTTTTACGACCGTGCGCGACGCGGAGCTGCATTCGTCACAAACATAAAGCGTGAATAGCAGAGCGCGGGGCCGCGCAAAGAGAGCGCGTCGCTCCCTTAGTACCGATCCGCGATCGCAGTTTCGCTCCTCTCCGCTTGCCTTTGAGGCTGATGAAGCGTGTAGAAGGGACAGTGACACGTCAAGGCGGATCCAACTGTGAGAAGAGCGAGAGCGAGAGAGAGAGAGAGAGAGAGACCGCTTGTTTTACGATTCCGGACACGACGACCACGGCCACCACCACATTGGACTCTTACGGACTCCTGATCGTCCCCAAGAATTATCGTCGCCTCTGACCAGTCGTACCCGCGGACGCTCAGCCGAGTATGACTGACATAATATTAATATTAAGAGGTTGTACGCACATCGTATGGAGACGTTACGTCAAACACGCGTCGTTATACCTGGCCGATGAAGGGACTATCCATCGCGGCAACGTTGCGTGCATCATTCGAAATCCAAGTCGAGCCACGCTAGAAACGGCTCATCGCCCAGAATCGCTCAGAAAACGGGAACGGAAATAACGAGAGCGCAGCTGAGATTGCTCGAAAAACACACTTCGTATCAATAGCGGCAGAATAAAAATCGAGGAAACGGGGAGTAAAGCAAGCGGGCAGGTCAACAATTTAAGCGACGCGTTCGAGCTGAGCTTTCGAGTCCGCTAAACGATCCAGCAAGGATCAAGACAAAAGATGCTCGAGCGCGGATCGCGATTTCGCAGGTCGGGACTCGAGCGAGACCGACTGGGTCTCAAGGAGAGAAGGGCGTCGCGAATATGCAACGGAGATGGATCTCGATGCTCCCCGACAGAAGGAACATATTCCAGCGGAATGATGCACGAATTTGGCGATACCGATCGCGACGCAGCTCAGTGCCTCGTCCTGGGCCCGGCGTGCCTCGCTTCTTGGTGCGGCCGATCACGACCGAAAATACGAGACGCGTGACTTGAAAACCGCAGCCGATTTCGGGCTTGATTCATGAAATAACGCGTTGTATCCTTCGCGTATACAACATCCGGTAGCGGTGTACAAGCGCGACAAAGTCGATAAGGCTTTCTCGGCCGGCTTGAACGTAGCGGCGAACGCTATCGTGAGCTGAAAGCAATCGAGTCGCGAAGAAGAGTGTGGAATTTTAGAGGGCCCGGAGATGCGGACGACAAAGTCGCGGAGGATCGACGTGAGACCTCAAGGTCGTGCGGTGGTACACTGCCGTAATATGATGCGCGCAACGCGCATTGTGTAATTTGGTAGAGATTTTCATAAACAGCCCCGATTCTCCGTCTTTGTTCAAGCGACGGGGGTGGAACTTGGACTCTCTCCGACCAATCGATATATCTCTCGGAACAGAGCCGATCTAACGCGATATAATTCAAGTGAGTTTAAGAGACCTTTCAATGAGACTCAGTATTACGGTGGAACAAGTTCAACGACCGCGCGGTATGTTCGGTACCGATTTGCAGGTAAGACCTTTTCGAACGAGGCCGACGACGAGCGCGAGCTCGTGGATTTAGCGTCGTTGAATTATTCAGTTTCTCCCGCGCGAATCAGATTCTCGCGTATTAACCCTGTTCAATTATTTATTTACTCGGCGAGCGCGATAAATTCATATCTCGTGTGTGCGCAGCCGACGGAGCTCTCCTCCGGCGCGGAATTAAAAGCAGAGATTCCCAGGATTCCCAGGATTTCGCGGTACGCTCTCGTCTTCTGTTTTCGCGAACGTCTACGCGGGAACGTTTGCCGACGGAATCTCATTTGGTGCCATCGCGTAAGCTGAATTAAGATTAGCCAATGTCGAATTACACGTGCTGTGCAACGACACACGCTTTCACACACACACACACACACACACACACACACACACACACACACACACACACACACACACACACGCGCGCGCGCGCGTACCGGCGATCGGAGATCACGCGCGGAGACCGTTGGAATGTCAGACGCGCGAATCATACTATTTCGGCAGTCTCGCCCGACAGATTTCGGCGAGCGATCCCTTCGGAAGCGATACCGATTAATTCGTGAAGCATTTCACATCGATGAGCGAGACGCACGAGCGAGTCCGTCGAGTGAATTCTTACGAGGCTTCGCGGAGTGTCATCATTGCCTTGAGATCACCTTGAAGCTTTTGCTCGCTTTTTCACTCCGTGAAAACTAACGCGCGAATCCCGAAGAGATTGATCGTCGAGTATCTCCGGAAAGATCGAGAAAAGGAAAACCAGCCACGGATATCATCAGGACGTCACGTTGATCTCTCTCTCTCTCTCTCGACGCGCATCTGTGAGGTCTCTCCACGTCTTTTATTATCTCTTATTATAGAGAGTTAAGCAAGCTTCAGGATTTACAGGATTTTCAGGATTTACAAGATTGTACGCTGAATCAAATAATGATCTCAATAAATACAAGGAAAATGGATACTATTAAAGCTGCGACTAAAGGGGATTTTCGGTGTTGGCAGCGCGAATGAGACTAGCTCTTGCTCGTTTGTTTGTCACACACGGTGCAGAAATAAAGGATTACCTTACCGTATTTTCGCGGACTTCGACTGAATCCGCGAGAGATTCTTCTCCAGCGAGCAGGTGAACATCCACATGATCGATTCCCAGCTGAGTTTCCACAAAGCATCGACTCCGCGCGCATCCCGCACATATACGGGTAGGCAGGCAGGCAGGCAAGCAGACAGGCAGCGATATCCTATTTGGAAACGAATCACGAATAGCAATCCGGTAAGTCCGGTAAGCACGGCGGGTTGAAAGACCGCGTAACATCTCGCCTGCGGATTGCGCTCATTTTGCAAATTTTCAGAAGAGAACAGAGGAAATTTGTGCTTGTATCGGACCGACGGTATGGCACGTATTATCTTAGACGCGTATCCTGTTCAGTGGCGTAGCCAGGACGAAAGGATAGGATCTTATCGCGGATATTCCTCGAGAAACCCGAGAAACTGCTGGCAGCGGCAGAATTACCAACGAATGACCGCGCGTCTTCGATCGAATTGAAAAAAGTATCGAAAATACGGTAAAAGAAACCGAAAAGTTTGGATCCCCGCGTCCGATCTCTTTCGCGTAACATTATTTCGCTGATCGTCTGAGAAAAGGATCGAGGATAAAACTGAGATAAAAATATAAAAGTAGTTAGCGCGTTCGAGCTACTCATTTGATCGATTGTAAATTTTCGTCTATTTTCGTAATGTCGCTCGACACTGGCTCTCGGATCTCCGTTTCGAGATTCGTTAACGCGAGCTGCGCCATTGATGCCGCGGGCTCTGATCAGCAGTCAGCGGATCGACGACGGATACCCGTTTGGGATTTAGTGTCCAGCTTTTCCAGGGAAGACATAAAATAGTCGCAGGTGCACCGTCGACCGACATAAACGCCCGCGCGTCGCACGGGCCGTGATGTACGTACACCAAGACGAACACTACGGATTCTGCATCGCGATAAGAGGTTCGACGCGAATCCGAGATCGAGCCGAAGAGGACGAGAAACCTGTGCGTCGGGCTTCGTTCTTCATCGACCGCTGAGGAACAATTGATCGGCCGGATTTGTATTCGGCTTCCAGCCTGGATCAGCCGACAATAAAAGCTCCGAAAAAGCTGCGAACCCTTCGCCGTCAAAATGAAAATTCTTCGTTGTCTCTCGCGAAATATTTTTGTCTTCATTCGTCCATTTCTCGGTAGAGAAAAATTTTTAATATCAGAGTTCTCTTGGACACATAGTTAATATTAAATAATGTCTTAAGTTAATGTTGAATAACGCCTTAGGAAGTTTTTCTAACATTCTTTCTGTGAAGATTAGAGCGACACGCTTTCGTCTTCATCGAACCCAACAGTTTTGCGAAAGGACATCGTATGAAAGGAGGAAACGAAGTATGCGCGTTAGATCTAAAGTCAACGTCGGATTATCACCATCGCTCGGCCAATTATAGATATTTTTGCTTGCGTGTCGCAACACCGAAGAAGTATGACAGACGTACGAATACTTCAGCACCTGCGAGAGTCTGGCCACGAAATCGCCATAAAATATATGATGCTGGTCGGACTTAATGTTCGGAATGCGAGATTTCCCTGCTTTCCACGCGCGAAACGAACAATCCGCCGTTCGCGACATAACACCTCGATCGTAAGTCAAAATTCAAGAGTCTTCCGGCACGCGATCGTTTTCGAGAAAAGTCGCGAGATTCTTCTTCCCTTCGCACGCATCGCGCACGCAGAGGAACAATCAGTTAGGGATGTAAAATACTGTTCCATTTGGCAGAGACGATTACTTATACGACTACTTTCGCGTACATTATCGCGTTATCGCTCACGAACGCATCACGATAACGCAAGTATCAGCTATTCGTGAACGAAAATAACAAGAATACATAAATATATACTCTCACCTCTTTTCCGGGAATTCGACGACCGTTGCCACGTAAACCATCGTTTATTTTTCACTACCGAAAACTGTGAGGGAAGTTATGCATGTGTCACGTTCTGAAAGCCGCGAGAAACTACACGTCATATTTATAACATCGATATTCTAACAGATCGACGCGATGTTTGTCATATGTGCGACGTAAGGCGATATATATCGACATAGAGATATAGATCGATTCTTACAAAAGAAAGAGCAATGATGGACGGTAAGGGGAGGATATACAAACTTCGATCAACTTCGCGACGATTCGAGAATCGGTTCGGTTATGATATACGTATGAAGTTAAGAATAAACGACAGTTCCGCGAATCGCTGATCGCGAGGACGTAACTCCTCGTGATAATGAATTACGCGATTAAAAGCTTGGATGGTTCGACGTGTTTTGGACGTGCGTGTCACGTGCTGTGGTTGAATCGGCCGGTACGGTACGGTACGGTACGGTATGCTGCGGCGCGACGCATCGCGATGTCGGCTGCCTTTTGAGCGCCTCTTGCGATATTTCAGCCAACCGATTTTTTTTCGACTCGCATACGCACGCGGAATGCCTGACAATCGGCCATTGCGGCGGTCGCATTGTGCGACCGTGATGTATTGTCTATAAGAACACATTTGCAAGAAGTGCCGCGTATTCAAATCGCATTTATCTGCATTTATCGCAAAAATTTATCCCGTGTCATTCTGCTTGAGTCTCCATTTGTATTCTGCTAATGATTATGACATGATTGTGCTTAAAGTTAGCACTATTTGCTCTTAAAAATATACAATTTACAATCGCTAATCTCGTGTCACGAGAACATTGATCGCGAACGATACGTCGTGATGACTTCTTGTAGTGTAACATAGTGCATGTAGTATGATTGGAAAAATTATTTGAATATTTATGCACTTACAAAGACAAGTACATAGCATCAGATGCGTGCAAAATTAAATATTAAATATTAAATATTGTAAATTAAGCGAATTACCGATATCTTGTTGCTCACAAGATATAGATTTAAAGAAAGACCAGGTTTCAAGTAGCTGATTTCGCGGCGGGATGGAACTAATGGGAGTCAAGAGTATTCTGGCGCAGAAAAATGAACGGATATTACTATTTACAGTCTGTAAAGTAAGAGCGTGCACGGGTTAATGTGTAGAGAAATTTATTTTTAATGATTTTTAAGTACATGGATTTGCTGTAGTCCATGAGAAGAAAAACGCTATACCATTAATAACGAGTCCAGCGACCACCACCGGCATTGATAATTGCCTGGCATCTATCGAGGCATACTTTCCACTAAGTTGACTGCGTATTCGTTCGGTAAAGACCTCCAAATGAGACGAATTTGTCGTGTCAGCTGCTTCAAAGTGCACACTCTTTTTCGTCGAAGCTTGTGCTTGAGATATGCCTCACAAAATACGGCTCACAAAAAAAACTAGGACGCTATTTGAAGCCAATGCTATTTATGCCGTATACACGCTCTTACTTTACAGACTGTATATGTAGCATCGAACGTACGTGCGAAATTAAACGCCGCGTGCACAAGTTCGACAATTACATGTCTCTCGTTCCGCGCGAAGCATGGATTTGAGAAAAGTCGAGAATTAAAAGAGTACGATCCTGTGACCGTGACCGAAATGATAAGAAACTGGGGGGTGTTATGACACAGAAGAATTTTATTGTTCCTTTTTTGTTACATGAGCCGTGGTCCAAAAGTTCGTCGAAAGAGGTGTGATCACAGATGAGGGTGTGAGGGTCGTGCGGTTGTCCTCGGGGTCGAATTTTTCACCGTTTCCGAGATTTCAGCAGGTATCCCGCGACGCCCAAATCCAGATACCTGATTGAGATTACGTATAAATCAAATTCATACGCAACTTCGCAAACAGATTAACGTTTAATTAAAATACACCAACAATTCAAACGCGTTTTAATTAATCTCGCCCCTCGATTAATAGCTTTTTCATCGGTAAACCACTCAGGATACACGTGTTTTTATTATCAAATGCAAATCTGCACTTTGAAAATTTTACACTACTCGCAGTTATGCATACATAATTGACGATAATTTAGTCAGCAGCAAGCAGCAATATCGAGTAAACACGTTCAGGATTTAGTACAATTTATTTTTGCGGGATGATTTTGCGGCGAAATATTATCAGTCAGTTGATACCTGATGAAATTCTTTCTCGCTCGCCGTTCGAAGATAACTACGAATCTAGGCGATTTAAATGGTAATCTGATCTCTATCGCGATCTCGGTATCACTGAGTCGGGTTTTGATCGATTCAGGCTTCACTCCGCCGGCAAATCGGTTTCGGAACTTGTACTTTTCGTCGATTTACCTCCTTCGCGCTGTAAGAATGTCCCGCTTCTCCCTTTTGTCTGGCGTTATACGGCTTCCATCGGCGGAAACGAGCCTGGATGCGATTGCAGTCGGCTTTTCCGGCGGACCGGTGGTCCCTGACGGCACGTTCGACAGTAATCTTTTGCCCTGACGGTTCTCTTTTGATTTCCTTCTGACGTTTAAGTCCGACGACACGATGATCTCATCGAACGTTTGGCCGAAATGCCCTACGTGATTAAACAGAAAATTAGACACGTTTTTCAGTGCCCTGTAGCATTTTTCTTAACTTTTAGTTTTTTAGTTTATACTAAAAGCTTTTGCGTGCGAGTTTACCTTTCGTGCGTGTGTAAGATACACTGAAACTCAATAAATGATTGCGTAATTTTTCAAACGTGAAACGTTTTCATAAGCGTGAAAATTCCATGATTAGTATTCTTTTGCCGTTCACTTACGCTTACCATCAGATGTCTCCTCTTGAGAGTTGATTATGACGCAGACCGAACTGAGTACCAGAAGGACTAATACTTTTATCATCTTGCAACGGGAATTTTTATGTCCAGAGGTCGAAATGTTTGTACCCTGCAAAATGAACGAACAGAAGTGAGAGGCAAAAATCGAAATATCGTTCTGATAGCAATTTGCATCATCAAATTGCACTTTTTCGACGGACGGCTGATAATTGAAAATAATGTAACGGATTCTATAATTATTTAAAGAACGCAATATTTTCACGGCCGCTCTCTATTGTCGGTAAAAATTGAACGAGGATTCAATTATAATTATTAAGTTATAATTAAAGTGAAGAGATCAGTCCTGGGAAAATCGCAAACGAAGAAGCAGATTTTTAACATATAATTGCAGAAATTACACTCTATATATGGCGAGAAATTACACTCGTTCTCGGTTCCGTAGAAAGTCGCGTTGTTACAATCGTGTTTCGTATCTCGGAAACTCTCGGTATTTATGGATCTCGAGAAGAAAGTCGTTCGGATATTCCTCGACGACGATTCCGCAATCGGCATTTGCAGGAACGCAAGTTCCAGGCGTTACTGATTGAGCTACTTTCTAGAGCAATCAGCGTTGGCGTAATCTTACGTAAAAGCGTCGTCGACAGTGACTGCGCAACTCGGCGGAGATATCGTGACTGATCGCGCTGACATTGATGTTGCGAAATATAAATTATACGCATGTACACACTACAATTAAATATCTCGGAAGATGTTATTCATCGAAGACTGTTCGCTGATGATTTTACATGAAAGCCGCAAATTAAGAAATTATTCTGATGCAACTTTCAATTACATCTTTTTACCTCTTTCCCTTTTTTTCGTTCTTCTTCGTGGAAGAAGCGCTGTAAAAGATTATTTTATCTAACGAAACGTGCCTCAAAAGACAAGATATCAGCGATTTTAAAGAAGAGGCCAACATTTCAATATTTTCACCACGTTCGCGTGGATTTCTAGACGGTCGGTCGGTCAATTTTCTCGAACGCTTGATCATTCGTGTACAAAATCTCAATGGTGCACTCTCTTTTACACAAAAAGCAAGCTCTCCTCTTACGCGCGTACATCCTAGAAAGTTAAAAAAGATCTACAATCGAACAATCGAGACAACTCCGAAATCCGAGATTCTAACCCGTTCGAAGCTTTTTAAACGTTTGAAAAATCGGAATATCTCGCGGCAAACGTGTCTCATCTACAACCAGCGCGCAAACCGCGAAGAAAATGCACCGACATTAGGTACATCAGAATAATTACATTCGCTCGTTGTCGAGTCGGTTCTCAGTTTCCGAGCAGGACAAGTCATGGCAGGGTTCAACATCGCGATCGCTTTCTATCACTCCTATCACGCGCGACGACACCCGCGACACCCTTCGCGACCTCGCAAGCGCGGCAAGACAGGGACGATACGTCCTCCTTACGATTCGATACCTCCTTACGGAACTTCACTTCTGTACCGAAGGGCCGTCGAACTTAGAGCAATACGTGTCTCGACTTACCGGCGTTAAGTTGAAGGATACTTTCCGAGTCGACAACCGCACGAGAAATGCGAGCGCATTGGCGCGGGAGCCTTCAAGAGAGCGTCGTGGCTTTGCTATAGTGCATGAAGAACAGGAACAGGCCCCGGCTGTTCCACCGCAGGAGGAGGCGCTTTAAAGGCGTCATAGACTGTAGTCTGTTGCACCGGCCGGACCACTTTCTATTTCATTTTTTTCCTCACGGATCTCTCCCTCTCCTTATCCCCTTTTCCTCTCTCGTACTCTTCTCTATCTCTTTCTTTCTTTTCCTCTCTCTCTCTCTGTGTGTGTGTGTGTGTGTGTGTCCCTCCATCTCTCTCGCTCTCTCCATTCAAACGATTCTTTCTCTTTCTTTCTCTTTCTTTCTCTCTCTCTCTCTCTCTCTCTCTCTCTCTCGCTCTCTTTATCGCTCTTTTTGCTCAGACAGAGGGACTGGTTTACCGGCTGGCAGGGCCGTAGGTGCCCAGGAGCGGCTAAACAATGGTTAACGACAGGACGGACCTTTAACGAGCCTCTTTGACGCGTTTCGAGTGTCGCATCCTCGGGATGGATGTCGCCGTGTGATTCGGGATTGTCGGGGGGGATCTTATCCGAGAGAAGAGCTCGACCGCGACGATACCCCAGGCTTGTCTTTCTTTCATAAATCGGCAAGACGAATTGTACGATCGGCTCGTTAGCTCGGGGGATGGGGACGTGACGTTAACGACGACGAGTCGAATGGAGTTAACGAATAGTTTTCGCTAGCTTCACTTTCGTCGTACAATACTCTCCTGGCGAAAAGAGAATTGGACTCCTTCTCTCTCTCTCTCTCTCTCTCTCTCTCTCTTTCTTTCCCTTTCTCTCTCTTTCTCCCTCCCCCTTCCTTTCTCCACCCCCCTCCTTCTCTCACGGACTCTTTGCCACGGTCTTTGTGCATCTCCGGACGATCTCGCGGCGCGAAGGATAACACGCGTCGAACGGTGCTTCGTGCTTTGCAAAATAACAGGGTAGCTCGTCTGGTAAGCAGCAGTTAACATCAAAGCAGAAACTTAACGAGCGAGCGTAATTTCTCAGAATTAAAGTAATTCCTCGAGCGTCTCCTCGAGCTTCTGGCCGCCGCTATGGCTGAGCGTTCCCATCGCGATTGTTTCGTCACGAAGAAATGCAACGGATAATGAGAATACGGCGGATGTGCAAACTCGCGAGAACGCACATGAGAAGCGCAATCGCGGTGATTTATTATTGGCATTACATGTAATTAAACAAAGACTCGAATCGTGCGAACTCCGTTCGGCGGGACACTTACTTGCCCTTTTACAAGCGTTTTATGCAAATGGCACGGGCAAAAGAATTCGCTTTCTCAGCGAACACGTCGGCTACACGAGTAACTCTGATCCATCGGCTTACATAAGCAAATTTACATAAACTCCCGTTCCGTTTGTTCTCCTCGGGAATCATTCTTTCCTCTTACAAATCACTCCGCGATACATCTAAATAATTAACTAAATTATAAGATTAGAATGAGAAAGTCTCTCTTTCGCTATAAATAGGCCGGCGACGCTCATCGACGAGCACATCCTATGCGTTCGTCCTCGACAGGGCACCGCTCCTTCTGGAGGTGCGTCCTCTTCGAAAGAAAGAGAGCAAGGGGAAGGGAGAGAGAAAGAGAGGAGGAACGAGCAGAGTATCGTGAATCGAAGGATCCAGCGAGGATCGCGTGTGCGAAGGATCGGCCGGTCATTGCACGGGGCTTTTCGAATCTCGATTTCAGGCCCTTCGCTCTTTACAGGGCCCTCCTCCTTTTGGCTTCCTATCCCTTTATGACGTTTATCCAGCTTTACCCTCCGTCTCGCGGCCTCATCTCTTCTTCTTCTTTTCCTCCTCCTCCTCCTCTCCTCTTCATCGTGGTCGTCGTCATCATCGTCGTCGTCGTCGACCTCCTCCTCCTCCTCCTCCTCCTCCTCGTCGTTCCTCGATCCCTCTCTTCATCCTTGTCGCTCTCTTGTCGGGTTTGTCCTCGGTCCTTGTCGCTCGCACGCGAATCGCACGGCGCTACCTCGCGATATTTTGTCGGTTTTATTTTCAGGAACATCTGGTGGCTGGCATGCGGACAAAGGAAACTTGCTCTCTCAGGAAATCTCTCAGGAGGCAAGGGGGTGGCGGCTCGTCCTGCTTTGACGCGCACGCGGTTAGGCTTATTTGCTTGCGTCTAGTGACGTAGAATGTTTGTAAACAATGGGCCCACGTTGATGGCGCGGGGCCCGATGACGATGAAATAAATTAGGGACGTTTTTCGGGGTGAATCCGCGTAGCTTGCTGGGACCTGCGGGAGAAACAGACAGAGTTGCTCGTTATCGCGTCGTTCGCTTCCACTGGCGTGATCGTGTCAAACCGATTAATGCAAATATAATGCAAATATAATGTAAATGTAATAAAGGAACGATAACAATGTTAAATGAGTAGATAATAGTAGATGCGCCGTAGAGAATGAGGAATCTCGTTCGCCGACGTTGATCTCTCTCTCTCTCTCTCTCTCTCTCTCTCTCTCTCTCTCTCTCTCTCTCTCTCTTGCGGTGGCAAAACAGTCGCACGAATTTACCCGTAATTCAAGTCGCAACGGTAGTTGCATCCTGCGGCGCGCCTGCTCCTTCATTCCCTACTTCGAGCCCGGATGAGTCATGTTTTAATGAAAAGAAATAATCCCGCGGCAATCCCGCAGCCATTGCTTAACGATTGCGTGGCGCGTGGCGAGAATCTGCGTGGATCGCCGCGCAAATTGCATACGTCTACTCGAATTACGAGCGAGACGGGCGTATCATTGTCTACTGATAATAGCGTAAGGCTAATGAAAACGCAGTTACGCAAAGGACGAATGAAAAATACAAATGGTCGACGACGGTCGGAATCGAGCGGCTTCCGGCGCTTACTTTACGATGTAACTCGCGAAACACTTATCGTTACTTACGGTTACTTACGGTAGCGTCAAGTGATCCGCGATGCGCGGGATGGCGGATCACTTGACGCTAATTCCAGAGACGCGATTTCGTCGGACGGTCACCGTAAGAAGATTTAAAAGTCGCAGCGAAGTAACCCCGATGTGCAAACACACAGCGACCCGAGGGCTGGTGAGGGTCCGCCACCACGGTGGAGGGGGGAGGAGACACAAGGGACTAAAAAATTGTAATCGATTTCGCCATGCGCATTTTCTACGTCGGCAATCTGGAACGACCTGATTTAAAACTCGCTCGCCGGAGCCTCGCGAGACGGCACCCCTCTGACTGCCTCCGGACGAACAATGGCCATTTACTGCATGTCCAAGCGTCGCAAGTGTGTGCATAATCGACACTCCGATTCGCGTGTAGGTGCATCTCTCGAGATGAAAACAGACCGGTTCGACGCTTGCCGCGCGCGCGCGCGCGAAAGAGAGTAGACCGGCAGAGATGGAGAGAAGAGAACGTCGTCGTCCTCGTCGCCGTCGCGTCGTCGTACCTACGGGGCCCAAAACAACAATATGGCGTCTGGCGTCCCTTTAAAACGAGTTAATCCGTCTGTCTGGCCGTCTGCCGATCGCCTGAGAACCAAGAAGATTCATTTCCCCTTTGTTCATTCTTTTTCACACGTAGCCCGAAAGGGCCGCGCCTCGCCTTCAATGGCACAATGCCGCGAATGCATGGTCCTCTCTCTCTCTCTCTCTCTCTCTCTCTCTCTCTCTCTATCCATCTCCCTCCCTCTCCCTCTCGCTCGCTCGCTCGCTCGCCGATTCGCGCGCGGGGCTTCTTTCCGGGCAGGTCCCACACACACGACGCGCGCGCCTGTAATCGCCGCTCACGCTCGCGCTCGCGTATGTACACCCGAGCGAAAGTGAAATACGCCCGTGTACCCGGTGCTGCGGCAGGAGATTGTTGCGTCTTCAAGCAGCGCGCGTTCGGTCCCGCCGTCGGTCCGCTCCGCTCCGCTCTGCGCCGCTCTGCGCCGGACAGATGTTTCGGGCCCGTTTCCTCCGCGATCGGTCAGCGCGCGGACAACGGAGGAGTCAGAGGGAGGAGAGAAAGAGAGAGAGAGAGAGAGAGAGAGGGAGAGAGAGGGAGAGAGAGAGAGAGAGAGAGAGAGAGAGGGTATCCGGCGAGATCTCGCGGCAATATAATGCGAATCGCGGATTCCCGGAGCCGACCCGCCCGGGCCCGGGTTCGATGACCTTTCGCCTCGAGCGAGCCCGGCCGCGATTTCGTGGGCGGCTGTGTTAGCCTCGCGTCGCGGACGTTACGGACAGCATCCTTGAATTTTGATCTCCTTTAAAAGGAAGCGCGGCCGTAAAATAGCGCGCCGGTGAATATTTTGCCTGTCGATGGGTCGTTAAGTAGGCTCCTCTGGCTCGTAAACGGTGATAAATCACCGTTGTTCTTGGCGGAACGCGTTCTTGCGCGAATATTTTTCGCGTATTGACTTAAATGCGAAGGAAACGAAAGTCTAAGTGGAGGATGCTCACTTCTGCGGAAGTTTAGTATCTTCCGCGTCCTGACGAGGACTGAGCGACGCTGAACGTGGCCGAGTACGGGCCGAAGTTGAAGCTCGCGCTCTGCGCGTTCGCTTGGCTGTGTCCTCCGTAAGGACCTCCGCCTCCGCCTACTGATCCCGCCGATGCTGTTGCGAAGGAACCTCCTTGCCCGCCGTGGTAGTGGCCGCCGCCGTACCTGCGTGATTTGGGGAGGAAGCGAAATGCGAACAGTTATATTTCTCTCGCGTGCTTCTCTCTCACCGGGAAAGAATTCCCAAAAAGTTCCGCAAAATGTTAGCGTTGAATTATCGTTCTTAAAAAATTTTTCACTTGTCAAATGAAGAAATCGATTGTTCATTTTCTTCAACAGGTGTCTTCAACGAGGTAGATCGAACATCTAAGAGTGCCAATCTTGTCAAGAAAGATGCAATGATAATACCGTGATCGCATGTAAGAATTTTTCGTGGTCGTTTTATTTGTTGAAACAAGCGATATCTTATACGTACCCTCCGCAGCCGTAACCGCGACATCCGTATCCTCCGATAAGACCGAAAGGCTTGTGCGGTTTATGAAGTTTTCTTTTGTGTCCGAAATGATAATGACGCAAACCATCGTCGTAATCGGAATAGTCGTCATAATCGCCTGATAAACCGAACAGTGGCGACCTTTGCTCCCGCGTGGTGTCTAGAAAAGAAGTAAGTTTATTTTCTGGGAGGATCGTGCACTAATATCGGAATAATAACGAAACTGAATTATCAATTATCAACGCTGTGATCCTCTCACGGATTAAAAATCCACACTTAATTCTAGCTAATTGCAATTAACAGTAAGTCGTAATTCGATGGTTCGTTATTTAAAATTAGTCAGTGAATCAATTAATCATTGACTTTGCTTAAGGTAAATAAAACACTTTCTTCTAGCGATACAACTAATCTTTCGGACATTCGTGAGGAGTTTCGGATAATGTCTTGATAATATCGATGAAATTGTTATTATTCACGGGTACCGACCTGTTTCCGACGAGTCTTTCGCAGCCACAGCAGCGGGATCCAACGTATCTGGACTTGTTGCGAGTTCCGTCGGTTTCCCGAAAATTTCTCTCAGAGAGATTACGCTCAGCAATGTAATTAAAAGTAGATCTTTCCTCATCGTGGAACGGTGACGTGTCGCTGTTACTTGTCGAACGTCTGAAAAACGATTCGGAGCTGATCTTACGTTTCGTGCGCTTTTATAGGAAATCCCTTCACTATCGAAATTCAAGGAAGGCACCGTAATGCCGTAACGTCGGTAACTAAGAATGTTAGGATGGTCCTCAGAGAGTGGACGACCTTCCGTTTCAGGGACGACCGGAAGTAGACCGGAGATAAACATACGTGTGCACACTGGCGAGATTCCGATGTGAATAGACCTCAATGTGATTTCGAACGTTCGTTCTAAAGTAACGCGTGACTGCTTGCAAGGCTGCTCTTCCGCCGAATATTCACACAGGTTTCTCAGTCTTTTAGGAGAAATAATCTCAAAATTGAAAACCATTCTTTCCTCTATATTATACTATATTAATATTATCCTATATTAATATTGTACCATATTAATATTGAGTTATGTCATATGTACTTTCGGATTTTGCAGATATAATAAAACGTTTATATTTTTATGTCGTTATAATTTTATGAAACAATATACGCGATAAATTGCACAAGATCGGAATAGCGCACGCGTTGTCTCATAAAATTTCATTGCAACATAAAATACAATCGTCTCATTTTTCGTGAGAAATCCGAAATTAATTATTACACAACTCAATAACAACGATATCTTGTATCACGAAGTCTTTATTTTTAGCCTGAAGAAAATATACATTCCTACAATGCCGTACAATTTGTTATTAACGCCAAGAAAATTCTACGTGTTGAAGGGAAAGGATAGGTTCTTTTTACAATTACGTTTAATAATACTCGCGAGCTAAGTAAGGTATACGAAATCGCTGAAGGAAATTTATTCGACGGTAATCGGGAAAGATGATAATAATAGTTATTATTATTTGTTTCCACGCTGATTCAAGGTGCGCAAGTAGTATTTAAAAATCGCTTAAGAATGATAATATCTCTAAACGTCCGTTGCAGGAAACTGTGCGGCGAGATTATACTTTTATATAATTTTTATCATCTCCAAAGGTGAGCAGCATACTCTCGCAATTTTAATTATTCATCAGTACTAGCGAAAGATACGTAAGAAAAATGTTACGAGGTACCTTGGTTTATTTATACGCGAGATTATCAATGCGAATGCTCGACGTGTAATTTTTACGATAAAAAGAAAGCGGAAGGGCTCTCGTCTTTTGTCGAATTGCACAATAGGCGCTTTGGCCCCGAGGTCGTTTACCTTTCCATTCATTCGCTAGGGGCAGCATGCTCATCGTACACGTGTCTAAAAATCATGAGCTCTAAAGTTAGCATATAAATATTTATAAAACTCTTTAAGAATGGAATTATTTCCCTTATCTCTGTTTTAATTAAATGATTGAGCAAAATCGAACGTCTCTAAACCGTGTAAAACACTGTTAGACGCGTATGGAAAAACCAAGCCGATGAGCTCAAAACAAGCTCAAAATTTATTATGCACAGCGCATAATAAATTAAACATGGTAAACGTGATCAGCGTTGCACGCACGACTGATTACGTCTTCGCGCTTACTTTTTTTATCATTTCTCTTTTATCACGTTCCAATGAAAATTGTGTCTTCATGTTTCACGGACATTATATATTATCATAAATCATTAATTACATCAAGTTACTTAAGATTCATAATGTCAATCGCCCTCTGTAAGAATAAGGCACGAAGACCAGGCAGCTTGTTAAAACGCAGACGCGGTTCTATCGAAAAAAAAAATCACAAACTTTATTGAACTCTTACATATGCGTGTTCACACACGTCGCGCAATAATATATTACATAAGAATGGATGAGGAAAAGACAGAGACGAGAAAAAAAAAAAACATACGGGAAATACATGTATATTTTCATGCGTATTTTCGCGCGATAACGCGTGACAATCAACGATAATTCCGCAAATACCGCTGAATAAATGACTTAGGTGCGATGTAAAAGAGAAAAAAAAAAACGATTATCAGTAATCACGCATTAATCGCGAGATTCGCGTGAGGAGTCGCGGGATCGCACGGACGTCGCGAACGAGTGGATCGATCGATGATCCTCCTACAGCAGCGTCGGCGTATCTCACTTCTTCATTTCTCTCTCCGCGTCTCTTCGCGATTCTCTCTTCCGTTCTTCTTGTTCGCGCTCTCGCGGAACAAGTCCGACGAGTTTTTATCCCTGTTGTTTTCGATACACGAGAGACGTCTGACGTCGTGAGAATAGAGACAAAGAGAGCTTGAGGTAGAGAGACAGAAAGAGAGACAGAGAGTGGGAGAAAAAATACCACCGACACTAATCGTCGCGACTCTCTTCTCTTTCGCAAGGTGGTAAATATGAAGAACACTCTCCCGGTTCTCAGCAATTATTCTTACGAGTGGCACAACAGAGATCGCACTTATCCCTCGAGATCTGAAGCAATGATCGAAGCGACATTCTTTCTTTTTTTATCTTAATGCATCGCACGAGGCAAAGCCGCAAATTAGCAAAAGCGAATAGACGATAGTCGTCTGGGTCGGGTTTCAAGTTTGATCGATCAGATCTGCACGTGTCGTACAATTTGTATTACTTTTATTATCGCTATATTATTGTATATATATATATATATATATATATATATATATATATATATATATATACGTTAAAACATTGTGACGCGTCTCGTGCGAATCACAGATTCAGAGTTCAAGAGAGGCGATCTGCACAGCTTCGACGTCGCATCGAAATCACACGGTAGTATATAATCTAAAAATACGCTTATAAATATATCATACATAGGTATATATAGAGAGAGAGACACAGAGTATTAAATTAAGGCGTCTTAAAAGCGTTCCTCTAAATACTGCACTATGTTACCCGCTTAGAGGAAAAATGTACAAATCGGCGTATATTATAAAAATCACACCGATCATCGTAGAACGCATGAGTATAAGAGTGATATAGTCAGAGGCGGATGCGAGGTCATCGGCGACCGGCCTATTGAACTGTTCAATCGAAAAGATTTCGTCTGTGTGTGTGTATGTGTGTGTGTGTATGCATTATATTTTCCACTTACATCCAATGAAAAGCGTTCGTCTTAAGTACTTTAATCTTAGTCGAGCACGAAAAGTCGTGAAATACCAGCCAAGATTCGATCTGCCTCCGACTTGATTCGCGGTACGAATACGAGCGAGAGCTTGTTCTCCTGGTCTGACAATCATTTCCGCTTCGAGTCAATCCGTTAAAAAAGAGTCCCAGTTGTTCGCAAATTATTCGGATTCTCGTGAGCGCACGTTCGCGTCTATAACTCGCGATTATAAATTCGAACGTTCCACGAACGCGACGCACTGCGCGACACGCTTCCCGCTGACTCTCGTCGAGGATGGTTCAAGTCACAAGAACAGAACACCCGCGTCGTGCTCGTACCGACGACCGTGCTCGCGGAACAGCGAAAGACGCAAAACGGAGTATTAAGTCGCTATTGAGCGCGCGAGGGCATTCCCTTGGAGAAGCTCGCCGGTCCGCTACGGTATCACAAGATTATCGATTAGCTGAAGATCAACATGTCCCTGGTGTCGACGCTGGCCGACGCTTGGCTCGACGCCGAGCTCTTCGAGCCCAGTCCAACTGCTGACGCGTTCGCGTTCGCGTTTGCGCTCGCCGATCCTGATCCCCCGTGGTTCTGTGCGGACGCCTTGCTGGAGCTGTTCGCCGATGCCGATCCGCCGTTGGAAGACGCGCTAGACGAGGCGTCGGAGATGACTTTGGACAAGCCACCGCCACCTCCGGACGCGATCGCGTTCGACGACGAGGACGCTTGAGCGTTGGCGTTTGAGCCTGCGGCAGGGAATAGGCAATCATTTAATTACGATCAGTCCGGACGCGAGGGCCTCCGCCATGGACGTCGCTGTCGTCTTGTCCTCGGCGTTCAGGCCTGCGAAATGGAACACGAATAGCTCGATTACGATGAAGGTCGGGACAAAGACGCAGGAGAGTGTATCTCGCTTATGAAATGAACGTGCCGCCCATCGGATCCTCCAAGTGGCGGTGAATAGTCCTTCGGCCCCTTCGACGTTCGACGGTGCCGAGTCCGGTCATCCGGCGGCGCATGCAACTTGGGTGCGAGTGGAGGGAGATGGACACGTTTCACGGTGGTGTTGAATCGTCGAGCCTGGTGAACTCGGTGTTAATCGACGATGATGTTTACGGTTTAGAATGACACCCACCTCTGGTGCGGTGTGCGGGATTAATGATGCGTCGGGGGATTACGAGGAAAAGCGCGTTCCGACGATCGATCGGCACGCGGATATTTACATGTAATTGGACGTTACGTGTACGATGAAGACGAACGTCGACGTGGGTGGGTGGGTTACGTAAGAATGGCGATAACGCGAGCGATTGATCGATCGCGGAGATGATTCGTGCTGGTTGGGACCAGTTTGCGAGCGGGATGACGATGATGCGGGCTTGTGTCAGGTTCCAACACCTTGTGATCGGGCTCCTGATTGTCGGGCTGTTAATTCGAAGTTAATTTGAGTGGGTTCTTGCGGATGAATCCAATGAGCACACAACGCAAGTGCGGTCAGGTTTACGTGTAGAACACGTATATACCTCCGAATGATCCGCCGTGTCCTAATCCTGCGCCCGATCCTTTCACGCCACCTCCGTATCCCCCGTATCCTCCGGCTCCGCCGGAGCCGCCAGCGTTGGCGTTGGCGTTAGCGCTTGCGTCAGCGTTGGCACTCGCGCCTCCGTTCCCGCCGTGAATAATACCGGGCGAACCTCCTTGTCCGAATCCGCTGTTTCCTTGACCGAAGGAACCGCCACCGCCGCCGCCGCCGCCGAATCCTCCGTGACCACCGTCGGATCCTCCACTTCCGCCAGTGGCTCCAGCATTAGCGTTAGCGTTCGCGTTAGCGTTCGCGCCAGCGTTCGCACCGGCCGACCCGCCGCCGAAACCTCCACCGTTGTTGCCGTAACCTCCGGTGCCTAACTCGCCAGTACCCTGACCGCCGAACGAGCCTCCGTCGTAGCCGCCTTGACCTCCGTGACCCCCGGAGCCTCCGATAATATGGCCACTTCCGCCAGTTGCACCAGCGTTAGCGTTAGCGTTCGCGCCAGCGTTCGCACCGGCCGAACCGCCGCCGAAACCTCCACCGTTGTTGCCGTAGCCTCCGGTGCCTGACCCGCCAGTACCCTGACCGCCGAACGAGCCTCCGTCGTAGCCGCCTTGACCTCCGTGACCTCCGGAGCCTCCGATAACATGGCCACTTCCGCCAGTGGCTCCAGCATTAGCGTTAGCGTTCGCGCCAGCGTTCGCACCGGCCGAACCGCCGCCGAAACCTCCACCGTTGTTGCCGTAGCCTCCGGTACCTGACCCGCCAGTACCCTGACCGCCGAACGAGCCTCCGTCGTAGCCGCCTTGACCTCCGTGACCTCCGGAGCCCCCGATTACATGGCCACTTCCGCCAGTGGCTCCAGCGTTAGCGTTAGCGTTCGCGCCCGCGTTGGCACCCGCCGAACCACTTCCGAGTCCACCTCCGTAGTTCGGACCGGACCCGCCGCCTGTTCCGGAAGAGCCTCCATAACCGCCGAGAGCCCCGTCGCCATATCCTCCGGGTGCCGGGGCTTCCTTAATCGGTCCGCCGTATCCTCCGGCACCGGCACCGGCGTTGGCGTTCGCGCCGGCGTTAGATCCCGTCGAGCCTCCGAAAGAATCCGGATATTGTCCCGGATAGGTGGTGGGAATTCCCTTGGGTTTGTCGTTGAGAACGTGGACGTTAACTCCCGGTGTCCCCGTATGACCTTGGAACATGCCGCCCTGGAGGAACGGATTGTGCGCGCCTATCGGTCCTTGTCCGCCGGCTCCGGCGTTAGCGTTAGCGTTAGCATTAGCGTTGGCAGAGGCTCCAGCGTTAGCGTTGCCACCCGAGTGTCCGCCGCCATTTAGAAAAAGGTTGTGATCGCCGATCGGGGTGATGCCTGATGAGTCCACCGGGTAACCACCGCTGTGCGGATATCTTCCTCTGCCTCCTTGAGCGTTAGCGTTGGCGTCAGCGTTGGCGTTAGCGTTGGCGTTCGCATTCGAGCCTGCTCCGCCCGATAAGAAGGGGTTGCCGTGGCCGCCTCCGTGAGGTCGTTGGGGGTAGTTTCCGTGAGTGATGCCGTTTCCGTAGCTGCCGGCTGTGAAAAATATCGGTCGTTAGTTCTCTCTTAGTTGTTACGTCCATTGGCTCTGAAAACTGTTCGAACACTTTGTTGGGTGTAATTCGGAAGGTAGCGTATGTCCAGTGAGACAGTCCCTTTCTGGGGCTTTTCTACGGCAAAGACTCTCATCGGACAATCGGCTGTGTTGCGAACTTTATCGCAAAATGCTTGTTTGAACCGTTTCGAGAGCCGGTGTTGGTGCGATTGATAATACATTGACAACGTTATGAATGAGACGACACAGAAACATGCCGAGATGCTGTACATGAAAGGCTGTGTGAATTAGCACGTATGGTGGGTGTGTACGAAAATCACAGGGCTCACGCTCTCAGTCTCAGCTGAAACGTTTAGCGTCCGATTCTTCGTTTTCGTGTTTCTTCAATTCGATTAAGATGAGGAAAGCGGGAAAGACAGGTGCATTATCCGTTGTGTTCGTTCCTCGCTTGCCGTTTGGCGACGGGGACGACGTGCTATGAAGGAGTGCTGGTTACGAAACACACACAGTGCAATTCGCCTCACCCGAGTCTCGGGTCGATCGAGATGCAACACACACATACGGGATACCTTTCCCCATATCTTTCACGTATCTTCGATCGCGGTCGGACGGGTCGCGGTTTGACGCGATGAAAAAGTGCGTGCGAAGTGCCATGATCAAGACGAGTGCATAGGTGAAATTCGTGCGTTACACGCATTGCTTGCACGAAAGGGAGTACAACGAAGCCATACGAATTTCCAAGTTCCAAAAGCGATTATCACTTCAGTTGTCACGCTTCAGTAATCGCCGCGTGCGCGCGCACGCTAAGACACGTGGCGAGACGTGTACGAGAAGCGTCGAACAATCAATTAAACACGATTATGCCAGCCAAGAGATATTTCGCGTTCGCCCGAACACGAAAACCACATAGCCGTGGAGTTCTCTCGGTGAGAATGCAATGGGATTAGAATCCGATCCACTCGTGACACATGACGATGACAATCGGGGGCTGACAATCGATCGTGAAGCATCACCTTGACCAGACGCCGGCTCCTCGATGACGATGACTTCGATCGGTTCTTGCTTCGATTTATGGTGATGGTAATGCGGCCGGCGGCGGTGATGTGGACGATATTTAGGTGTCGCGGGTACTTCTTCGACTACGATTATCGGTATCACGTCGTCCTGAGGAGGTGAGGAAGGACGGCCATGGGGGATCGGATAGGTGTGAGGTCTATTATACATCGGCGGCATTGGTCGAGGTTGTTGGACCGTGATGGGAATGACCTCTATTTGACCTGCCCCGGGATAAGTGGCACCCGGGTAACGAACGGGGATCGTGTTCGCACCGCCGTTCGCGGCCGCGGCCGCGTTCGCGGCCGCTTGAGCGTTGGCGTTGGCGTTGGCGTCGCCGACGGCCTTGGGTCGAGAGGGTATCGAATGAGGATAGTAAGAGGGACCAGTAAGAGCGCCTCCGATGTTGCCTGCGGCGTTAGCGTTCGCATCGGCGTTCGCGTTTGCGTTGGACTGAGAACCATAACTTCCGTAACCTGGCTGATAACCGTCATAGCCGCCGGGATAAGCACCTGAGGAACCTATGTTGAAAGTGTGTAGCTCGTTAACATTCCAATGGTGATCACTTGGGAGAGGGTGAATTTCATGTACGTGCGGGTGTAATACGAGAACGTTGTTGAGAATAAATTAATATGGTGTGCGAGAAATTATCGATAACGAGTTCGATGATGCTTAAATTATCAACGATCAGGGTAGGTTACAGGGTACAGGGTAGGGGGGAGAAAAGATAGGAGAATGAGATTAAACTGAAGAGGAAATTAAAATTTCGTCTAATAAAGATCGCGTATAATCGAATCCTTATGGAATACAGGAAATGATTGGTCACGAGATCAACGGGACCGTATAGGTGCTTAAAATGAATGCTGAGGAAATTAATTCAAGATATTAAAATGCTTGTGGAGGAGGAATAATGGGAAAATCGAAGGACGCTCGAGAAGAGATGAAAATGAAGATCACGATGAAGATCACGTATGATCGAATTCTCATTTCTGTGAATCAGACACGAATGTATATATACCTTGCGCGTTAGCGTTCGCGGAGGCTTGTGCGTTCGCGTTGGAGCCGCCGTATCCGTCATATCCGTAGGCTTGAGCATCCGCCTTCGCCAAGGCCGAGGCTGAACCGCCGCCGGCGGCGTTCGCCGACGATGAGGCCGACGCCGAGGACAAGCCGCCGCCGAAAGCGATCGGTCCTAGATGCAAACCGGCTGCTAGAGATTGAGCGTTGCTACTAGCATAGCTATCCGAGTTCTCGTATCCCTTAGGCTTGAAGAGTCCCAAAGGATTCAATATACCAACGCCGGTTGCAGCTAAATCGCCTAGTATACCTTCGTACGAATATACAAAATATACCGATCAAATCTTCAGATATTTGCCAATTATATCGTTTAAGCCATGTCCTGCGTTAATTTGCGACTTAGTTAGTTAGTTAGTTAGTTTTCCATCTATATCGCTGTTAATACTGTATTAAGATTCTCGTGTTGCGGCTTTGCGCTCAAAATCAAACGTCGGAGACAAGTTTGTCCATTTTTTATTTTTGATGACGAGCGTCTGGTTCGTAAAAATTTTAGTATCTCCGATTACGTTGGCACTTTTAAAGATACCACCAGAAGAATAACGCTTGAAGAGAGTTGTTAATTGTATTAGGGAGCCATGCACATTCTTTTTCGAGCTTGCAGCACAGATAATCGTTCGCGATCAAGATCGTTAGAAAATTTTATTTTTTTCTTTCCTAAATCATAAGCGGTTAAATAAACGTTTAAATTACGACGGTTGCCGGGTCTCAAAAGCTCCAACATATGCAAAAACTGCGTCAATTCTGCGCGTGTTCAATTCAAACCTGTCAGACTGTCGTGTACACAAATATCGAGAAAGCTCTACTAGGCGTTAGAGACACTCGAATTGCTGCGAGACAAAGAGGAACGGGATTTCTGGAAACTCACCAGGTCTTGCGCTGGAGTCCCTAATTAACAGCAGCACCACCACCGGCACCAAACACTCCAACAACTTCATGGTGTGGCCTTTCACACTTGTTACGATAAACTGATTCCTCTGTCACACACAAGGTGTCCTTTTATTTTCCTTGTCTCACCGATGTTTCGATGGTCGGAGAGTCAAGAGCGACTGAAGCTCTTCGACGAGACAACATCTTATATACGACACACGCGTGGATTTTACGTCGGCTAATAATTGACCGTCTCTCTCTCTCTCTCCCTCTCTCTCGCTCGCTCGCTCTTTCTCGCTCTCCGTCTCTCGTCGCGCTCGTCGGCATCGCGATTCCTCTGCGTTTCCGTTCAGGATACCTCGTTCTCCTCCGCGAGATCGACGTCGACGAGCCCGTGAAACATTGTATTTTGGAAGCCGGACATTTTCGCGTTAATTGCATTAATGTGTTTTCAACGTCGGCCTTTCAGAATCCGTAAGAATGAGATTCCGAGCGAACGACAATAGTTCTGCCGCCGCACGAGCGGACTCGGTCATCAAGGTTCTCTCATTTCGACGAAGCGTTTTACGCTTCTTCCATCCTGGGGTATCCCTCTTCGCCGATTCGATTAGTGGTTTAAACGCGATCTGCGTATTCACCAGGAATTTCTGCTTAATCTCGCGATGGGGGATTTCATATACCTGCGATCTGTCATAAACGAGGCTCTTTTCGCGAATTGTTTGGAACAGAACATACGTTGTGTGTGAGTTGGGACTTTAATTGAGAGAGAAAAGATATTCCGATGTAAGTCGTGTGACTCACAAAGCTACCTTTCTCACAAATCCTTCATTAATTCTTTCGCATGCATATGGATTCGATTTTTACGATTTCGACTTTGTCCAAAGAGGAGTTTTTACTTAAAGAAATATCTCACTATGAATAATGTCTCGTGCCGCACATATACTGTTAACTATTATTCCGCCGTTGCATCGTTATCGCTCTTGGCATTATCATGTACGTATTTTTACGCGCGTACGTTTATAATATATAATACCGCCAAGTCGCGTAAATAATAAATTAACAGCAAAATAAAAATCAACGGAAACATACAAACGCGTTCGGGTTTATCTGTATTTTATGCAAAACAAGGTAACATTCTCCCAGCGATGGAGTCTGCGGCATTAAGCGGTATTTCTGGTAAATTAAAGACTCACCGGCACATTATTCCCAGCTCTTACATAAGCTATAATAAATTCAATAGAAGAAAAATATTGATTCCCAAACAGTCGCGACGATATAGCGGCGTCATTTGCACTTTAAGCAGTTGACGATGCGTTCGCGTACACGTGGATTTCATTGAATAGCTGTACCTTTTTATATCGATGACTGTGACAATTTGTAATCGTGAGCGGATGATCTTATTAGAGGAAGATCTTATTGGAAATTCGAAGGGTGTTTGAAACCGCGCGGAAAATACGAAGCTTGAATTTTTCGCAGACTGCATTTTTCGCAAATACCGCGACTATGATCTCGTGAAACGCGTGTGGGCGAAATTAACGAAAGCAATATTGCATCGCGAGGAGCGTGCGTTTATTTATAATTCTTGTGGCCATTTCCATGAAAATTTGCAACTCAAAGAGTATCATGAATTTATGAGAATTATAACGGAGTAAATTTATGGCTTAATAAGTGTGGTTAGGAAAAAGTTGCGGTCATATAAATGATTAATTTATATTTAACGCGATATTGCATAGTCACTACTCAATTGAAATGAGAAAAAAATTCAATTAGAAGTAGACACAGGATAGAAGAGAAGTGCAATAGAAATTAAAAAGAAATACGGACGTAATTGATACATCTTGATGCATTAATCACAGAATTTCACATTGATCGAAGAATATGTATGCGCTAATCTCATAAGATTATCTCATAAGATTCGGTCCGGTTTTGTGTGGGAAGTATTTCGAGAGCGCGCGAGACGCGCAAAATCGTGCAAAAATTCGCTTTGTGACGCTTACGTACACGAGTCAACGCTGAACGAAAGAAGAACCATCATGCGTCTCTCGTCTCTCTCGCTTCTCCGTTTCCTCGCAAACAAATTAACATAAGTGACCGCAAGCAACGTACGTAAATACACACGTCCGTACAAGCGCCGTCTTTGCATTTTTAACGTTTCACCTACGTTTCACACATGCACACGTATACACACACACACACACACACACACACACGTATACCTACACCTACACACACATCTGCATCTATCTTAAAAGAAAGAAATCGCAATGGCACACACTCAGAGCAGAGCGATTAGCATGTAATTGAGACGTAGTTCTCCCGTGTGCTTCCCTTTTTATTCATTCTATGTTATTCTATGATCTCCGTGAGAAAACCGCGTTTAATAATCCCTATCAAAGCACCTGTGCGAGACGCGACGAGAAAAAATCTATCGGTATGCAGGGGAAAACCAATGAACGCATGGCGGTAACGACATGGCTGATGACTCGAACGAGCGAGAAGAGAAACGAAAACCGCACCTCATGGTCCTCGAGGTACTCTCTCGTTCTGGCGCGCGAATCTGGTAATTCCTGTTGGCGAGAACCTATATCAGGTCAAGGAAAGTAACGCGAAGTGTGCGTAAGGTTAAACTGCAAAAGAACACAACACATGAAAGGTGAAAGGAAGAAGATAAAACAAGTCGGGCTTTTCCCAGAAATATATTACAATTAGCTACATAAAATTATAGAATTAATTATAAATAATTAAGGTCACGTTTGTTTTGTTGAATAAAGAACTTCGGGGCATGAAGCGAATCTGCTTTGCCATGAACATCAGTAAAAGTACTTACTTAAAAAACAAGGAAAAATAAAGAGAAAAGCATTGATTGTGTACGAAAGGCGGAACTGCGGCTTTGGCCACTTTGCTCTTTTTCCGGATAAAAACTCGACGCTTGAAGATACACGTCAAAGAAAAGAGAACGGTTTTCCTGCACGCTCGATTCAGCTTAGCACCAAGGCCAAATGTCGAAGATGTCGTTGTTGCCTAACGGCATAAGTTATAGATCCTCGTTACAGTCGATGCCACACGAAAGAACGATTTTGTAAGTGTTTCGCGGAAGCGCATTTCGTAAATAACGCAAGTCGAAAGTTACCTTGATGATCACGGCGAGGTCTTCTTCTATAACAAGCCGACGCTGAGTCCATTGCGGTGAGCGATAACGATGTTAAGCGGTCAGTCAATCGATCGTTCAGTTGATCCATCGCAATCGGCGACAACCGATAATTAATTTAACCGAGCACCGAGACTGCTTCCCATAGACTCTATTTTTGAGCGAAGCCTCTTGCGAAACCAGTATCGTTCCGGTTCTTCAAGGTCAGGTTCAACGACTGGCCTCTAACCATCGTTCGGACTAACGGGCTAGCCGTGAAGCCCAGATAACGCCCAGAAATCGCGAAGCTCTCTCTCGTCGAAATCTCGCGGCTTTGCGAAACATCGGCGCATCCGTTACATCCGGTTGAGCTCGAGCCGCACTTTTGTATTCTCTCCGGCGGTGCTTTAACTGCGGACTTCTCGGTACGTGTCAAATCCCACACGTCATGTCGCCGCGGCTCTTATTTACACATTCGGGATTGTCGCGCGTCAGTAAGAAGAAATTCATCGGGAATTATTACGTAGAATCAGCTGGAATAATACCGATCGAAATAATGCCGGAAGAAGAATTATCTGCGAGGATAGCCGGCAGGCGGCCTTGTGTGCGTTACCAATCAAGAAGACGCACTGATGTTCGCGTACGTAATGCGCGCGCGTCTGATTTCCACTCGGCGATAATAGTTTGTTATGTCCGTCTCCATCATCGTAATTACCAGACCGACGCTAACGAACTACTTAATATCATCGTCAATCCAAACACGCGGCTCTCTTCCTAATCGTATTTTATTCGAATTGTAATATATCCGCGAGAGAGATTTCCATCGCATTCTAGCCAACCGGGGAATCCCCGTGACGTGGCCGAGGTTGTTGCAAAGTAAACGACATTTTTATTTTAAACTCACCTGTTGACGTCATTAGCCCTCGGTGTACTATGCGGTAATAGTGAGAGATTAAAAGATTGATTTCTTTCATTAAAACAGAAAGTAAATTTTTGCTTCGTTCTTTGGAAAAGATTTCTAAGAGAGAATGAAATATCAATTCTTACAAGCGTGTAGAACTGCTCACGAGAAAGAAAACTCAAAAATTGAGCCCGGTGGATCTTGGTGGTATGTGAAAAATTAAGGGGATTGGAGGGTCAGATTGCTGAAAAATCGTGTTTGTTTTTGATAATATTTTGTGACGAACTGAATAAATGTGCAAGAATGAAAATTTTAGGTATAGTTATACAAAATATGAAGAGTAGAAAAATTTTATTTATTAACAAATATTCGTATAAATGTACGATATATATAGCTGAAATATACTCTCCTTTTTTTTTCAAGTTATCGTTTTTGCAGTAATATCTCGGCTCTCGGTGGTCCGATCAGAGCGAATTTTAGCTAGAAATCTTGAGGAGGCTTATCATTATCCGATGAGCCACAGAAAAAAAATCGAACGAAATTAACAAAACGGTAAGCTATTATTAGGAAAAAATTCAAATTTTTCAGTTCTTTTACAATAAAAGAAATTAATATCTCGAAATGAAATATTTTGACGGAGTTGTCCATGGCTCATCTGACAGCCACATGAACAAATATTATCGCTTTAAAATTTCAAATCGATACGAAGCTCAGTTTCGAAGAAATCACTGCAAAAAGTTGAACAGTTGAAAATTTCGAGAAAAGCACGTTTAAAATTTAAGTGGACGTATATTTATATGAATATTTGTTTAAAAACACAACTTTTCTACTCTTCATGTGTTATAACATATGAACAAATATATGTAAAATCTGCATTCTTCCACATGTATTCAGTTCATCACAAAATTATTATCAAAAACAACCACGATTTTTCAGTTTCATCTGACCCTCCAGTCCCCTTAAAGCGTGAATTCCCTTCTACCTGTCGTCGAGAATTTATCTATTGAAAATGAATCACGCCGCAAAAAGCAGCGAGAAAAAGACAATGACTCGCTCCAGCGCCAGCGCGACAAATGGAGCTTGAATCAGGCGTCGCTATTACGAAATGTGCCGCACAGTATGAATCCGTACACAGAACCAACGGGGAACCTTTTGGCGTCTTCAGTGATTCATCCCGCGCGAGCGCGACTATGGCCGAACGGCAAAATTTGGCGTCGATCAGGAAAACCCAACCGTTTGTTGGCTCACGTGCTTCAACTGCGGTATTAGCGCGGTGCGCTCATATTCTCTATACTTAGATGACACACACGGCCAGTGTGATGTAACTCGTAAGTGTATATACGCGTACATGGACAGCGAGGAGTGATTAATCACCCGTTGTTTAAGATCATCTCTGATTTTCCCAGCGTTTATGCTACATGTAACTCATTATAGGAAATTAACATATTACGAGCCGTGTGCACATATTGTGTATTTCAGTCAACCGGGACTTTTACGGTCGATTCCTTCAGACACGGTTGAACTTATTGATTGAAATTATTTCTTTATCATCAACAATACCGCGTGTATACACTAGCTAAATAAATCCGTGTTTAAAATGAAGAAATGTTATCGCCTTTTGTCTTTTCAATTGTTGCGATATCCTTTTTGCGCCTGACGCAGAAAGTGTCTTAATGAGTGCTATAATGTCTGAGAATGAACATACGACTGGTAAAGAGTTGAGATAAAATCTATTCAAAATTTTCTTTACTTATTTTCAAATTTTATCTAATTCTGGAGGAAGTCTTTGAGGGAGGAATATTTATAGTCTGTAATCGGACTTTATATAATCAGAGAAAATTATATATCAATATTTGAAATATCTGTTTCCAGCGATGAAGAAATAAAGTAAAAGTGGCAAAATAAAAATAAAAATAGAACGAAAGTAAAAATAAAAGAGTAAAACTAAAAATAAAATAAATATGTATGTTACTTTGTATTCGCGTGGCGGACACGCAACTCCTACCACCGGTAGATGTACTCGATAATCAGTGACAATGTAGTTCCCCTTCTTTAATTAATAACGCCGCTGTTCGACGTCCTGTTCGACATCCGACACAGGCATCTACAAATGCGCGGGCAATACATATCTCACATCGTGCCAGCTATCACTGCGCGTGCTTTACTGCAACCGACTGCAATGGCAACGATTAGTCGCGCTTACTTGCTTGCTTACTTCGTTTCGCGTCGTCTCTTGATTATCAACTACACTCACATGTTTGGATAAAATCAAGAAGCAATGTCGCGTGTGCAATGTCGAGGTCGTAGCCAGTCTCTGTTTTTCGATATTACTTTTTGCCACTGTCACGTTTTGCATTCTCAGTCGTGATATTACGTCATGGGAGTACGTTTGATACGCTTGAGGATTTGTCTCTTTATTGCTATCGCTAAAATATTATGCATCTCGTATATTTTACGATCGTCTGATTAGCGCGTTAAATGGAAACGCTGAGAATTAAAACGTGGAAACACAATCGGCAAGTCTCAGCAAGACGCAATTTGCGTTTTTCCTTTTTCTTTTTTCCTTTTTCTTCTTTGTTAAATTCGGTTGATTGCGCGCGATTTTATGTTGCTGTCGGCCTTGTGATGAAGAATAATATTCATTATTAAAACGATAAAGAACAATTGTGATTTTAAATTAAATATATAAAATATCCGACATATTTACTCAACATAAGCGGTCGATAAATCTAAACTAGTCTCTAATCTAGTGGAGTATTAATAAGAGAAATTAATTATTTTTAACATTCGTGTTATATAGACACAAAAATTACATTAAAAATGTTAGACGTTCCCAATGTTATCATCAAGAATGACTAGGGAGGTGCGACAAATGCGACGAAAAAATCAATTTCTTAAACATTTTATTTCCTAGACAGAGCAAATACATTGGCGGATGCATCATTGACTTGATTGACAAAATTATACGAGACTGCTCATGCGAACACACGAGCAAGCCTCTCTAAGAAGTAACGTGAATATTTCCTCCAGACAATCATACAAAAATACGCAAAGATGATCTCTCGTCGTGAAACTTATCGTTGATCTACTAATACTGCAACTAATTCTCGCGCGAACGGTACGAAACGGAAAAGAAACGAGAGACTTTGTGATGTTCGTCACAAAAATTTCAACTATAAATCTCTCTCGCGTGCTTTCACGTTCTCGCGCAACGCGAAATATGCATAATATAATAATAGTAACGATATTATTGTCATCTTTTCATTTTGCTTTATTTTGTCCATTTGGAGAAAATATAAGATTAGGTCTCCCTCTCTACACGAAGCAATCCTAGCTACCGTTCAAAAATATTTGCCTAACGTCGAGTATACAGATCGCAAGCCCTGGATAATGCGCATTGCGAAAAATTGACTCTTCCAGCCTTGCGTTTGTCGGCTTGTTTATTATAATATAAGAGCACGACACTCCCCCGGGTGCCGCGATGAGGTCGTGCGATTGTGCTCCGATTTGTCCGAGAACTGTTAGACTATGGAACGACATGTGTACTTCTATATATCGTCGATGATATATTACGGAGATGTGTCGTAACAGTACATCTCCCGTCGCGTCGTGTCTCGCGTCAATATCCGTTCTTCGTGATTATCTCAACGACGTAAGTGTACTAAGAGCTATCGAGATCATCTACTTTCTCTCTCTTTCTGTCTCTCTCTCTCTCCCTCTCTCTCTCTCATCCGAGTGAAAAATGCAAACGATAACGCAACAGAAAAAATGAAAACGTATACAGTGCAGAGAGCGGATGATTCGACGAAAGGCAAATGTGTAACTTCGGTGCCTCCGAGGAATCGTTGAAACGTGTTAAAAGATATATTAGAAAAGAAAGAATCCGTTTAACGCATAATTTATGCGCAACCCGTTACGAAGAATCCCCGCGAGATAGTATCTGTAGTTCCCGACCGACTCGTAATCCGTGTATTTTACGTGCCGTTATGACAGAATGGATTATAATCTGCACAATTAAATAGAGGAATAATAAGCTGCGTCGAGAGATGACTAATTTGCCGAATCGTTGATTGTACTTCGTGTAAAATCGGAGAATCTGAAGAGCGGAGTGAGATTGGGGAAACGAGAGAGAAAATATGGAAATATATCATTAGTGTTGTTAATTAAAGCGTGCAAAATGAATCGTCAGGCGAAAACAACCCGACTCTATCCTTGAAGGCTACGTTTACTCTCGTCCAGTAAGGCAAACCCCGTGTCGAAAGCTTCGAAGAAACTTCGTCCTCTTGTTCTTTTACATATTCTATCCCATAAGAATAAATGACCGAGTGTAATCTAAAGAAATCTTTTTACAAAGATTGATGGCGAATTCACCACGTGACACCACGTTGTCCCATTGATATCTGCTGAACGAATAAACCGTACGAAAAAGATCCCATCGAATTTGAAGACCATACCGAGTCGTATCTCCGTTATTCTTCACTGATCTGATATGTAAGTCGGAAATCTTTATCGCGTTTATTATTAAGTGTACATTAAAAAGAAACATATCAAAGTATACTCTAAAGAGGGAAGAGTAGCCCCTCCGTCTCTGCGATAGTGAAGGATGCGAGGTAGAAGTAAAAATATAAATTAAGAAGAAAGATAAAACGAGCAAGTGTCGAGCCCTTCACTGCCACAGTTGGTTCCTTGAAACGTTGTGCTGAACAATGGAAAGAAACCACGTGTGGCAAATACGCACATAATATCAATCACAGTTACCGTTAATCCGAGCGCGCTTAGATAACTATACATCGCGCATAAATGGGACGAGGTCACGGCCAGAGAGTTTTAAAAACTCGTTATTGTCTCTTCAAAGTCGACGTGTGAACGAATCCCTTCAGCCCAGCGCGAAGATCGTATCGAGTTCGTCAAGTGAAACACGAGCGTTCGGTAGTGTCGCGAATAATCGTGCGAAATTAATGAGATTACGTACACCGTTGCGTTCCTTAAATAATACAATACAAAAGAAAACAGCGAAATATAGGACACTCATATAGGATAGCCAGACGTTACAATAAAACCCACGCTTGACCGATCACAGCTGCACAGTTATTGGCCAAAAATTTGTCATTCAATATCGGTGCGTTACCGGCGAAAAATTGGACACTTTCTCGCGTCGTTTATAATTTTTAACGCAGTTTGTAATTATTAAGAATAATTTTTGGGCTCATATAATATCGGAATGATAACGAAAGATGCATTCTCTGCAACAGGATTCATCGCAAAATCGAAATCATAGATTTATCTTCAGCCCGCGAGATCGCAAAATTGATCGATCGCACAGAGAGGCGGTCCTCCCTTCACCGGAAGCGGGACCATCTCAGCTTTCGAGTGCAATTTACTCCATGTCGCTACGATTATTTTACATGAGGATATCGACGAGCGGCGAACGTTGTTTGATCGGCGACTAACGCCCGGTTACAATGTTGCGTGCCGTTGCTTTCAGCGCCGAACGCACCGCCGCGAGCCGCTACAATGTGTCACGCGCGTCGGTCGGCGGTAAAAGATCGCTCAAGTGCACCGCTCACACCTCAAACGAAACTTAAAGCGGCCGTATCTCGCCGAAAAATCGACGTACGAGCGCGAAACAAAAACCATTCTTCTCGGTGTCTCGCGCGGTACAAGCTCGCGCTTCTCGCGTATGCCCTTGTCATGACACATATGTGCGATCGCGACACGTGGTGCTCGCGCCATATATCGTTCGTTGTTTATATTATACCGAGATTATTTCTGACTCGGTGTGTACGGAAATTATTTTATACTTTTGATCCCGAAAGTTAACGCTTTAGACACCGAAATATTTAGACAAGGAAATTCCGCGATGCTCAATGTGCGCTCGCGAACGCTCGGTCTAGAATTGGTTGTCGTTTTTGCACTCTTGAATTATCGAACTCGACTGTGGAACTCGACGTCGGAAACATGACACTTATTAACCCCTTGACATACAAATAAAACGGGACTTGATGCTTCCGAAAAATACTATTTAATTTCGCTCAACTGAACAGTGATGTGGAAGGTGAGAAAGAGTACATTTTATTTATCGACGCACGAGTGAAGCAACATAGTTTATTTATATACTGCACGGCGTCCGCTGAAAACAGCTTTTGACGAGTCAGACTCGTCAAAGTCTACAGTGGCACATGAAACGAATAGACGACCCTAACTCGTCATTGTATGTCAAGGGATTAATGACCCGACATAGGGTCGAACGTCAGGACGATCGGAGACCCGGTACTAACGTGGTTCCTCCGGCCGTCCTAGCTGACCCCGAGGAAAGGCATTCCGGTGGGGTTTTAGCCGGTAAGAGTCCGGCATAACTCTCGCCACCCCCAAGGGGCGAGAGTATCCATGAGGATTTTCCCATCGTGAACAAAAAAAAAAAAGAAAAAGGGTCGAACGTAAGATCTTGCATGGGTACTCTCGTTATCTACGGCGAGAACGCGTTTCTCCTCTCTGTGACCTCGTACCCCCAATCACCGCGATCGATACGCCGTCTCTCGCGCCTCTGTCTCGTCTCGCGACAGCTTCCTTTTGTCTCCACCCTCGCACAGCCGTCGCGTCTCAGTCTCGCGCAAATTCGTCGTCGCTGGTCGTTCACGGTAACGGCGATTGCACCGCTTTCTCCGCCGTTTTGCACGACTCGCTGTCATCATTGATGCACTCGTTCTGCTTGTTCTCGAGCTCGGTGTTGTGCGCGAGGGCGTAGTTGTTGAGATACTCCACCACCTGCGTGTGCCCGAAAGTCTCGGCTTCGTCGACCGGTCGTTTGCCCCATCTGGAAGAAAGATGAGACGACGCGTACAGTTCGCGAAGCTGCGCTCGCGGAGTAAATCCATGGGGAACCCGAGAGAGAGAGAGAGAGAGAGAGAGAGAGAGAGAGAGAGAGAGAGAGAACGAGAGCGTCGTCCATTAAATGGCTGTAATAATCTCGCGATCTCGAGGCGTTCGCGGGTTCGAGAGCGGCACGACGCGGCATTTACCTGTCCTTGGGATCGTGTGGGACACCGCATTGCTCGATCAGAAACTCGACGCAATCCAGATGGCCTTCGCTCGCGGCCAAGTGCAACGCGGTTCTGCCGTCGTAGTCCGACAAAGTCATGTCCATTCCGCTCAGCCGGTGTCTAAAATTAAACACGCGAGAATGTTGATAATGTTGAACGTGACTGAGAAAACACTAGCTCGAAATGTCGAGTCCGGTCCCAAAAATGAAACACAATTCTTCTTCCTTTTCGTTGAGAAATTTCCCACGTCGCATTTCAATTTATAACCCAAAAGGAATGGTCTTTATTATTCTGTGCGCGCCGCAATATTTAACGTATTCTATAAGAACTGTATCTTAATTATTTCTCTTTGTCTCATATTATAATTATGTTGCAATCACGTCATATCCGTGTTATAACTTGGATAAAAATGACAAATTCGTTCCGTAAACGATACGATTACGATAGATTCCTCTTATTGAATTGAACACGCGAAGTTATCTCGTTATTCTCCTAAGATCAGTCAGTAGAGTGACGCGAGTCTCCGTATTTTTTCGGAATTTGTGATAATCTCGTTGCGATGACCGCGCACGCACATCGTATGACACAACGCGACATCGTCTCGCCGTGTTAAAGTTCACGCCGCAGCCGGCACGCATACACGTGTCTCCCAAGAGGCATCGGACAAAAAAATACCTCACGGGCGCTCATCTTTATTAAACAGGTTCTGCAAAGCGTATCTCACCTCCTCATCGCGGTGACGTCACCGCTGGCAGCGCTGAACAGGAGATTAACGATCGAGAGGCCTTTCGTCTCATACTTGTGCCGTCTAGGATCCTTTTTGTTCGTCGCGTGCTTCAAATTGTCGTACCTGCGATCGCAACGAGCGAGTTAAGCCGAGAGAGAAAGCCCGATGAGAGCGACTCGAGAAAAATATATTCGTGTTCGTTGAGTCTCGCGCCAACGACGTCTACGATCGATGACGCAGACGTGAGAGCGACACGCGAGAGACTGAGACGAATGTCCGAAAAAATATTCCAATAGTCAAAATATATTCCAAGTTAAGAAGCATTGTAGTAAAGATATACTTAATACCGTATATATCGAATATTGTGTTTGGAATGATTGAGAAAGATATATATATATATATATATATTTCTCTCAATAATGCATTAGATAATAATCTAATCTCTTATAATATCTCTCTTCATCGTGGTTAATTCGCGTTCGTCTAACTTCCGACAAATAGGATCGTTATACCTGTGAAAATTAAATTCGCGCACGAGTTCCTCGCAAAACTGGACACCGCGGCAGGAATTTCCAAGCGGGTCTAAAGGCGGGGACCATGTGCAAATTCCCATGACATTCGGAATTACCACCAGTAGACACCCCGATACGCCGGACTTCGCCGGTATACCAACCTAGAATATGATGTAATATTAATGTTTGTAATTATGGAGGGAAAGACCAAATTTTTTTATTGAATTTAAATATGTCGAGGAAGGTTTGCGCTAAAGAGCATCGTCTTTTATTCAGAAGTAGACTGATCGATAATTTCGAGTCAGCGTTTCCTTCAACTTCGGTCATATTATCGAATTTTCATGTGTTTCTTTTTTTAACAATCAGTTTCATCCACTTATCGGTATATGAGCAAAGAGAAGTTCTGCTCTTTTCTTTAAATTTATCCATTTATAAAATACCTCACGCTAAATGTAGTATGTATTTATCAAAACTAGCATATCTCCAATTAATAAGCGACTTGTCGATTCTCCGCTACGTTTGTAAAAAGTAAATATTTGCCACATCCGTCAGCAGTTATTTACGAGCAACTACTCGTCTTGCAACAGTCCGCCCGAAGATGTCAGGCGTGAATTTAGCGTTCATTAAGCTTACTTTGAATGCGAATTGTCCGCTGTAGTCGTACATGCCGCAGCTATGCATGAGACTCAATACGTCACGGACGCTGTCCGGTTTTAGGACCTTCTCCTCGGTGATCGGACAAATACCGCCGTTCGCTAAAGTCGCAGCCATCACTGCCATCGTCTCGCAGTTCGCTTCCATGGCGCAGCACTTGCCAATAAAAATAAAATTCATTGTGAGCGACATATGCGCGCGGTTCGTGTCGCCGAAATAGAAACAGCATAGACTCCGGTTTACACCGGTCCGTGCGTCTTCCAGACTACGTCATAGACTACGTGAAACTACGATAAGTTATAAATTGCGAAACACGATCAGCTATTCACCATAGAATATCGCGTGTTTACTCGTGTTTGCTTATCGATTTAAAAAAGAATCGCGCTTCGAAAGCTGGTTTGTAACATTTTGCTTAAATTCTCCTTCTTGGTTACAAGAAAAAAAGAACGAAATAGCTACCTGGAAGTAAAAGTCCATAATGTCGCGCAGATTTGATCTGTCCGGGTAACACTGGTGCTCCCTCATGTAAAATCCTAACGCGTAATTTCGGTCGGCCGCCTCTCGCTCCGACAGGAAGACCGCGTTGTTGAAGCCGAGATTTTCGCCGCCGGCCAGTCTCTTGAAATAGTCCATTGTGAAGTCGAATTTCTCAGCCTGCGCCATTTCCGGCTTGATTAAAGCTTTCAACAGCGAGCAGATCAATATCGCGCCGGCGTTGATCATCGGGTTGTGCGGTTTCTCTAAAACGAAAAGTCGGTATAAAAAAAAAAGTTGCAAATGAAGAAACTGAAAGGTCGGCCTTGAGGAGAAGATCCGTGTTGGAAACTGGGAAGGTGATTGATCTACGCAAAAGAGACCGGGAAACAAAGTAAAATAAAATAAAACACTCGGGATGAGTTAATCGTCGGATCGAGCGACACTCACTGTTGTAATCCAACACAAGCTCGTTGAAATTTCTGCCAGACGGCTCCTGGCCGACGTACTGATGCACCACTTCTTGACCCAGACTGTCCAAGGCTATCGCATATGTCAGCGGTTTGCTGCAACTTTGAAGGGTGAACGGTATCGAGGTGTCGCCGATGCTGAATCGCTGGCCGTCGATCGTGCACAAGGAGACACCCCAATATTCGGGGCTCATTCTGGCTAACTGCGGTATGTAGGAGGCCACTTTGCCCTCGGTGTTCGTCTTGCATTTCCAGTAGAAGTCCTCCATGTGCTTCGTGAAGCCGGCCCAGTCGGGAATTATAAATTGGTGCCTGAACGCCCGCGAGATCAGGACAATGTTGGGATTTATGATTCTGGAAAAGGGCATCGAATTAGAAAGATAGTTGTATTAAAGAGTTCTCCGCATTTCTTTCTTTTCTTATTTTACTTGAAACAAACAAACAAACATCCTCGGGGCTCCTCGGAGGCTCACCTTCTGAATTGCTCTCTGTCGAGCTTTTGCGTTTCGTGCGAGACACCCTCATGGCCGTCGGTTTTGATGTGCTCCTTCTTCAGATTGTCCGAGAACTCCTGAAGTCGAGGATCGTTCTTCCGCAAGCCGGTCGTTCTTAGAGCCTTGAAGATGGTATTTTAGGGATATAAATATAGTACAGTAGTCGCAGTATAACGACCGCCGAAATAACGATTGTACGTACAGCTAAAAATTTTCCCACCGATAAGAGACCGGTATCCTCGTTCTTGAACATGTCGAACAAGACATCCTCCGCGTTCGTGGCTTGATCCTGATCTCGAGTGCTGCAAGACGTAGAACAGTCCAAGGTTATGCAAAGACAAATAACACACTCGTGACGTTTGTTAATGAAGATACAGTTGCTATAATATACGAACGAAAATACCGACATGGTATACGAAGATACCATTGCCGTTATTAATTGATCTAACTAAAAAACTTTTCACCTACATCCTACTGCTCCACATGTACCACTCGACAACGTGAGACTTTTCACTTAAAAATCTCAGACGTGTTGTGTCGTTTTTTATTTTTTTTAATTGCAAAGCTCTCCGTGCATTAATTATTATAAGCGAAAAGCGACAAAGTCGAGTATCGCAGTGAGAAAAGAAAAGTTAGAGGCAAAGTGTCGTCGCAAAATTCCCTCGCCATTGTCGCCGTAATGAAGTGACTCGAAGCGTCAAGCATTATTTTGTTAATCGCGATGAAATTAACCATGCCACGCCATGCATTAATATAGCACATAGTACTCACTACATGTAGTGGCTGTCATGAATGAAGCTGTATTCGCTGTAACGAAAAGCAAGACAAACGATCTCGCATTAGTGGTGATAATACAAGTTGTTAATGCGGCTGTTACCTAAGGAAACGCGCCAGCATCCTGGTCGACTGCTCATCCTTTTTCTCCAACCAAATCGAGCACGCGATTTTCGACTTGATCGCATAATCTTCCGAAAGTTTTGCCAGCTGGAGATTAGATTCGGCGGGTTTGGAATCGCAATCGATCGACTCGATGTAAGGCATCGTGATTGTCTCGCGCTTCAGACGTCAAAGATCAGCGCGATGATATATATATATAAACTTGTTTATAAATACTAATTGGGATATTGATTGGAGTTTATCGATTGTATTCCGGCTCGATTTGATCCTCTGTTAATTGTTCCGTTATATCTGCACAGTTATGTAGATCAGACTGAGCGTCAAGTCTAATCGTCGTCCCGACTAATAATTAAAATTATTCATGCACGTTCGCGGTGATCGACGCGTCCAACTCGCAGATTTTTGCAAAAGGGCATCTCGCGACGTGTACTCTTTACGTTGTAATCCACTGTGATCACAAGATACGTCCGAGGGAGTCACTGGTTCTCGCACATAGCATATAATCCAAGAAATTCAACGAATTCCGTGCGGGATGTGATTGACTCCTTCTTCCTTTTCTCCTTTTTACGCGAAATCTAAGAGATTCGCTCGGCAAAGCGGCTGCCTGGTCCTCGCGACGAGGTCTATTGGACGCGAGGGCATCATCGTCGGCTCTTATATTAGCCGAACGAAGAAAACAACCTTTCGACCTCCCGTTCGCGCGATGATAAAAGGCGGATCCTAAAATAGTGTCGTATTTGCGTCGGCGGAGCAGGTGGTATCCCGGCAGCGAGCGAGAACATGCAATTCGCGCCCGATAACGAACAATTGTAACAAACAGAAGCCACTGGCAAATAATTGCTTCGCACATTAGAGCCGATTAGAGCTATAAAGGCTCCGCGTGGGGGAGGAAGGAGGAGACGAAGGTCAGCCGGTCGGTAGGAAGCGGAGGATATTTATATTTCGAGACCGTCGTGAACAACAAACTGTATCTTGCAACAGCGTGGATGGCGTCTTTCGAGCGCGAAATGTCGAGCGTTCGAAGTATCTCATGTGAAATCGCAATTTTCGCACGAATGTCCGCAGAATTTCCAGTTGCTGGTTGTAGGTCTCGGATGAGAGGAAGTCGATCGACCACCGCGAAACATTCGGCGTAGCGACGGAAGACGATCGCGAAGACGATCTAGAAGAGATCGTCTCGCGACCTTGCGCTTTTTCTCCGCTCCGTTGTAGCTCCAGATAGAATGACGATCCGAGGGATCACATGTTGCATCGAGCATGTTTAAATGATGGCCAATAATAACTCCTAACGACCTGACAATTGCGACGGGTCAACAGATCGCGGTGGAAAACGCGTTGGTATCGATCGTTTCGGTTCACTCGATGCGAGACGATCACGATGCCTCCCATGTGAGAAATCTCTGCGCGACGCGCGCGCGTCGGTGCGTGTCGTTTGTAATCCGGATATACGATTACACCCCGCGCATATCTGCGCTCTCAAATTTCGCGCAGCAGCGTAACGTTACCTTCGCGTCACGCGAGCACGAGCGTATGTCGCGAATGAAGTCGCGAATCAGATTCTTTCTTTCGTCGTATCAATCTGCAGCGAAAAGTTCTTCGTAAAAATATTTGTAAATTTGCCCTGAATGCATTTTATATTTCATCCCGTTCAATTCTCACATCGCACGAGCTGTGCGCTGTCGATGTATTGGGTCTGTGCATAATTCCGTAGCGAAAATCGAATAAATTTCAAACGCAAGATATTTAGCAAAAAAAGCGATTTTAATACTAAACTAAATATATTCCATTCTGTTCAGTGACTTTCTGCCAGCTCTCCACGAGCTTCATGATCCCTCTTTCATAGAAGTCCTGAGATCTTTTGGCAAAGAAGTCATCCAAGTGGTTTTGAGGTTGAGAGGACGCCCAGGGAACTGAAGGTTTTATTATTCAAATTGTTCTGTTGCGCCCGGACCAAGTGATCGTCTGAAGGTGCAAGGTCCTATACGATGGGTCCACCAAAACATCCCACCTAAGCCGCAATAACTTTTGCCGGGTCATCAGAGAAACGTGTGGTCTAGCGTTGTCCCGGTGGAACACAACACCCTTTCTATTGCCAATTCGGGCCGCTTCTGATCGATTGCTCGCTTTAATTTGGCCAGTGCTTTAATTCGTGAGCAGCACTTCAATCGAATCAATCGTTTTGTTGGGTGGCAGCAACTCATAATAGACGATTTCTTTCCAATCCCACCAGATACAGAGCGTGAGCTTCTTCGAGTATAATCCAGCCTTTGCGACCGTCTTAGCAGCCTCCTGCCCGCGCTTCGGTCATGATCTTTTTCGACTGACATTGTTGTAGACAATCCACTTTTCATCGCCAGTGATCATCCGCTTTAAAAATGGTTCGTTTTGACGTGTGGCGTTTGAGCAGCAAATCGCAAGCTGAAATTCGGTCCATAAAATTCTTTTCGCTCAGTTCATGCGGCATCCAAGCATCAAGCTTGTTTATCATCCCAAGCTTCCGTAAATGTCTCGAAATAGTTGATTGGTTGGATCAATGTTGAGGTTATATCCGATCTCTGTAGTCGTCAAGTGTCGGTCGGAGTCGATTAAAGCCTTGATTTGATCGACATCGGAACCAGAGCGAGGAGCATCTTGGAGATGAAGATCTCCGCAACGAAATTTCGCAGACCACTTCCGACACACACTTTCGCTTACGGCATTCCCTCCGTACACGGCGCATATCTTTTTGTGAGTTTGCGACGCGTTTTTGCCTTCCCACTTCAAAATAAAAAAGCGAAATGCACCGAAACGTAATACACGTTTTTTCCTTCCCTCTTCAAAATACAATTAAACTTCGTATACGTCACGATGAATACTTTCTTAAAATGTCGGCACAAATTTCAGCTTTCACTTAATGTACGACACTTCTTCTCGAGCGGAAAAACAACTGCGAACGACATCTGTCGGAATTTCGCTACGGAATTATGCATGGACCCAATGGATGTTCTTTTTACCGTGTCTGAGAATATTCCGATTCCACTGTGGTTCCGAATGCGGCGTCCAGATATTTCGCGCTTCCGAGTCTCGTCGACGCCGGCATCGCAGCATGCTTCTGTAAAATCGCGAGTATCGTTTTGTAGAGAAGCACGGAAAGTCATTGTAGTTGCTTCGAAGTCGCGTGAGATGGAACTTGCTCGAGTGAACAATACGTGGCGACTTTATTCTCGTTGAAGAAAGGAAACAAAAAAGTAAGAACGAGAGAACGAATCGGAATAAATGATTGACGAGTCGAGCATTTGGAGATGGCCGCATGGAAGGACCGCGTCGGTTGCTAAGCAGCTCTGTATTGATCCTTCGATGAATCAACTTCTAGTACTCTAAGCGGAATCCTTCCACGTGCCACCCTAATTCGGATCAGGCGCAAACGCATGTGTGGCGCGTAACGCATGGACCTAATGGAAATTGAAGGGTCGCTCGATCGTAGGGTGGGATTCATGAAAAATTGCTCTCATCGTGCGCCTAATCACGATCAATCGATACTCGGAAAATCACATTTCCATTCCATCGCGATGATAAAAATATCTCGCTGCTAACACATTCATCTCTCGAGAATTTTCGAAAATTGACAAATAAATCGCCGATCTTCGGAGAAAACCGAGTACCTCCACGAAGAGTCGGAAAAGATCGAAAAGTCGCTCCAGCTTCGTAATTATTTCACGGATTTCGGAACGGATTTCGGAAAGCGCGGAAATATCGTTCGCACATTTACGTTATTTTCCCGATTAAAAACGTCTCAGAGAAATTCTTTAATAATCTTTATCTCATATATCTCATCAGTCTCTCCCAAGGTGACAGCGGAATAAATTTAATCAATTTGAACGCAATACGCGTACGGATATGCCAGCGATATAATTCCTCATAATTAGCGATGATTTCTCATGCGCGAGCTGCTAACCAAGCGAGGCTAAATCGAGCACCTCGGTGGCACGTCGGACGCGTGTCAGCTATGACAAGTGCAAAAGTATTTTTGTCACCGATATAGGCCATTGCCGTCGCCCACGTGGTCACGATCGTGGACATTGATCAGTCGTCGACTCGCGCGATTTCTCGGCAACGTAACGCCGAATTAGTGGCACAAGTCACCGATTGCCGTCGTGAACTCTCGCGAAGACATTTCCAGTGTTGCGTAACGCAACGTAAGCGCGAACGCCATGTTCGACGTGCTCTCTGTCTCTCTCTTTCTCTCTCGCTCGTTCGAACATTCACGCGAATGTTACAATTTTATGCGTTCCCGTCATCGTGCGAGTCACTTGCTCAAATTTGTCCTCCTCTTGTCACCTTTCGCGCGTCACGTCCTTACCTTCCCGCTGGAGTGCAATCTTCTGAGCCCGATCACTCCGACCCTCACGATTTTCAGCATCCTTGTACCTCGTAGCACCACAACAGCCTAGCTCAGCACTAAAGTCCCTCTCGCTAATGTGTCACCCGATAACTCCGTTCGACGTGACAATTTTTCGGACAGGGCAGTTGCGAGAGCAATCCGCGACGATTCGTGAGATCGCGAATATACGTTTAACTCGCGCTTAAAAAACAGTCCTTTCGAATCCTCTGCTGACGTCCGAAATTTTCCGATCGATGTCGCGTCCGCTGCTTCGTCACTTGAATCTTTTGGATATTCACTCGTACCTACACGAGTCCATATTCGCGGGTAATAACCTTTTCCGACTCGAGCTGCTCTCCACCCCTGCAAACGACAAGTCCACACCGCGAATTACCGCCGATTGACGCTCGTGCACTTTTTACTCACGACAATGACGACAACGGCGGACGATGGGAGACGACCGACCCTCGGCGATTCGACGACCAGCGTCTACTGCATCGAGGGTCGTGCGAACGCCCGTGGAAAAACCGGCCGGTGGGACATGCGCGATTTGGGGATGACACGCCGGGAGTCTCGCGATATAGCCGACGTGCGACACGTCGCCGTGAACTCGTGGTCGCTCGGTCGCGAGGCCGTCGCGCAGATTATCCTGTAGGAAGCTAAGACCACGAAACGACCTCACGACGCGTTATCTCGCTATAGAGAATTCTGTTACGACAGCGTGGAATTATATCGGCGTTGTGTGACTTGATAAAAACGTGGGCAAATATATGTAGAAAAGGGTACACCTTACCGATCCTTTTCATTTTGAAATATGTTATAAAGGACGAAATTCTGAGTGACTTTTTTTTCCTAATAGAATTATATGGGGATCGCTTATAGTTTCTGAGATATTTGACTTTAAAGCTTTATAATTGTACGTTGAAGTATATTTGAAGTAGACAAGCAGTTTTCATTCACTTTAAATATAGGAAGCAGTACATGTAAGCGTGGGAGGGGCGGAGCCCCTCCCCCGCAACCCCTCCCCAAACAAATCCTAACTTAATCTAAGTTATTGCATCTTTATATATTTTTGGACATTGTTGAAAAAAGTTCTCTTAAGATCTGTCACCTGGCTCAACTTAACTTATTACAATATCTGCATATAATTAAATGTTGTGGCTTTTAAGGAGATCTTTTCAACATCGCCCAACAATATATAAAGATGCGATAAGTTAGGTTAGATTAGGATTTTTTGGGAAGGGGGAGCCCCTCTACCACTTATATGTACTGTTTCCTATATTTCTATGTGTACACTATGTTTGGATTAACTGTTTGGATTGTACTGTAAATAACGTCAGTTTGTGATATCTGGAATTTAATTCCAGGATAATCAAAATTCCAAAACTTTAAAATCAAATATCTCGAAAACTATAAGCGACTCCCATATAGTTGTATATCAGGAAGTCACTCAGAATTTCATCCTTTATAACATATTTCAAAATGAAAGAAACCGAAGAGGTGTACTCCTTTCTGTATATTTACCTCTCCTTCAAATATACATACTTCAACGTACAATTATAAAACTTTAAAGTCAAATGTCTCAGAAACTACAAGCGATCCCCATATAATTGTATCAGGAAAAGTCACTCAGAATTGCATCCTTTATAATATATTTCAAAATGAAAAAAATCGGTAAGGTGTACCCTTTTCTATATATTTACCAAAACGTGACATAGATATCTTAAAGATAAAAGGAACAGCTATACGACGAGTGAAGTGACGAGGACTCACTGAAACATGGGAAACAATTCGATGATAAACACAACTTTAACCCGGAAACCGAAATAAATATTATTTCACGCCGTGAAAACCGCAGATATCATTGTGACGCATAAACGAGACGAGAATCTACGGGGAATTGAGGCCGATAAATAGATTAATGAACACTTATTGTTTATTGTCTCGCAATTGCTACACGATAATACATTGCGAAGTAAATGTGAAATTCGGACAATATAATTGTCATATCGAATAATATTGTATCCTATCTCAGTGTGTAATTACTCGTAATAACAAATTATCGTCGTAGACTCCTCTGTCGTTTAAAACAAGAAAAGTTAAAGCAAGATGTGATATGTGAAGGGTCGTCTTAATAAAAAAACGTCAAGTGCACTGATAGTGATAATAATAATATTAATAATATCATTAATATATTATTGATAATAATATTATGGAAAATATTGTTATTAATAATATCAATAATCATATTAAAAATATTAATAATTCATAAAATATTAAGTACGCTCCGTTACATATGCAAACGTCGTTAAAACAGCTGCTTTGCATACAAAATTATCCTACTACTTAGTCGTGACTGTAATTCACCGACTAAGAAAAATATTATTCGAAGAATTACGAGAGTATTCTTATGAGTAACGAGAGTGCGGCTTTGCAACTCGTTTTGTCACGTTACATTTCGAAAAACACATCGAACTATTAGTCTCAAAAATTAATTCTAGATTGTACAATAATCGCACGAAACGAGTGAGGCAGTTTCAGAGTTTATACATCTTAAGTTTATATCGATATTTAATACACTTTGGTTTTCATCTTCTTCTTACTCGAAATTCACGACGCACTTGCAGGCAAGTGAACTTTTCTACAATATAAACTTGTATTAATATTTGTAAAGAAAAAGACACGTCTCATATAAAATTATTCAGTTTCCAATAGACCTCTTATCGAACCACCGTCTTCATCAAATTAATTATTAGAGAGAAATTTATATTTTGTCAAGATTCTTTCTTTCGCTACCAGTAGATTCAAGTTCGAGATTGATGGGTTTCCAAAAAGTCCAAAAATAAAAATATCTCACGATGACGTGTAGATCATTAGCAAAGAATCATTTCGGTTGCGTCGGGAGTTAATTGCAATTTCTCAGCGGTACGTATATATTGTCGTAACTATATTTCGCGATTTTAAACGTTTCTGTAAAACAGACGGTATTGCACGCATCACAATATTATACGCGATTATTGCCGTTCTATATAAATTATCACTTGTCGTTAGTACAGACTGAGGCGAGTGAAAAATTGCAGGCTCAGTCCTTATTATCTGCCGAAGAATATCATCTAAGCGACCGAAGCGAATAGCCCTCTCTCTTTGAGATCGATTGTTAAGTATTCGTTCACATTTAAGAAATACATAATCTTACTCTTTCTCTCCCCTGCTTTCGACAGGCGCGTTTTTTTTTTTCTATAAAACTGAGATTGCTGTCGAGAGATGCTTGGACGATATTCCCCGTGCAGCTTGCGATATCCGATAAAAACTGGAAGACTGGAAACGTCCGGAGACATAAACGCGCGAGTCGTACGTATATGAACTGTAGAAAATAGTAGATTTGAAAATAGCGTGAATTTCAAAAACGTCAGTAACCTCTTAAATTGGCAATCGCCGTTAAAGCGTCTAAAATAGCGCGAACAGGCTGCTCGTGAAGATTCATAAGAACCGTAAGAGTGAAGTCGATTGTCTCTCCGATTGTCTGTCCGAAGACGCACTTTCGAGAGTGTCGGGCGAGATTATAAATCTATATTTACAGATGATGCGATGATCCTTTTTGATTTTATGCGCAGAACAAAAGAAACCTCAGGGTTCTATGATATAAATAGGATGAATGGGAAGATGACGAAGGGGAATAAAGAAATTATTGCGACGAAATCCTCCCGTGGAGGAGTTCTCGATAACTCGAGGTGATGACAAGAGAGTGGTTCTCGCGCTTAAGAATTCTACGCCGATTCGCTTAAGACCACCGTCTTTTAAGTACACTAATACGTCACATACGTCAGTCGGGTAAATCTATCCTGAGAGCGAAGGCAACCTTCATTGTAACCGCGTGCGAGCCGTTTCGCGAGTGACGCGATTGTTCGATTTGTACGTATATCGTAAGATCTATGCATTCTCGAAACGTAAAAACGAGGCGTCCCGCCTCGACCGCCCGCGTTTCTCCGCGAGGTCAGTTTGCACCAATCTCTAAATGAGCTCGCGTGAAATCGACCGCGCCGGATCCGCGGTCGATTGTCGCTTACACTACGTCGGCTGATCGCACCGTAAACGCGAACGAACTTCGAACTCTTACAAAGTCCTACAAAGTGCTATCCAAAGGGATAACCTGCGTGAACGAGTTTCCTCGAGTCTTCGAGGAAGTCACGTGAAGTCACGTGCTCTTCATGTACACCTGCTTTCAATACGGTTTGGCGAATCTCCAGCTCTCCTCCCCCCTCTCTCTCTCTCTCTCTCTCTCTCTCTCTCTCTCGCTGCAGCTTGAAACGCAACCAACAGTCGGATAAGAAAACTTGTTTCTGATTAACACCTTTGTCACCAGAGTTTAGTTTAGAAACCCTCCCCACATGCCACCTCGTATCCTTTTCTACATAAATGTGCAAAACAGATTTACGGTTTGATCGTGTGGACATAGGAAAATAATGCTGTCTCACGCTATATAACGCTGATCTCTCACGATAGATCGTCAGACGTCACACGTCAGACATGCGTAATATGCGTCAGACATTGGTTTAACGGACACGTTAATATCCGGAAATTAATTTCTGGAAATTAACACGTCTCTCATTGAACCGGTAGACTGTGTTCTGAGCTGCAGCGTGAGGAAACTTTCATTGAGACATGTTGAAAGCAAGTGCACACGTTGATCGCTTACCGCGGCGCATCACGACGCGATGCGATACCGGTGGATACCTGTCGCGTCGCGTCGACTCGTACGAAGTAAAGCTCTAAAATCATCGAAAAGTCGCGTCTCCCTCTTTGATCCTTCTTCCAGCGTTGAGAATAATGTAGCTTAAACTGTAACTATAACATTGTAGTGAATTAATTAGTTATAGTATAAATGTAGTCGAACAACCGTGACGGAACCATGGTGAAGGTGAATAACGGTTCAGCCGCCGACGAATCGAAGGTGCAGGAATTCTCAAAAGTGCTAAAAATCGTTTCAATCGGCACGGTGGAAGGAGGATCACAACAGCGCGCTCTCTTCAACTACGTATCGCTCTCGTAAAAGCCACTGTCGCGTTCTCTCGGCAGAATCGAAAGGATAGCGCTATCAAAAATAATACCGTTCTCACTACGAGACGGTTCTACGAGAGGTGGTCGCTCACGAGCGACCACACCCCGTTGACTGTGAGTATCACATCGTGGATCAACGGTAGATAGGATTCAGCGAAGGATTCCGTTGCTTCGTCATGCTCTCGCGACTCGCTCGTCTCTCGAACGATGCCTTTCGGAGCGAGTTGTCAACAGAGAGCGTCCCGTTAGCTCGCTTTGATTAGCGCCACGTGTCAAATCACCGTGTCCTGATAAGCGGGTGGACCGCTGAGGACGAACTGTCGCTGGCTCTGTCTGACCACGTCAGTCCGATTGGGCACCTGCGGCGTCGCCCTGACGCCGTGGTAGTTGCTGTAGCTCGACCTAGCGCTGGCTGGTCGATTGCCATACAGCTCCTCGAGGTCCTCGCCGTTCAAGCTCTGCGTGCTCGTTTGCTGGAACGTGGGGTTGCTCTGACCTTGCCACTGCATCGGGCTGAGCTCGGTCGAGGTCTGCCAGTTGTCAGTGAGGTTGCGCGTGGAGCTACTCCCAGCCTGATCCCAGTCCGACGAGCTCTGCAGTTGGCTCGGATAGCTGGACGTGTTCGAGTAGTTGTTGGGCAAGTCCTGGGACCACAAGGTCGGCGACGACACCGCCATGTTGACTGCCTCCGGCTGCCAGTTGGCGTTGCGCGAGTCGCGGTCCCAGCCGACCGACGAGATTCGATCGTAGTTGAGGGAGCCTGATTGCGAGTTGAGCGTGTTGACGTTCTGGTTCGTCAGTTGGCTGATGGACGCGGTGTTGGCGTACAGGTTCTCCTGATGGTCCATGATGCGATTCACCGGGTTCTTCCGACGTGATTGACGCACCGAGCTGCGCCGGCTCGAGCGGCGCGTGCCGTCCCGCGAGATCACCGAGCGTCGTTTCACCCTGCGCGGGGTCATCGGCTTCGGCGAAACGCTGTCGTCCTGCACCGGCGGCTCCGGCTGCGAATACTCGATGCTGTACAGCGGCCGCGGCTGCTTCTTCCGTCGCTTAGTTCGTACTGTCGAAGAAACAGAGCAGTCGGTCAGATCGGTCTCGGGCGCGAGAGGATCGATTTGCGGGTTTTCGCGAGCGGGGGGTGAAAGTCGCGGCGGGCTGCGAGAGCCATTTGGTCACACTCGCGCTGATCAAACGACGGATGTTAGGGCAGACGTCAGTCGCGCGAAAGCGAGATCGGTTATTCGGACGCGTGCGACTTTTCTGGCGAGAGACATCCGAGCGATCGTTTGCGTTACTGATGATTACGTTGATGAGATCGTTACGCGTCCTTGAGATTTCTGTCTCCTACAGCGACAGTCTTTTTTCTCGCAAGGTACCTCTTACTATGGAATATACATATCAAAAAATGATCTCTGCAAAGTATTAAAGGAAAACGTCAACGTCAAAACTGAATTGACTTGAAACAAAACTGTAGAAAAAAAAAAGAAAAAAAAAAAGAAAAAGAAAAACTGATTAAGAAAGAAGATTCCCCAGAAACCGCACAGTAGGAAGTTGTTAGAGAAGGAAAAGAAAAAAGAATGAGGGGTTAATAAATAAAAAAGCAAGCAGTAGCAGCATTGCACATTTATTGTTCCCAATTAACTGCACCAAAGTAAACAACGTGATACAGTGGTTAAATACAAAACGAATTCGTGACGGTCTTAAAAAAATATAAATATGTACTGTACAAGCTCGAAGGGGTGCTCGATAGACTGTACCTTGTGCTCCGAGATATGAATCTGAAGTGACAAAGAAACCTTGCGTCGAGGTTTCCTTCTTACCTCACCTCTCGCGCGCGCATCGGTTATATGTTATGCTCTCTTTACTTACATGTTTATTCTTGTATATATCTCTCTGATAAATAAATTTCTCTGTGTAAGTACTATGCAAAAATAGGTATATATATATATATATATATATATATATATATATATGTATATGTATGTATATATACACAGCATGACGCGTTTAATATATGATCTCTTTATCGTTACGTTCCATAAATAGGATATCGTATCAGTGAAATCGTATGCAACTAGCAAAGATAACAATCCTCATAATACGACGCACCCGGCACATATTCTAAAATACACGTCTAATTAATAAATAATTGCTGTCTCTTCACTTGTTGATATAAAAATTAAGCTGTTCTAACATACGCATCTACATCTTCCTGGCAGTCTTTTTTTTCAACATATTTATATGTATATATATATATATATACGCACTAGCTAACTTCTTAATTTATACACAAAACGATCCAAACATAGTCCACTATATAAATATATATTCCGCGTGATGTCACTTCAGATTTTGTATCGAGTCGTACAATGTAACGCAAGGATGTACGTATATATATATCTCAGTCAGCGATGTAAGAGCCGTTAAAGCGGGTAGAAACCTCTAAATGCGTTTTTGCCACGAAGCTTTCGAAATTACACGAGAAAAGAGAAAAAATCCCATTCAAAATTTCTTTCCACATACAGAAGAAAAAAAAAAACGAATAATCCACATACACACGCGTGTAATTAAGTCTAAAGAATTGGATGCTACGATCTGTCTCCTACGGAGGCTAGACTACGTCGCGGTAGAATCAGTGAAGTATCATACGTGTGACAATACTGAGCGGAAAATGACGAAAACAAAAGACGCAACCAAAATCACCATGCATTATTAAGTCTTCCTAAGTATCGTACGATAAAACTGTTCGTAGCACCGGGTCAAACTCCTAACCGATTCGCAGCTATGTATAAAATAAGCCGATCAAGTGCAGTCTACTTGCTTCGGAAAGCAATCGGCTCTCCGACGCCGTTATTCATTCGTTCAACACAAGTCGTGTATACTCATCACATGACAGTTTTTCTTTTTTTCTCTTTTTCTCTCCTAACGAAGGAGGAGTCTATTGCTCTTGACACACGGGAGAATCTACGAGTAAAACTACAGCGCAAAACAACAACGTGGAGATCCCGTCGACCTCGGGGTTTTCTCGCACGTCAACTCAACAGGGGATATGGTTGTTAGACAAAAGCTGTAGAGATACAAAACTCGCCACACTCTCAAGAGCAGTACAGTTCAGTCATGCCGTAACTTTTACCACCAAACACTCTCCTCTACGTAGCGTGCAAACAAAATAAAATCTGTCCCAATGCGAATGATTGTCAACGTACCGCTACAATCTCGAGTCTCTCTCTCTCTCTCTCTCTCTCTCTCTCTCTCTCTCTCTCTCTCTCTCTCTCTCTCTCTCTCTCTCTCTCTCTCTCTCTCAGTACTACATTATATGTAGAACGACATAAATATTCTGCGTGATCGTCTCTCATAACAACTTCTATTAAATATATATATATATATCACAGTATATGCATCAAGGCAAGTGTCTCTCCGTTAACGTATGCGTCACATGGACCGTGATGCAGGATGGTCCACGCTTATCATCCAGTTGGTCTAACTTTGGAGAAGAATTACGCGCACGTGTAAATTAAACAATAGCATTTACCTATTACTTATCGTTATAGAGATGTGTACATACAAGCGACTTATTTCTCAGCCTCTCTCGCGACAAGGGATCCCAATTCACGAGAGGAGAGCGTCAGCGTTCACCTCGTATCTCGCGTAATCGCCGAATTGATACTCGAGATCAATCCGATCGCTTTGTTCGCGCGCGCGCGTTAGACAAGAAAAGTTGGTTAAAGAAGCGAATGGTAATTGTGAAGTGATCCTACACGCGGTGTGGTAGTCACGCAAGGTCTATGAATTAGTTGGTTAAGTCACACCGATCGTTCGTGACGAACGAGCGAAACTACTACTTGAATACACACACACACACACACACACACATATAGCTCGACAATGAGTCGATTGTAATGATGCAAAAAAAATGAAAAGAAAAGAAACACTAGAACACAGTCGATATGTTACATGATAAAAGTTACACATGTAAGACGAAAGAGAACGACTCTGGTGGTTGTTAGGCTGATTGATCGATTGACTGACTGACTGATTGATCGATTGCCAAAGGGGAGGGAACACCTAAGCTAGCTGGCTACGCTAATTGTTCTATCTATTTGGCAAGTACAGAAATGAACAAACAAACGTTTTTAACACGTACCGCTCACCGTAGACGCCGTGTACGCGCGGGTTGGGCGGGGCGGGGCGGGGCGTTATAGAGAGAAAGAGAGAGAAAGAGAGAGAAAGAGAGAGAGAGAGATATATATATATATATAGAAAGAGAAGCTCGTATCTAAGCTAATTCGCAACTTGGAACACTCGGCTACGCATCCACCTCGTTAGAGACAGCAGAAGACGGCGAGGGCCATTTCGCGGACGGTCTCGTTCGTGGCTGATTTCCCGTTCGCGAAGAAGGGAAGTGTCCTTTCCGTGCCGCGAGCGAATTTGCAAGAACGAGCGATGAGCATATGTATATAGACATACATATATACATATATATATATATATGCGCGCGCGAAAGTGCAGGATGAGCCGGTCGACGGTCAAAAGTTACTCGCGTACAGGGACAAGGGTCGGCTGTCGCGCTTCGACTGGGACGATCTGTCGCGCTCGCTCGTGGATTGATGCTGCTCGACGGCCAATCTCGGGTCGGAGTAAAAGGACCTCAGGGGCTGATCGCGCACGTGGTCGGCGAAGAGCCGCGGCTTGCCGTGGCCGCTTTTGCCGGCGGCCTGCTGCTGCTGCTTCGCCGCGGCAGGGCGCAGCTTGATACGCGCTACCGGACTGTACTTGGCCGAGTGCGGGTAGTACAGCCGGTTTTTCTGATATCTCAGCTTAGCCGCGCTGTCCAACGAGTCGTACTCGTCGTACGACGGCGACACCGGCCGCTGCAAGTGGTCCAGCGGATTCGAGTAGTCGGTGGTGTAGTCCACCACCCCCGGGTAATCGCGACTCGACGAGCGGTTACTGCGGACCGTGCCGCCGTCGCCGGCGTGCCTCAGAGCGTTCGCTACGCTCGCCGCGCCGCGCGCCGAGCCGCTCAGCAGCTTCTCGCCGCCGCCGCGTTTCGGGAAGCTCGACTCGCGACAGGTGGACTGGTGCGAGCTAGCCGTGCCGGTCGGGTAATTGAGGGTGGAATTTTTTTGGGAGTAGGCGGGTGGTGGAAGAGCCGAGTAGCTAACGTACATAGGATGCAACGGTGTGTGGCCTGCCAGCCCAAAGTCGTCGCCTCCGACAAAGTCAACTGAAAGATCATTCAAGAATCCATCGTATTAGAGAAAGAGAGAGAGAGAGAGAGAGAGAGAGAGAGAGAAAGAGGGGGTGAGGAGGGGGGAAGGAAAAGGGAGAAAGAGGTCGCGTTAAACGCGTTCGATCGAGGAGATGTGTACGCGACCGATTGAGCAACCGACCGAATTGTTGTGTCGCGCCGAAAACAAAGCCGACTGTGAAGCGCTGCGCGGCTTCATCGTTTCCCGCCTTCCTCTCGTATCTTCCCCGTCGGCGTGTCACGGAAGAAGAACAAAGAGAAAGATACGTCTCGTATCTCTTTCGACAGCCTCGTTCGTCGTGTAGCCGATCTAATTGCGTGGCACAGTCTGCTTTTGTCTTTATAATCATGTTTATGAGATTCTTTGCCGCTGAAGGTATAATCGTCTATTGTACTACATTGATACGCAATACCATTCCGTTCATGCGAAGATAAAGAAACTCTGCTACTCGTGGCGGTATTGTATATAACAATAGCGATGATAACGATAATAAATACGAGTCACAACCCCAAGATGCAGAAAATTTTACACCGATATATATATATATATATACATATATACATATATATATATATATATATGTTCAAACATAATGGTACACTCTGCAACTTCATGACCGTACTAGAAAAAATTATCTCGTCGTGCTAAGATAAACAAATATAGAAATGTACAATGGCGTGCAATTGATAAACATGATTAAGCGGACTTACCAAAATGGAGGATCAAATCCACCAATGAAATCAACTGTAACCGACAACCCTCTTTTCAAGCAATAATGAATAATCGCGTGTACTTACATAATTTTTAGTGAATATCAATGTGAATTTAGTTATTTATTATTGAACAAAGTTGAAAGGGTGTGCTCTTACAAGTGGAGCGTAATTTCCCAGATGGTTTCAGTGCAAATTTCGGGTATATATACGCTACTGTGCAATTGAGAATATCAGCTAACGAAAGCACGCGTGATAATTAAGAAAAATCTAGCGCTTGTGCAATTGCAGCTTTCGTTCTTCTCTTTATTGTACTCCATTCTCCGAATGGTAAAAATGATACTTGATCAATCTTTGTATTTTCCGTTATCCAATCGTTTAAATACTTGATAATAATTTTAAAGAATCTTTTATCACGAGTATCATAATTTATCTTTTTTGAATATATAGAGCGATATTGTGAAGGGATCTCTTCCGTTGAAAACTTTACGATCAAAATGCACCCGAAGTCTTGCGAACATTCCGATGTAATTCGTCACAGAAACCTTAAACCATTTTAAGCTAATTGGATAATATAATTGCTAAATCGCGTATACTCACAGCTATCATCTTCCTCGAGGAACACTTTACTCAGACAGATCCCGCCGACGATCGCCATTAACTGAAACGTACAGAGTGATCTTCGCAACTTTCCAACGGAAATTAAGTCCAATACCAGTCTGCCGTTATGACGCGCAGCGTATTGCACGAAAGTGAATTCTCTACTTACACCTAAGATACATTGTATCGAGGCGTGCAAAATTTCTATCACTTCGTAGTCCAGCACGCAGTCAGTCACATTAGTGGGACGCGCAGGTCGGAAAAGCTCCGGCTCCATAACATCGTAAACAGCTTTGCAGCCTGGTCCGTTCACGTGCCACCATGAAAAACTGCCGGTGCCAAGGTTGAGAATATCGCTATCCTGAAAAACGATACCGCGACATTATATCCAATGCGCTTATATAATCTGATATCTTAGATAACGGTTCACGTAGCATTGCACGGACGCAGGTGTTATTAGTTCGGGATATCATGTGTATACAGTGGAGAGATATTATGTATATAATTGCATTGCCCTCTCTCTCTCTACTTACTTTGTCCAGTACTCCTACACTGAGGTAAAAGCATATTATAAATATGTTCCATCCTAGCCACAATGTGTTCCACACACAATACTGAAACAAAATTATTTATATCATTATTGTGTTATAATAGCACAATATTATTATTATTATTATTATTATTATTATAGTATTCAAACGAAGGAATATTCTTACTGGTAAACAAAACAAAATTATCATGGATATTCTTGCTCTTCTCGATAAAGCTGTACATTTTTTGTTTGTTGTCGCATGCTAATTTTCACTTCAATGGACACACATTTGCATCGTGTTTTGTTTCTTATCGCACTGATAAAAGTTACCTCGCGATTAGACCCTTCATCAGATTTCTTCGATTATGTATCGACAGAGCCTTGAATTATCTTCTTTCTTGTAAAATGCTTTTTCATAATATCTATCTACGTACCGATATGATATACTTGGGTCTGTATTGAAAGGCCCCGAAGAATCCTAGAATCACGAAGATTATGTTGAAGAAATTGACCAGTATCGGAGCCCACATAAACCCCAGGAAGTCAAACACTTGGCGCTCTATCGTGGTGATCTGTAAATAAAAGTAAAAACGGCTGATTAACCGCACGGAGTATACGTACAATAAGCGCCAGACGTGGAATGTACATAACACAAAGTAATGACCGCGGTGACAACGAGCGTCTCAACTTCTGCTTGACTCCTTTTCGTGCGCGTTCTTAATCTACGACAATTGTCCTGTGTTCTAAATACGCGGTTAATTACCCATTCTGAGTCACAGCATGATAGTGGCGACGTCTAACACACATATGTGTGTATGTACATGAAACATCGTTCAAAGTTCTTGATTTCCTATAACTTTCCTCATAAGATGATTTATTTCGTGCATTATCGCTATCGTCGACAACATTTAAATATTATTATCGAAAATAAGATGTGCAGAATAAAATATTAGATATACTCATTAAAAAAATAATACACAAACTACACAAACCTTGTGTACGAAAGTAGTAGGATGTGTAGGAAAAGTAGTGAGAAAAATGCAACAACAGAATAAACGAATATTTCTTCGTGGCCGATCTACCTTTCGCATAAACTTGTGCCAAAGTAGTTCTTACAAAAGATGCATGACAAAGATCTTTCATCATACCGGGTACGTCAATCGTGTGACGATCAATTGTTAAAAACTCGACAGTTATCCCCGGTGCCCCAGCAGTCACCCGAAGAAAAACCCCGCATCCTGCTCGTCGCAATTACCTTCTCGCGATCGTAGGATGAAAAAGCATGCGAGTCTGCTCGCTGCGTGCCGCGATGTGTACAAAAATTGCACTCGGAGTGCACTCATCCCGACGCCAGCGGCGTCCATCGGGCGAGAGAGGAAAATCCGCGAGATACGAGGCTGGAATAATTTCCTCGAGGTAAACCGCGCATGACTCAGGTCGATAGAACCGAAACGATCCACTCACGTCACCTTTGTCAGCTAGACAAAGGCGTGCGCGGCGCGTCCGTACGCACGGCAGCCGGCGATTTCGCCAAAATTTCCCGAATTTTCCGGCGAGAGCGCGCCCGAGAACGTGCGCGCGCTCGCGTTTACGCGACTAACCGGATATACCGTGACTAACGACCGTATCGCGGAATTCTCGGGAGAGGAGAACAAAAAGAAAGCCAGACGTGAGAGCGAGTCGCAGATAAGAACGCGCTGCGCTCGTATTATACATGTATGTGTGCGCAGGTAGTACTCAAGGTACTCAAGCGGCAGGCACGCACTCACGCACAGCACGGCACAGTTCGACCGCGTGTTATTGCGATTATCCACACAGCGACGCGTGCGGTTCTCTCTCTCTCTCTCTTTCTCTCTCTCTCTCTCTCTCTCTCTCTCTCTCTCTCTCTCTCACCAGTTGAAGAACGCATATCGTCAGTAGAAAGTGCCTTCTGCTACAAATTCCCATGTCATCTGGCCGCGCTCCGCTCAGTCACGAGCGAGCTCATGCGGGACGATCGGAGCACGCAACGATACGGCCGCGCACTGCATCACTAACTATTCTGGCACGTTCCGATGCGCCGTCGCCGCCATCTTCCTCTGACCCTGTAGCTCGGCGTGGACACTTGTTCCTCTCGCCCTTCGGCCGCCGAGACACTGGCGTGTGCTCCGCTCGTAGCCAGGTGGCACGCTCGTCTATCCGTTCCCCCCGTCGTTGAAATACGTGCAGGTCGACGAACGGCCAGCAACTGCCGCCAACGCTGCACATGCGAGCGTTCCTGCTACGCCTGCACCTGCGCGCGGGCGCACGTGACACGGTCACGTGACGACCGCAACTTATGAATCTAGGCGGGCCGCGTTCGATTAACGATTAGCTTCGTTGCGACACGAATTTCGACGGGAGACTTCGCGAGCGAGAGGATACACGAGAGTTTAGAGTTCAAGCTTTTGCTGCATTTGTCGCACGACGAGAAACTTCGATTTGTTTCGACGAATTTGCGTGCACGGGGCACCGGAGTCTCTCGAGACGGCCCTGCGAGCAGGCCTACCAACCGACACCGGTGCGAATTTTCCCGCCGCTGACGAAGAAGAAGATCTACGTGAAAATATATTTTTGAGTCGGAGAGACGCGCGTTGGACCATATCGATAGTTGTATCGTGAAAATACTGTGTTCACGTCGCAGGATGTCACATTGCGCAGGACCATGCACGCGCGAAGCCGCGATTTATCGTGAGATTATCGTATTCAACATGGGGAACGTGATTTGCCATAACGATGTAAAAGTCGCTGCCAACGACTGAAGAATGCTCGACAACGCGAGGTCCCTTCATTTTCGAGGATAAATTCAGCGAAACGGCTCTTCAGCGTCAACACTGTCGAAGTTACCGAAAGCTCTCCGCCTGCCGTGCTTGTGGTGCTTTCACTCATGTACACGCGCCCTCGAAGACGGTAAAACCGCACAGAATCGTTGTCACGCGATTGCTCGACACAGTCACAGCATAATCGACACGCGGAAATCTGCGACGGCAAAGACAAACCTCTCTATTGACGAGAATGCAAACCTCGTGACATAAGTTGCCACGTAAAGCTTTCGATTTCGAAGCGACAAGAGAAACAAGACGCGCTCGATTTTCAGAAGATCGCGATTGCCATCGCGTATTACTCAAGAATGAGAAGAAACGCAGTCCCGACGAGGCGGAGCGTTTCTTGGATCGTGGAGACACCAAAGTCGTCGACATTTTCCCGAAGACCCGCGCGGCCAGGAGCGGTTCTTCATGGCGAACTAACTGGGTCTGCAACGCGCAAACCTCATGTGCAAGAGCTAGTCGAGCGAAGCGTATCCGCGGAGAGCCCGAAAAATCCGGAGAAGGTTGTCTACGGAGAATCGCGAGCGCCTGATTAAGTTACCTAATTAAGAGTCCCTCTTCAATGCAGGTTGCACCTTAATATGAAATAAGAGCGCGTCTTGGCGTTGAAGCGAACAAAAGTTTCTCGCAGCAGAGCCAGATTAGCTGAAAGGAATAGGGACGCAACGCGAACGTTAAGCACGTCTCCTTAATTCCAAGCTTTTCTCACACAAGCTTCGCGCGTAGCGTTGTTTCTCAGCTCGAGAACCGGAAAGACGTACTTAACGTTTGATACGCGTTCAGACTGGAGGTCTATTCTGTAACTTTGAGCGACGTTGATCGTTATCGTTACGTTGCCATCGCGCAGTTTCTCCGCCACGCACCGACACCGTCGTTGAAAGCAACAAGATAGGCCTAGAGCTTCGTTATCACGATTACGTTCACGGCGCTAAATCCGATCGTTCGGTCTGAAACTTCGATTCCCTCCTCCTCCCTTATTTCTCTCTTCTGAGTGATGGTGTCGAACGACTCGCGTCCCCGGCGTGTGCTCGTGACTAGGGATGCAACGATTTCTCAAAATATCGATAACGATATTTTATCGTCATTCAGAACCATCGATAACGATAATATCGATAATTTTGAATAATATCGATATTTATATAAAAAAATGTATACATATAAGAGTATGTGTATAAAGAGTATACACGAAAAATTTAGAAAGATCTTTTAACAATTTTTATCTTCATATAATTTATTGTCGTATTCTTATTAGCAAATATATGACAAACCGCAGTCGTTTGCCGGAGATCATCGCATACATGCAGGAGCAGGAGATCCATTACGGTTCAACGAGATGAAAATTGAGATGAAAATGATGAAAATGAGCGAATTTACTAGACATCGACCAATCACATAATACATATCCCAGTGAATTCACTCACTTTTGTAATTTTCATCTCGGTCGTAGAGCCGTAATAGGCCCCCAGAACTGTGACTGAAAAATTACGAAATTCAGTAAAATTCATGTCGATATATCGATTTTATCGGAGACAAAAAAAATATCGATAAATATCCGATATTTGTCTCTCGATGTATCGATATGTCGATATTATCGATTTATCGTTGCATCCCTATTCGTGACGCGGCGATCACCCAGAACTCCCCAAGTCACGACTCCGCTTGATCCGCAGAGCGGATCGAGCATTTCTCCACACCGCGAAAGCCCGAAACGTCGAGTCGCGATTTTGCCCGGCGCGAATGAAAAATCTGTCTTGGTCTCGAGGAGCAGCCGAGGGACGAGGCGCCGCGCGGCCGCATTTAGCACCGAACATGCGATCGACGCAATGCATGTGCGACGGATTCTTCGCAGGTACGGCTCCATTAAGGTGCAACGAGGGCACGTTTCGCGTGCGCAAGATATACGGCGATGGTAATTGCATGTTCCGTGCGATCAGCTACATTCTGTGGCGAAATGAGGAAGAGCACCGCTCGCTCCGAGCCATGGTCAGTCCGTAATTAATGCAAACGTTGTAGCGCGCCGAGCGAAGAGCGAACGAGCAAAGAGAACGGGAATCGCGACGCTCGTGTAAAAAATCGCGACGAGAGTGACGAGAGTCATCGACGCGACGCGACACCACGTTCCCATCAAGGTCGATGAGACGTTAACCCGAGTCGAAGTCTCCGTTCTCTGAGAACAAAGCTGAGACTCTGGCTAGGGTTTCGCCGACTAGAAATCGCTAGAAATTGGCGAGTAAATCGAGTAAGATCGGCGGCCGTCCGCCGATCCGCTCAAGCGTCGTCCTCTCTCACGCGAGGCGAGCGTCTCGAGACGTCGACGGGAGCTTTGCGCTCGCAGTAATTGATTTATACGACGCGCGTACGAGAGAGCGCCCACGGGACCGTCGTCGTTTGGCAGGTTGTGCGGCACATTAGGGACAATTGGCGCGAGTACGGTGCGTTCGTGATGGCCGAGTGGAACATTTCGGAGCAGCAGAAGTACTTCGATTACATGAGCATGGTGGGCACGTACGCCTGCGAGCTCGAGTGCACGGTGGCCACCAAGCTCCATCGCATGAATCTGTCCATCTATCGCGAGCTCGCCGGCACGTACGAGATCAAGCTGATCTTCCACAATCGCGTGCACGCGAGCTACGAGACCGCGAGGCTCCTGTTCACCGGATCCTCCGAGAGCGGTCATTACGACGTGCTGCTTCCCGATTACCAGGCATTCATATGAGCGGCCCGACGCCCGACGTGCTCATGCAGAAGCGAAGTTGGGACTCGCGTAGAGCTCGCGCGCGAAAAACATTCACCGATACGACGCGAATTAGCATAATGCGCATCGTGACGGGTGTCTAACTCGTGAGAGAAATTGGCACGTGTGAAAGAAGATACAGCAAAGGAAACACACACATGGCGTTTTAAATTTATTGGTCGATCACTGGAGATCGAGAGATGATTGACAAATAAATAATAATAACAAATCGATGATGAATATCGTGCAAATGGAGTTTGCAAATGACGTGATATTGTATGCCTTTAACGTTTGGTGAGAAATGTGCGAGCGAGTTGCATTCGTGGATAAAAGGATTCGAGGATCCGTGGCGGAAAATTCTTCCTGAAAATCGCGACGTTTGATTTATTGAATCTACGGGCGAATGCCCGAGGTCTCTATCGATCCTTGCACCACTCGTGGGAAGACGCTCGTTAGACGAGCTTCGGCCATTCGTTAAAGCTTTTTTTCGCCGTCCATCTGGAGTGAATCCGCCGACATTGAAAACGCGAATTCCCACACTCATGTCGGCGCTCGGCTCTGGAATGCTTCACGCTCCATGAGCACGAACAGGATTTAAAGGGAATAATCACATCTCCCCGCGTGTGAAGCTATTGTGTGACCGACGTGATTGCGCCATACATCATGCGGCTGAAACAGAAGGACGCATAGAGTCGATTAAAAATTCCAGAGCTACGTCGCGTAAAAAATTACAGACGTTCGTACATATAATTAATCGCCGTTACATGTAGATATCATTTTGGCAAATTTAAATCTGCTCACGATATGCGCAAACAAAAGTAAAATATATTTCGACTCAATATTGCGTTATATCGGACGATAGTGTTAATCTCTGCGCGTATAATGTTGATTAATCCACTCCACTCATTAATCACACACATACAGTGGCGTGCAAAAGTTTCGAGCCATAGTATCTTTTTAAGATACATGACAATATATTGATTTGCTCTAAAAATTAATTATATAAAATAGTTGACATAACATTCTTACAAATAATAGTACAGTTACGAAATTTTGAAATTACATAGTTCCTAATTATTTAGTCATATAATGTTTACATGTGTTCAAAAGTATTGAGCCGTATTCTTTACGTTGTGACTTTATGAGCCCGGTTTGTTTATGTTTCTTATGAAACTTCTTCGTAAATATTTGCTTTAACTAAGTTTCAGTCTATTGTCTACCGCCGAAATGCCGAAACATACAAGCCTTCAGTTACGCAAAGTCGTGATTAATCTTTCTCAACAAGGAAAGGTTTCTCGCGAAATTGCTAATTGCTTATTAATTGACAAAAGTACTGCAAATAGGATTATTGCTAAATATAAGTTGACGAACTCTCTAGCTGATAAACCACGAAACGGTAGACCTTGCAAAACTACAAAGCGCGTCGATAAAATAATTAAAAGAAAGTCGATAGCAGATATTAGAAAAACTGCCATGGATATTTCTCGAGAACTACGAGATGAAAATCTTGCTGATGTTAGTCGAAGTACAATATCTCGACATCTAAAAGAAGTAGACCTTTTAGGACGTGCTGGTGTAAAAAAAACCATTAATTAGTGCAAAAAATAAGAAAGCTCGATTAGATTTTGCAAGGAAATTTGAATATTGGACTGAAGTTGATTGGCGAAAAGTACTTTTCTCTGACGAGTCATAGTTTCAGTTATTCGGAAGTGACCGTAGAAAGTATATACGACGTCCAACCAGGCACAAGATATAACTCAAGATACCAAATTCCTACCGTAAAACATGGTGGAGGTAACGTGATGATGATTTGGGGATCATTTTCTTATAATGGAGTTGGTCCATTGGTTGAGATCACGGATACTATGGACGCTATAATGTATCGAGATATATTGACACAACATATGCTGCCATATGCAACATGCCACGTGGTTGGATTTTCCAACAAGATAACGATCCCGAACATTCATCAAAACTAATAAAAGAATTTTTCATCGTGGGAAAAAATGCGAATTCTTGACTGGCCCTCGCAATCGCCGGACTTGAATTCTATTGTGGCATTTGTGGCATTTGTGGCAAGAACTCAAACTACGTACAGGAAATAAGAAACACTCCAATGAAGTTGAATTGTGGCAAGATTTGCAAACTCAATGGCAAAATTTACCTCAAGATCGCATTTCTAATTTAATAGCATCAATGCCTCGCCGTTGTGCTGCAGTGATTGCTTTTAAAGGCATGGCAGCAAAGTATTAAGTTTAAAAAAACGTTGACATTTTCTGTTATTATTTTTCAAGAATATATTTTTCTTATGCATAAGAAAACTTTTTGGCGCAATACTTTTGCACTGTTTGTAATAAGACATAATGTGACATTGTAATAAAAATAAAGTATTTAGAATTATTAAGAGTAAAGTTTATATGATTGTAGGACAAATAAATTTTGTTTATATATATGTGTAAAGTTTTTAGCGCTCATTATTATATGAATATATAATAATAATTATGTGGCTCCAAAGTTTTGCACGCCACTGTACATACAACTATATCTTTCGCAATCGCTAATTAAACTTCATACTTTCATCACTTTGAAGAAAAAACGAAAAGAGAATATTCCATCGTTCTCTTAAAATAATTTAATTCACTTAATTCATTTAATTAATTAATTAATTATTTTTAAGTCATTACTTCAATCGATTTCTCGTATCGTTTTAAATTTATTAGGATAAATTTACGTATGTGGACGTTTCTAACGTTTAATCGCTCGTTCGAATTGAAATCGTCGAGTCCGCGATTTCTGGCGCGACAGGTCGCGAATGCCGACTGCAGCCACCGGTCGATCCTCAATCACGCGGATCTCCATTTACCTTAGTCGGTATAGTATCTTGGAGCTCCAACTGACGTGCACATTGCACTGATCCTTCCTGATCGCCTGGACAACTTCCTTCGCCACTTGTTGCTCACTTTCCCTCATCGAGCTGCAAATGTCAGGTGTTAAGTTGAGTTCGCCAGATGACCGCGAAATCCCTCCCCCACTTTTCTCGTTCTTGCGGGGGAACGTCCCGAGACTCGATTAACGATTGCATAATTCGACTCACCTGTGCTCCAACGTCGGCGACACCGCGAGGAAAGTGAGGTGACTGCTGTGATTGCTCAATTCTTGACTTATACTTTCCATGAGACCTGCATGCAATGAATCACGCGTTGTCGGTTGATATTTATCATGCTTCACCGTATATAATTTCGAGCGGTTTTTATAACGCGGGCTACCCACCAGCAATCGCGGTCCTCGAAGCCATGTATCTGTCGTGCGTGGACGCAACTGGAGTGATTCCGACAATATGCGTCTTTCGGTTGCGCCGTAACATGTACGGCAAAAATGCCAGCGTCGCCTGTAAGGATACAAAGTAAGGATAGGAAGATAGAGCACAAGAAAAAAGAGCGTAAAAGAGGGCGATAGCCACGACTGGCGCGGAAGTAAGAAATCGATTAATATCGTATTGTGTAAAATGAACTTGCATTACCAACATCGAAAAAAATTTATAATTCCGGAAAAGTTGACTTTTCGGCGTATGCTTACTCTTTTGACACGATGAACACTATCTACCTTAGTAACTACCGTAAGTCTGGAGGCCTTTTTTCCCAACACCCTGTACATCATTAAAGTGCACATACACGGCCACATGAATATTTAAGGCCACGTTCCTTCTTGAAGACTTGTTTCTGACGTTTTATCAATGTACCTCAATTCATTGCCTTCCATGTCCTCGAGAAGGACATTTATTGATCGAGTAAAAGTGAATTTGCGAGGCCAACAACCAAGCCAACAACAAGAAGAAAAACAATCATGTGTTGCCTGTACTTAATGTTTAAAATATCCCCCAAGGACTCCTGCATTCCGCATGAACGGTACGCTTATGGACAAGAAAATTTTATCGTGTTATTCCAATTTTTTCTCAATGAGGACGGCCGGAATGGCGGTTAAAACTTTTTATGTGGCGGTCGATGACAATTCGAAAACCTGTCTGCACTTACCCAGTGGTGACTCATGAGAGTCGTACTGGCTGTATCGAAAATATCCTGATTAGGCTGGCCGGCGCAAGTCACTAAGATGTCGATGCCACCGACCTCGTCCTCGACCTTCTTGGCGATCTTACGGACGGCGTTGCAGTCCAGCAGGTCGCACTCGTACGCCACTATTGTCGGCTGTACCTCCCGCGACTCTTCCCCCCCGTCGTTATACAGCGGTCCGATTTCCTCCACTCGGCAGTATCGCGACTTCAGCTTCGCGGTTATCTCCTTGAGCGATCGGAGGTCGTTATCCACGCAGATCACGGAACATCCGCTCTCCGCGAATTCCTCTGCTAAGAACTCACCGAGGGTCGAGGAAGCGCCGACTATCTGCGATACGAGAAATACATTTGCGCGTTAACAAGGAAGTGTCTTCTGTTTCGCTTCGTTCGCGAAATTTTAATTTTGAACCGCGGCTATATTGTTAACTCATCATAGCAGTGCAGCAAGTCTAACTTGACGTGTTGTTGTATAAATTTGCAATATGTCAGACTCAGTAGAAATAGCCGAGTTAATAAATATTTAGATATGTATTCTTTTATTGATGAACATCTGTTTTATTATCGGACAGATTGGTAAATTTTTAAAAATGATTGTTTCCGGACAGTGGCATGTCCTCCATCAATTTCCCTTCGACATTTCATAAATATTTTATTCCTCGCTTCCTCAAGCAGGAATAACTTGAAACTTGGGTTTCAGCTTCAGATTGTTCCTTTTCCTGGAAAATTGATGTGAAATATTTACGAAACATCAGGAATGAATTTACGAAGAACATGGTACCGATTTAGAAGCCAAAAATCGAGTATTTTTCCCTGAAAGAGTTTTAAATTTCGGAAAAATGTAAAAGAAGACTTAAAAACGTTTGCGAAAAGTGTACTTACTAAAACTACATCGCCGGTTAAGTCCCTCGGAGGTTTTGGTAAAAGTGACTTTATTACACTAAGGAGGACTAAGATGGCAGATATGACAGCACCGATTAAAAATTCGGCACTGAGGAAAAACCAGAGATTGATGGAGGAGAACATTCTCGAGTTAACGATCGTTGTTTCCTCTCTGATCGGTAGTAACATCCTCTGCGAAACAGCACAGATTGATTTTTCCCGATGTGATATCTAAAAAATCAACGTGTTACGCTTGAATAAGTAATATCGTATAACGGGAACCGACGTGAACGCGATCATTTGCCGATCTTATAAACCGTGACAAATTGAAATGAATTGAAACCACTCAACAGCCACGCAATTAATTTAGCCTTATTTAGGCAATTAATCGCCTGGGTTAATTTAGCCTTTAAATCGATTACATATAATTTCCGACTTTTCCGATATAATTTTCCGTACCTTTCTAACAAACATAAACATCAAGATGAAATTAATGCCTGGAAAAAATTGCGTATCGATTATACCTCTGATTGAAAAATAACACTTATTATTAGGTGTACAACTTTGCTTCCGCCGTTTTCCTATAGATGGCTTTAGCGGTAAGTAGTGGTCGAAATAAATAGATCATAGACGTCATGCAATAAACTTGGGCATCTGTCAACATAACCCCATAGAAACATTAGTCGATTTGTGTCCGCATCATAAAGTTATTTTCGATTGAAAATGTCAGTTTACGAGCCAAATTCTCGTCATTTGCGGGAGGTTTTAATTTTCTGCTTCAATATGAAGAAATCTGCGGCTGAGGCTCATCGAATACTTATGATGAGGCCGCTATTAGTGAAAGAACGTGTCGTAAGTGGTTTCAACGTTTCAAGATGATTTTCACGTCGAAGACCGGCATTGCGGTGGAAGAGAGAAGGTTTTCGAAGATGCAGAAATGGAGGCATTACTTAATGAAGATTCGTGTCAAAGTCAAGAAGAATTGGCACGATCATTGGGAGTGACTCAACGAGCAATTTCAAAACGCCTCAAAGACATGGCAATAATTCAGAAGCAAGGAAATTGGGTGCCGTACGAGTTGAAGCCGAGAGATCTTGAACGGCGTTTGTTTGCTCGTGAACAGTTGTTTGAAAGGCAAAGACGGAAGGGATTTCCGCATCGCATTGTGACTGGGGACGAAAAATGGGTTCATTAGGATAACCCCAAGCGCAGAAAATCATGGGCATATCGCGGCTATGTTTCCACGTCGACGGCCAAACCGAAAATTCACGGCTCCAAGGTCATGCTCTGAATTTGGTGGGACCAGCTCGGCGTAGTGTATTATGAGCTGTTAAAACCGACTGAAACAATCACAGGCGATCGTTATCGAACGGAATTAATGCGTTTGAGCCGAGCATTGAAAGACAAACGGCCGCGACACAATGAGAGACACGATAAAGTGATTTTGCAGCATGACAATGCTCGACCCCATGTTGCGAAAGTGGTCAAGACATACTTGGAAACGTTGAAATGGGAAGTCCTACCCCACCCGCCGTATTCTCCAGACGTTGATCCCTCTGACTATCACTTGTTTCGATCAATGGCACACGGCCTGGTTGACCAGTACTTCCGGTCTTATGAAGAAGTAAGAATTGGATCGATTCGTGGATCGCTTCAAACGATGACCAGTTTTTTCAACGCGGGATTCGTACGCTGCCCGAAAGACGGGAGAAAGTAGTGGCCAGCGATGGACAATACTTTGAATCATAAATGTATAACCAGTTTTTTACAATAAAGCCTCGAATTTCGGAAAAAAAAACGGCGGAAGCAAAGTTGTACACCTAATATGTCCCTAAAGACCAATCATTATCTATCAGTCATTAAGTTTTCCTCGAGGACGTACAAACGTACAAGTCCTTGATAACAAGATAATAGTTAAACAATCTCATATACCAAAAAACCTCAGACTCGACGTTTCGAATGAATTAATAAAAACTATAAAGCACTAACAAATACAAATATCTCGAATCTGGCGTCATGCATCCGGCAATAGCAATTAACTTTGTTGGGAGATTTATATTTTTATCTACCTGGTCGCGACTTTAATTATAAAATAAAATTACTTAATCGTTTATAAAGGCGCAACAATAAGGTGATCGATGTTAGATGCGAATAAACTATTAAGATACAAAGAATTGCACGCAATATATTCGCAACGTGCTGCGTATACAGACTGGTCTCAGCAAATATTATATAAATTATATATATATATATATATAAATTATATATATTATATAAATTATTTTTCGAAATCTCTCACGTATCTCTCATAGTCGGCGCTATCGCCGACAGCCCATCGGTTTAAAACACGCGCAAAACTTTCCCGTTCGATCACCAAATCGATCGCGCGGTGCCGCGCGAAAGCCCCTTGCATCATTAATGCGTGCTGAAACCGAGAAAATTCTGAATGTCGTAACAAGCTGCGGCCGAACAAGCCATAAAGTCGCGTTCCGGCGTGTTTTTTCCTCTTTGTTTAAATAACGCAGAACTATCACGGGGCCGGCTCGAAACCTCCGGTCGCTCGTAATCGACATCGTCGACGGGAACAAATAATAACATTGGTTACATAAGCTTTGGCCTAGCCAGGTTACCGCCGTCTTTAGTATTTACAGCCGGTTGTCACAGACGAGAGACTTAAGACTCGTCTACAATAGCTGTAAGAGTAAGGCTGTAAGGCTGTAACGTAAGCTGTCAGCGAATGAAAATATTTCATTTCGTGTCTTGCAACCTTACAGCCTTACGCTTACAGCTAATGTAGACGAGCCTTTACAGTTGTCGTCTCGACATCGTGCAATTTGCGGACCGTGCAACATGTTTCCTATCGAATTGAATCGCTGAGTCGTCGCGTTACGCCGAGTGATCGCGAAAAGTCTGCGTGAAAAGCGCCTGATGAAAATTGTCTCTTTTCTTCCTATCGGCCGAGCCGGTAGTAATCCGTGTCAATACAAGAGCCGCGAGAACTTTCAGCTAGAGAAAACCCGTTCGAGAGAGCGTATGGTTCATTGCACGCGATTTTTTGACATTTCGTTACATAACAGCGGGCGCGGCAAGTGTTAAGCGATAAGCTTAACACTTCGACAGTATTGTTTTATCCGTGGTTCAAGGTGGTTCTTGACTCCTTTCCGCTGCGTTCGAAAGGAAAATGATTCTTTACGAGAAGAGGGAAAAGACAAAGAAAAGCAAGAAAAAACTCGTGCAGCTAGTAGCTTATAAGCGGCGGATAATCACGTGCACTTTAGTGCCACTTGCGGATACAAATACTGTGGTTTGCGTCCACTTAAGCTTCTTATATTCGCCATTTTACACCGTTCTTTTTTGCCGCGAATCGAGGAAGGGTATTAGGAATATGATCGATCGCGTGTCTCGGGTGTGCCGTGTCGACGTCAAAGTAAACGACGTGCCGACGTCGTAAGGCGCAACAATAAGGTGATCGATGTTAGATGCGAATAAACTATTAAGATACAAAGGATTGCACGCAATATATTCGCAACGTGTGAAAGTTATTTTTCCGATTTCACAAGTGGCGTGTTCTTCGAGCGCAACGAATTCGATCCACCAGCGACAGAAAAAACTAATTGCGTCCAGCCGACTCGCGCGCGTTATAATCCGATCGCGGATTGTGCGTGCGCATGCTCGTGATGTAATAATTAATTATATTCATACGCGAGGAATTAAGGAGCACACTTATTGTGTTTGTGGTGGCTGTAAATTCGCGCTACCAGAGAGAAACCCGAACCTCTGTATGCGCGATGTCGAAATTGTAGATATCGTTAAGATAGTCGGGTTCCTATTCGTGCTGATCAATATAATGCTCAACAGACCTAACAACGACGTTCCGACAAAGAACTTAAATTACGAACGATATTTACCTTTGATCTCGGCGCGAGCTGTACAAGTAGTTAGCGTTGCGCAGTTCCGAGGAAAAGTCGAGAGCGAAACGGGAGATTCGGTTCCTCTTAAACGGCTGCGTTATCGTTTTGTCGGTTGAGATTGGGACGAAGGAATGATATTTGTCATCTCACGTAACGGTTGACGGTCTTGAAGTGCTGCAAAGTGCAATAATGTAGATAGCTTTAGAATGTAATTTTGTGTATTGTCTTTGTTTCGCGATGGTCATAAAGATATAACTGCTACGTGCAATCATACGATATATACACATAATTACAAAAATTATAGAAAATATCTGATGGGAAACAAATACAAGGGGATCTATCTTGATATTTAGTTAGCAATGTTTATACAGTTTCCGTTGTGATAATAATAATAATAATAATAGGTATTAGTGATCTTCTCTCTCCACTTTAAGATGATTTTCAATAAAGATAAAATTGCTACATTTCTTGACATAATTGTAAATTGTAATCATTGTAAGTCTGACGTGAGCGATTACAATGCAAAAATCTCGTGGAAATTTTCTAAGAAAATCGAATCGCGAGATGATGTTAACGTAAGCAATAATTACAGAATGCATAATAGTTCGCAACTAATTTTTTTTAATCTAATAAGGCAAAAACGTCAATACCGGTGACGCTTACTTTTTTTACCTTGACTCGTTCCGAGGTGGCAAAATAATATATTCCAATGCAATATACATAAATCTGCACGTATATAGCGAACGTATTTATAAAATCGCCGATTTAAACAGCATATTTAGAAATGTCATATCGAGAGGACACAAGAATTGATATAAAAGCAACTTTTCTACCGATCACTCCACGTATCGAAAAGAATTTAATCAATAATCTCTCCATTTCCGATAGGTTTTTTTATCAATTATGAGCCGTTTCGCATAATAGAACATAATATATATAAATAAAACACGTACACGTATAGTCTTGAATATTTCTTCATGATAATATATATGCAAAAACGTTTTTTATAACGCAATGGAAAATTCCATATTCTTTGGATTCCATACTCTTTAATTACGTCACCATTCTCGATGTTGCATCAAAACTTCATTAATTGCAAAAGTCACATGAAACTTCATCGTTCACGCCTTTCATTCGAGCTGCATTGAGATAACGCGGAGTAAAATTATTCTATTTTACGGAGCGACATTTTTACGTCACAGCTTCGTCACTCTTGAAACAAAGAAGCAAGTCCCACACAAAGAAGTTTTGGACGAGTGAAAAATCGCGGAAAACAAAGAATATATTTCGTCGAGTATAAGGTACGATACCTTGTCTAAATCAAATCGAGACATCCACTTCACATTAAAGGATACACTTCACAGATATTAATTAAAGAAACTGTGAATAAATAAAATGGGAGGCACCTGCGACACACTTTGATGTAAGCCGAATTTTACAAAATGCGAATTGAAACGTATTGACTTAATATATATAATAACAAATATATATAACTCTGTTAATACATGATATATATATATATATATATATATATATTAATATAATGCGTATTAATAGAATATATAAAATTTATATATATAGTAATATGTGATGTATATAATATAAAAATGATGATATTATGTTATATATACACACACAACTCACACATACCTATTTGTTAATAAATTCTTCGAAAATTCGCTTCGTACTATCCGCGGAAACAAACCCACGTGTAGCGCGGCGTCGCGTACATTCAGAACGTTCAGAATCGCACGTGGAGTGAGTAACGTTACCGTGGAGAACGTGTAGATTACTGAGTCGCGTTATATCAGCCAGTCCCTTGACAGTTCCGCTAGCGTTAAGAGTCGCGTGGGAGCAACAATCCACCGGGATCGCGGATATGCGTAACGACGAACAGAACGCTGGAATCGCTTGAACTTGACTGAACGCTGCATTGCAGAAACCTGCCGGCAATAGCTGTGGTATCCGCATACAAGGTCGTCGTCTTCTTTCCTATCGTCGTTTTCCTCTCCTCCTCACAGCGTGCATTCGCGCGAATCTGTGTGGAGCAGTTTCTCGTAGAAAGTTATTTATTCGAAACTTCTTATTGGTACCTAAGTAGAAAACAAAAAGGAAAAAAGAAAAATGCGAAATAGCTTGGAGAAGAATTCGTGAAGAAAACGAAATTCGTGAAGAAAACGACAGCTCGATAAATGTCGATTTTTGTCGAGCGCAAGGTTTCACGCGATTCTTGAAAGAACGGCATCTCGAAACGCTGTCTCGATCGTTCCGGTTATACATTTCTGCGCAATTTTCTAAATGCTCCAACATTCGCATGTCAATGGAAATGATGAATATATTATATGTATAAAACTGTTTCACATATAACATTGTTCACGTGTTTGTTACTAAAGAACATTTGAATTGCTATATCTATTTCAATCTTGAATTTATCATAAATATTGATATCAATTCGTGACGTTGCTCTCTTATAACCGAGTCGTAGAGTAGTAGAGATCATGAAATTTTGCATTTCATTGCACAATTCATTTATCATCGTTACTGTTATTAATTTTACTTGCTAATACGTTACTAATACATTCCTATATGTTGGAACGGGTGAAAAAGTTGAAAAATATCAAGTAATGTATCTCTAGTGCGTTTCCTTACAGTGGTTTTACACTGCGGTAGAGCGATTTTGCTCGTTTGATTATTGCTCATTTTTCAATGATGAATTTCAAAGATAAAATACAGAACGTTCCTGATGAATATTTTTTTATTAGCAAGATATTGTGCAATGAATTTTGTCGCACTGCGAAAAATATTCTTGATAAATTCCTTCACTGCTTATTCAAGAATATAGCAATTCTAGTAATGGATATATTGTTTTTCATTAAAATCGCTGATATTTTTTTGTCGACATCTCACGATAATATTTTATTTATTGAGAGAAATTAGTTTATTGCAAACGTGCAACTTACTTTGAAACATCGCATATTTCTGCAGAGTTTTAAAGTCTTATATTTTTTATTACGTCGGACGTGTGTTGCTGTATCATCCAATGTTCACTTTCAAGAGCAAAATAAGAGTACAAAGAGCAACCTGCTTCAACTATACAGTCCTTAAAGCCGGTTTCCACTACCAAGCAAGTCAAGGCCACCTTTGAAGCGTATATATTATCAGTGAGAAAAAAGATTTTGCTGAGTTAAGAGGCTACATATACTCTGGCCCTGAAAAAAGGCTATTTCTTATAATTTTTTCTCATAAACGTAGTCTTAATTTTTTTAACCTGCTGTTTTTTTTTTTTACTAAAAAATGTCAACATTGTAGATTATTTTCAAATTTTCTATGCTTTATAATTTTACAAAATGGCTATAGTATAAACGCAGAAATTGTGGGCGCCGACCTGGAAATCGGTACCAAAGGAAACAGTTATAAAACGTATCGGAAATGCAAAAAGTCATATATTTTCTTCAAGTAATTAAAAGTAATTAAGAAACGCAGGTAGCATCGTAGCAGGTAGCTGTTTTCAAAAATTTTGCTTCTAAACAAAATGGCACATATTTGAATTTTAAGGCTTACTTTTTTACAATATTAATATTACAGTTATAAGCGAACAAAGGCATAAACAAAAAAACCTCTACGATGCTACATATCTACGTTTCAACATGTTGAATAGACATGTTAAACCTCAAAGACGTCGGTTCAGCAATTTTTGAGAAATCTTTGGCACCAATTTTCAAAACATGGTTTTGAGAAAAATGCGTCTAAAAGTTTTAGGTAAGGTTTAAAGTGAGTGAACGACAAAATTGTTTATTTTAAACGGAATCTTCGATTTTCCCGGTCCGTAAAGTAAACTCTCAATATCCAGAAACTTATCAGCAGCTGCTTTATTTAGTTTTTGCTCTAGTCGAGCCGTTTTTGTAGAGACACACGCAATATTACGTATTAGCTGCACGCAATGTATTAGCTGCCGCAGGAAAACATACAAACGCGCATGTTGCGCGCTTGCACAAAAACGGCTGTATCTCAGTCATTTTCATATATTTTTAACTTTAGGGAAATATTCTAGAAACGTCAAAGATTCAAAAAATGTAAAAATTGAAAAATCAATTTTTTTGACTCCCCCAGAGTGTATGTAGCTCTTTGACAAAACCCCAGTAACTGCTGCAAATAGTTTATGTATGATCTGCATCACTAGCGATATATACTTGTTAAAATTACAAATAACGAAAACTGATTTGTCTCGGTAACTGTTTGATTTGTTCCCCGTACAATGATCAAACAGCAAACGTTCAGTTGCTATGACAATAGAAGTCTCAGTACATGGTGACAAATAGCCGTTGCATCCTCTATTATATGCCAAACTAAATTACCTGCTCTGATAATAAATGTAATACCCTAATATCTCAGGCAAATGATCGCCACGAGCCGATGAATTTTTTGAAATTAATAGTGCGAAATCAAGATGTTGCCGCATCAGATTATAACAGATAGGCATAAAACAACAAATCTATATACCGCGTTAATAATCACTGCTCTTCTTACCGTTGTCGTCATTTCGCGGTATTGAATCGCGTCGAACTTTCACGCGCGCGCGTGATACACCGCTAGAAATAAATTTATCAAGTTTAGCATAATTATTTCTTTCTCCGCAATAACAGTTCGCGTAGTATCTCGTTCTGCAATATTTCGTTACAGGATGCATTCATAAAATGATTGATGAATTTGTAATGATGAATTTGAGATGAACTTGTAAAATGGACGCGCATATGAATTTCTCGGCATTATCTCGTAAATTCTATTTCCTTTATCTTCGCGCGCGTCAAAAATCCCAAAGTGACCCACCGCTTAACCCGTCGAGAGGATCTGCCTCGGCTAAAATGCGAGTATTACCGCAAAAATGTCTACTCCACCGCGAGTATAAATTACCATTTATTCAATTAATCCGTAACATCTTATTAAATTATCGATTTCTTAATTATTTACACATATCTGCAGAGTCCGCGCAAAATTCACATTTCTCAATATCCCCCCCGCGTGAATTCTCGAGGCCCACGCGCCGATCCGACAAAATCCAAGTCACAAGCTCATTACGCTCCTTTCCTGTCGTTTCCGATCAACATTCGCCAGGAAGTCCAGTATCAGGCGCATCACGCTCTCCGGGACGATCCTGGATAGACAATAATCTGGATAACAGAAAAAACGACGCAACTCGACCGCGTGAGATAATCGCCAGCGTATGGCCCGGCAAAGTTGATTGTCAAATAATAGCGAAAGCTAACGTCCTTGTCCAAATAACAATGTCGTTATGCAAGCCACGACACGTGCCAGTCGACACACGCCTTTCGTCATGTGCATACCTGTTGATCGCGTTCAAGGACAAAAGGCATCGCGGTATCGTGTGCTCTATGTAATTTCTCCGTATTGCCTTGATCACTTCCTGAGCAGCATGCTCGGCTGTCACGGCGCCGAAGATAGAAGGGAACCTGCGATATCACAGCTTCGTTGACTTCGAACTCACGCTCAACGTGAGTTCCGCGGAACGTGGTTGACGGACGAGCAGTCAAATGCCATCATCGTGCGAGCGTTCGCAACGTTTCCCCCTCCCCTCCGCCCCCTCTCTCTTTCTCTTTCATACGCTATCAATGATCATTGCGATGATTAATCGTCGTTAAATTAACTCGAGCGTAAATTCGAGCATTTTCGCCGGATTGGAACTAACGTCATGCAACTCTCGTCCGCCTAGGCAGAATTTTACAGCAACAATTGCTGTGGAATTTTGTAAGAGGACATACAGAGACATTCCGCTTTTGTTTCGTGAGCCGCCCCGCACTCTCGCTGCGTGTCAAATAATCGCACTTGCTTGCGATTAGGTCACGTCGAGGCGGCTAAGGATTATGCTCGCGGTTTACGAGCACGATACTCGTGTGCAAATTACCGTGCTTAACGGCGGAAGATATCGTTACGTGAACGGCGATTACGACGCATGCTTACTAGAGGATTCTAGAGGAGTAATTAGTCGCACGACGAGCACAATTGCGCGAATGTAATAACCGAAGTGTAACGAGATTACAGTCAAGCTCGCGCGCGCCTTCCGCCGTAACGTCTTATAAAACGCGGCATTTATCGTGCACTCGAATATAGAAAGTGTTAGAAAAAATGCTCTTAGCGTGCTTGTTAAAAAGAAAGGAAAATTTCCTTGTCAACGTAACGTCGAGAAAGAATCCTCCCGGTATGTCAAACGCGGCTTTCTTCTGTTCTAATTTAATTGCGAGTGTGTGTGGCTGACTTCCCTTTATTTATATAAATTTCACCTGTATTCGGGGTCTCTGGCTAGTCCCGTGTCGATGTAAAACGGGTAAATCGTCGTGAAACGAATGTCGGCTCTCCTCTCGTTGCAACGAATTTCCTCGTGAAGAGCCTCCATGAGACCTCGGAAGAAAGTTGAATTTTGTTTTGTGCAAGGTACACGCATACCGTGTGAACGAATCGTCGCGAATATCGCGACGAATAATACCTCTCACGGCGAACTTCGACGAGCAGTACGCCACTTTCTGCGACACGCCGTAAATACCGCACATGCTGCTCATCGCCACTATGTGTCCGCTGCCTCTTTGCAGCATCGTAGGCAAAAATGCTTCTATCGTCTGTTCAAGGTGGAAATTGTCGCTGGTTATATTTCTCTTCTATTTCGATATGTTACTTCGATAACACTTGGGAATTCTTTTTTTTGATCAGATATAATATGATAAGTGCGACACATAAGAGATTATTAATTTTAAAATACAAATATATATTATACAAAAAAATTGTTCTCTCCGATAAAAAAAAGAAACGTTAGTCTGAGATTTATCGCGAGTAATCGTCTTTTCGAATAATTTTCTTTCCGAGCGCGTACCCAAAAGTGTGAAAGCACGTTGACGCTGAATGTTCTCTCCACGTCGTCCGTGTCGCAACTTAAAAACGGCTTATGATACAACACAGCCGCATTATTAATGAGTATCGTCACATCCGGCACTCCGAGTTTTCTCATCAATCTGACCGTTTCTCGCACTTCCAATCTCTTTGAGACATCGACCACGAAACCATAAACCTAAGAATATTCATAGCTTATGTCATGCCTTTCTCCCCGGCGCTCGCGACCGCGTTTCCCTCTCACAAAGAAATGACCCTTTGTTCGTGAAAATTACTTTCGATATTAAATCAACTGCTAACATGATATATAACATTATGTATTTATGCAATATAAATTATTAAGTCGAGTTATAGGTGACTTTCATCCATTCTTATCGTTCTTTAAATTCATTATTTCCGCACTCATGTGTGTGAAATATTTTCCAATGATGCCTCTTGTTGAAAATATGCATTTCGTTATGATTAATAATCATGTTTCAGACTAATAAATATTGGTCATTTCCTGTGATTATTTCACGGAGAGAAGTAAATCTTCTCTGTCATCATTAGCGATTTTCGTGATAATTCGACTCAATTCACAAGTAGTCCGCTATTCATTACCTCTCCGCCGTTTTTCGACACTTCTCTCATGGTTGACCGGTTCTTGTCAATGTGGATGTCCCAGCAGACAATTATGCAACCCATTGAGGATAATTGGATGGCCAATTCACGGCCGACACCGTGACCGGCGCCGGTGATCTAATTTTGACATTCGTGAAATAATTTGTCATTATGTGACCGCGTGCGCGCGACGACTCGAAATCTCAAGCAGTCACGACGTTTTCGCTCGTTTCGTCGAGAGGCAGAACTTACGAGAACGGTTTCTCCGAGTAAGCGTTTCATGGCACGGGGCACGATCATTCTGAAAGTCGCGATTATCATCGCTAGGCTTATCTTTGCCGACAACAGAGGTAGTTCCAGAAACAGCCTCGACAATTTGATATCTCTGAAGATACGTTGAATGTTCATCATGTCGAAAATATCAGTGGACACTGTTTAACCTGTCGAACGTGATTCGATAGTAAGCGAAATTCACTGCGAAGATAAGATCCCTGTTAGCAGTTCGATGTTTTTTTGCCGAGTCTCTAAATTTTCTCGCGAATTGTCCGAACGTGACGCCCATATCTCCGCATAATTGTACCTATGACTCTCGCGTCATCGGCTGTCCTATAATTTTCACGTCGTCGATATAAAATTTTATATATAACCGCGCAGTAAAAGACGGAAAGCGGTCTCCCGTGAAACGATAAAGCGCCTCTTAATAACGATGATCGCGGTCTCTCGGGGCACTCTATAGAAAGTATACAGAATATCACAATATCCCGGTGAAAATGCAATGGAAAAGACAGACGGAGGGATTGGACAAAGAAAGGAGAAAAACACACGCATGTAAATCTTATAAACGCACCGCGATTTAATGATGCGAGTCCCCTTGAAATCACTTTCTTTTCTATGGCGAAACCTTGTCGTCCGATTCGTATCGTTCGATCAAACTTTTGCAGCTTCTTTTCGGCTATCAAACGCGATTTCATCGTCACCCAGCCAACTGTCATGGCATCCCGTATCCATGGCATTCACATAATATTTACGCGACACTGATCCTATTTTTCCGTGCGTTCATGTAAAGGTGATTTTACATTGAAGCATGCAAGAACCAGCAAGCCTGTGAAGTTGGCACCCCGAAAAGTGCGAGTTTTTATGAAATTCACGCGGCATAGCAAAATTGCCTAAATATTGTCACTTCAAATTACGTGTTAGATCAGTATTCATAGTCAGGTCATATATTTAAAACCGTCTTAAGTTCACTTTCAGATATCTCGTAGCCGATGATAATAATTTGTACGGCATCTGCAGATGAACTTAAGACGGCCTTAAATATAAAATCAGACTATGAACCGGCCTTAATATCATATAATGTCTATGATTCGTCCGTTACTTACATATAATTCTCGTTTGTCAAGGCCATCACACATAAATGAACTTAAGTAATAAGACGTAAGCAGTAAGCAAATCGACCAATCACAATCGAAATTTAAGGACACCATTTTAAAACTTACGAGAATAATTGATTGTGATTGGTCAGTTTCTTTACTGCTTACGTCTTACTACTTACGTTCATTTGTGTGTGATGGCCTTCATCAGTACGGTACTTTTAGGTTATTGGGATTTTCCAATCGCACGCTATTCGTTCGCTCAGTGTACACTCACCTTAAGACTTCGCTTTCGAGTGGCTTAGCTTTAATTTGTTTTATTTTCGTGGATTTCTTGGACGAAGCGACTGTTGCAAGATCTCAAGTTTTCTTATTTCGTTGTAAATCATACGGCTGCCTTGCCACATGTCTCTCTCTTTCTCTCTTGGTGATATATAAAAGCCGTGAAGTCGAAGGTCATCTCGGCTTGATAAATATCCTACTGGTAGAAGCGAGATGTATCGAGCAAGAAGGATCATTCAGAACCCGAAATTCAAGAGGTTTTGGACGAGATGGCGAATTCTTATGTGGAAAGCCGTGCTGATGCGATTGCACGGTCCGATAATTACCGCGCTGGAGATCGTTATAGCTGTTATTTTTTCGCTACAAATACGTTTGATGTTTGAGCCGAGCGCTCTTCGTTCGCAGGTAACCTCACTGATAATTGCAGTCACGCATGATAGATCGGATATTTGCGACCGTTTATTTATTACGCCGTGCGAAACTCAATCACCTGCGGTGGAATTCTTGCCCGCACGAAATCTTTCCTCCTCGATTTTAATAATCCTCCTCTCAATCGATAGTAATAAAATCACTCAAAACTTTAATCTACATAGGAAAATTAATATATTAATCTTTTTTTGATATCAAAGAGGCACACGTGCATATTTGAGCAGAGAAATCTACACGTTAAGAGAAATTTTTCCTACATTTCGTATCGGAAATCCAATAATATTATTTAATTCTGTATTTCTTTAATTTCTTAATTATTTCATTTCTTAGTTATTAATTTTTTATTCACATTAGCAAGCGTAAAATCGTTTTGATAAATGATGAATAATTTCAGTAGTTGTGTTGCGTCCTTGTATTTACATCAAGGGTCTAGATTTATACAGCCGGAACGATATCCTGGCGAAGTTGCCGACCGATGTGCAATGCTGGTACGCACCTAGGAATGCATTCATCGAGGAGTTGATGTCGAGAGTCTCGACGACGCTTCATACGAGTAGTAAGATCACGCACAGGTTCGCGAAAGAAAGCAATGGAATGAAACACTGCACGTTCCTTTCAGTTCGAGCAGCCGACAGCGAGATCAGTCTCGTACGTTCGCGTTACACGAGGAATGACACCTCCAAGGTGTTGTGGGCGATATTCGAAGTCGACGAGCACGCGTCGGGCAGGCCGGAAACTCTGAAATATAAGATACGTTCGTCGGAAATCGGCGAGAGCCGAATGATTATGATGCACGAGGAAGAGCCCGCCCGCGAAGGTATTTTTCACGAGTCCTACGCGTGAAAAAGTGCGTGAGCAATAATTTCAGCAAACTTTACGCACGATGCCTCGTGCTTGTGCCTTTTCTACGCTGCTACCGTCTCTGTTCCCCTACTCCCACTTGCTTGGTTTAATTATCATTGTTGTATTATGCGCGGAAAACAACACATATATCTTTGAAAACAAGCAGCATTGAAAGAAAATGGCGATGAATTACTCATATACTCGTGTTTATATATCGCCGAAGACCCGTATATGCTGAGCGGTTTTATGGCGCTGCAACTCGCGATTGAGAGAACCTTCGTGGAGATGTGGACCGATCTGACGTTACCGGAAATCGCCGATGACGTAAATGATCAAAAAATTAAAATTTCCTCACCTGTTCCTTTTATTTCTTTTACTCTTACTTTTGTTCTAATTCTAATTCTGTTCTAGTTCTAATTGCATTCTATTTGCATTCTATCTTGTCTACTTGTATAGACATTTTTTTGCTACTTAGATTTTCTCTCTCTCTCTCTCTCTCTCTCTTTCTCTCTCTCTCTCTCTCTCTCTCTCTCTCTCTCTACATATAAATATTAAACACCTATCCGCATTTCTCGATAAGAAAAATATCGCGCTTGAACCATTTGCATTTCAAAGTGGAGCTGTTGAAACAAGAAATAACAACAAAAAACGCGGATATTGATTGAGCGCGATTGATAATAATGGGCTTCTTTTTAGCTGACTGTCGGACGGTTTCCTTTCTGCAAGATAGACTTTTTGATCTTGCCGTCGGTCATTCGACCCAACATAAGCGTAATTTATTATATGATGGTAGCCGCTTTTCTCCTGCTGCCAACGACGACATTACGGAAGGCCCTTCACGATAAAGAAACTGGATTCAAAGTAAGCGTTCTCTTCCCCTCGTCGTCGGTATCATTATTCGCCGGTGTGATGGCGATCACGATATCCCTGCGATTATCTCGCGTCCTTTCACGATATTAAACTGGTCGTTTCGACGAAGCCAGGCGATTTCCTTGTATAGCAGCGACGCTCGTTGACACGTTGACTGCCGAATGCGAGTCATCTCGCAGCCGAAGTGCGAGAATAATCTTCTCGAGACAATAATTATTTGATATAATTTCGACCAGATCGACCAGAAGATAATTTATCTTTTTCGCGAATACCGACATACATATGTATGCATTCAGATACGTTCAATTTTTCCAAATATCATTTTGGCAGTCAACGCGTTAAAAAGGGAATTACATGCGGAGCGAGTCGTTTTCAAAGCTATTTTCGCGAATTTTTTTGACAGAAACGGTAAGATCAATGAACTTGAAATTTTCACAGTGTATTCATTAATGTTCAAAGTATAAAATAAATTTTATTGAATCACAAGAACCGGTTTAATTTGTAATTATAAATAAAAATATAGTCATCCGTTTGCGAACTCTATGTTTGTCGTCGATATAATTCCAGGCCTTTCTCTCTCTCTCTCTCTCTCTCTCTCTCTCTCTCTCTCTCTCTCTCTCTCTCTCTCTCTCTCTCTCTCTCTCCCTCACTACTCTGAAACCAAAAACTGAGAAAGATTTTTAAAATATACGATTGCCGTTATAGCCCGTACCAAAATGAGGGCAATGATGTAAGTTTGGAAAAATAACGACTGTACAAAAAAGAGTATCGAAAATGAAACATTTTTCAACTTGTAATCATGTTTGTCAAAAAAACGGTAATAGAAAATAGAAAAATGATAATAGAATAAAATATAACTGTGTGTTCGAGGTAGGGGCGAAAACTACATGTCTACCTTATATTGTGTAAAAATTTCAAGTTATTTAGTTTGGTAATTTTTGCATAATCGTGTCGACAATTTAAGAAAATGGTGTTTCCAGATAAACGCGTTTAAAATTTTACGTGTACTTTCCGTATAGATAGTAACAAATTTATTTTATACTTTGAACATTAATGAATACACTGTGAAAATTTCAAGTCCATTGATCTTACCGCTTCTGTAAAAAAAATTCGCAAAAACAGCTTCGGAAACGACCTGCTCCGCATGTAATTTCCCCCTTAATCCAAAATTGTTCGACGAGAGACAGACGCGTCGCGCGTTTCCTTCAGGGTCTCATGAGGCTGACGAACATGTCCTTCGCGATGTTGTACGTCGGATGGCTCAATTACCTCATGATCACCTTGCTACCCGTGACGATCGTGTGCACGATCCTGCTGTCGCCTGTATTTGTGACTGCGAACGCGCTGGTCATCGCGGTCTTCCTTGCGATGTACAACGTCATCACGGCGCTCTTCATGTTCACCATCGGCACATTCTTCAATCGCTGTGAGTCTTTCAGAGTCGTAGAACAAAAAATAAAAAAGGAGCGCGCTGTTGTACCAGCAGCAGAATTTATCGGCAGCGCCACGAATCGGAGCAAATCTGCTCGATTCAATAGCAGTATTACTAAACCAACGTATCACAGTTCATTTTAATAACCCGAGTATCAGCTTCGATAACACTGCCATCGGATCGAGATGATTCACTTCGATTGTTACTCCGAAATCCTGCCGATGCGACAGCGTCTTTTGAGCTCAATCTCAATAGTCCCGCGCCGCTTTTCCCGCAGCCACGAAGGCTTTGCTCACGTCGATCCTGTTCTGGATCTTCCTGACGCACTTCACCCTCGTCCTCGATCAATCCCTCGCGAGGGCGCCCCACCTGTGGAGGATCGGTTCGTTGATCCTGCCGCACAGCGGCTTGCTGTATGGACTGGTAGCCTTCACATCGCGCACGAGTCCGGGTGAGAACGCGCTCGCGCGACGTACACATTAAAATAAAGGAATCGCGCGATACTTGGAGCGAGACGAATGATAATGAAACGAGGAAGTCGGAGCGCGGGGTTGTATAAGAGGGGTTATTTACGTGAACAAGTTGGAACTGGTTTGCCTAAAGCACAAAACGCAAGCCACGAATGACTTCCGCTTTTTCTCTTTTTAGCTTGATTTTCTTGCAACTTGTTGCTACACGCGTCTTGTACAGGTAGATCGGAGAAAATCATTTCTCCGAGCGAAAGCTGATCGTACTCGTGAAATTATCCGTTTAAAAGTGATTGCTCTCGCAAACAGGACATTAACCTCGCTGCTTTTGTACGCGATGTCGACAGTTCGCTTAAATACTGTCAAATCGAGTGTACGGTGCCCATTTGTCGCCACTTATACGCACGTGCGTAACCGTGAAATTTACCAATCCAGGTACTAAATTTCAAGTATGAAATTTGATTTAGCGCGTAACTAGTAAAATCTAACACAATTTTGTCGTTACTGTCGACATATGGAATGCCAAAGTTCTCGAGAAGCCACCCGGTTTGGCATTTGGAGTGCGAAGGGTCAATCGCGTTGTAAAACGCAACAGTGCTTGATAAGACGCGTGATAAACTTTCGAGAAAACTTGGCGCCTTTGTATCGCCAGGCGATTACGGAAACGAGGATTTGAGAAATATCCTGGGGAAAGTGAGACCGCGCGATCACGTCGCCCCCACCTCGTATTTGTGGCCGCGATGGCTCTCCGAACTGATAACGCTTCGTGATACCTACGATATCGTACATGCGAAAGAAAAGATCTCCGTCGGAGCGATCCTGCTCGCGTGGATCCTGCACATTGTCTTCTGGTACCTAGCGGCGGTGTACTTGGACAACGTGAACCCCGGAAAATTCGGTAGCGCGAAGCCTTGGTATTATCTGTGCAAGGTAAATGGCGAAGCCTCGCGGCCAACTGCAAATTTGATAGCGAAATCTCGTCAGATCCTGCCGTTCGTTCTTGTAGAAGCCGACTCGCGATGAGGAAGAATTGAGGTACCGGGGATCGACCAATTGGTCAACGGTCGAGCATGTTCCGTCGTATATAACGGTATCGCCAATTAAAATTAGTTAAACTTTTAAAATTAGTCTGCGCCGTCTGTCCATAATAATCGAGTTCTCGGGCAATGCAAATTAGCTTGATTAATCCCAGGTTATTAACACGCTGATATTATTTCTCAGTGTTTCACTTTTTTCAAGCTTGTTGCCTTTCAGACGCGTAAAATATTAAGATTGACACTGAGAGCCTGATTAGTTGTAACAATATTGGACTCGCTTCAGAGGTCAGAAAACATCGAATTTGCGCTCTATAAACCATCCCACTTTGTTCTCTCAAATCGCGGATTATTAACTAGCAACTTGATATAAGAAAGTTAACTAGCAACTTAATGTAAGAAAAAGTAAATTTTGACGAGTAGCTGCGGGAAGCGGTGAGGTTCAACACAAGCGATGAACACTTACGAGTATTTCTAGCGTGTATCTGAAAATGCTTTGGCGCGAGATCTTACGTTAAATTTATTTACATACGTATGGGGGAAAAAGCAGCCCTCCATTCAAGTGAGATGCGTCAGCAGGAGATTCGGCAGAATCGACAATCGCGTTACCGCCGTGGACGACGTGACGATCGATTTCTACCGTCACGAGTTCAGTGTCATTCTCGGTCATAACGGCGCCGGCAAGAGCTGTTTATTAAAGATGATTATAGGTATGACGCGACGCTTTATCGTTAGTTGACGTGTGCGTGTATCGAAACGGCTTAATCGCGATCGGAGGACGTGCCTCGCAGGAATGTACAAGCCGACTCACGGTCGCGTCTACTTGGAGGGAAGGGACGAGAACGAAGGCACCGTGGATCCGATCGGTTATTGTCCGCAGGAGAACATATTGGTGGATTATTTGACGACGGTGCAACACCTTTATATGTTCGGCATGGTAAATATCGTGGTAGCACTGCGTGGTATCGCACCCAACACTCGACCCCAACACCTGACGGTAACAGCCACGAGTCCACGCGTATCACTTATCCGCACGTCCATTGATTATCCTGGATTTTCTCGAGCCTTCGACCGAAACGAGTTTTTGGCGCTAATAATTACATTAGCCTACCCGCTAGCGCGGGTAGGCACGCCAAACGTTAACCACCTCACGAGAAAATGCTGAAAATAAGCGCTACGTCGACGTGGGTGAAAGAACTGATCCATACACACGCCTTTGATCATTGCAATTTATAATTAGAAAGTGAATTCTCGCCGAGCTATTCGGTGAGCTTTAGCACAACTGGACCATATTCCCGTAATTCCACGGAGAATGTTTGTGACGTAACAGAGACTAGCGCTTAAATTACGTAATAACGTGTAATATATCAATAATATCATATTAATAATATATTATTACACATCACATATCGTCACAATAATCGCGGCGGAAAATATCGTAAAAATTCAATTCTTCGTCGAAATTTTAAAGATACATTGGAATTTCACTTGACAGTTTAATCGTCATTTCACAGATGAAAGGGATGACTTACGAGGATGCTTATAGAGAATCGTTAAAACTACTGAAGCAACTCAATTTAGAATCTGTTAAAGACTCGAAGGTAAAAAATTGCTTCTTCAGCGCGCAAAGGAGGATTTGCTTAGCGATGGCGCTTATCGGTAACACTAAGGTACATTGCGTGATCCGAAGGAACGGAAAAAGATTAATACGACAAAGTTTAAAAAAAAGAGAAAAAATTGAGAGTATACGAAATTAACGGTGACGGGTAAGCCGAGCGAGTTAAACGATCAAATTGTACATTCCGGCAGATCCTAGTCCTCGATGAGCCCACATACGGAATCGATCTCGGGCACAGAAGGCAAATGTGGGACTTACTTTCAGTGAGTATTTTCTTCGGAAGAAACCGCTTTCATTAACCGCGCAAGACATTAAACGCTCACGATAGGAATCTCTTCGCGAATAACGCGCAGTGACTATCCGCAGGATATCAAAAGAAAGAAAACGATATTAATGGCAACGAATTCCATGGAAGCCGCCGACCTCCTCGCGGATAGGATCGCGATTATCGTGAATGGAAGGATAGAGTGTTACGGCTCGAAGATGTATTTGAATCGTCGATACGGTTAGAGACTTTGAACCGCGCTCATATTTAGCCGTAATAAATTCGATCGAACAAACCCGCGATTTTTTGTTGGAACGATGAAAGTTTAAAAGAAAAGCATTAGAACAATTTATCTTAATTCGAATTAAACAGATTTAAATTAATTTCTCCCTCGTTAATTAAGCGAGATCGATTGATTAATCCTTCGGTATCAGGAATTGGTTACGTTTTGAGCTTGCTGATGCAAGAAGGTGCCGACACGGAGCGACTTCATGAGGAAGTACAAAATTTCTCGCCTGATCCGATCGCTCTGCGAAGCGTGATGGGTCTCGTAGTGCGATTCGACGTACCGCGGAACAGTCGTTTCACCAAATTGCTCCAACATTTGGAATCCAAAAAAGAGGAGCTGGGCATCGTGTCGATTACGTTGAGCATCGCGAGCATCGAGGGTCAATTACTCAGGTGTAGCCAAATGAACATTAATGAGGCACAATATCTCATTATAATTAATCTCGTTTATTTTCGTTTGCATCGAACGCAACGTTGTTCTCAGCGCGACAAGATTGTCGGACTAGCGAAAACATATTCTTCTTAGGAGCAAAATTAAAATCAAATGATAACAATTTCCAATAATACAAAGACAAATATCAGAAAGTAGGAAAGTAGAAGTTCGACATCGCGACGCTGATTTATATCCTATATTCAGGATAGGTTTATCGAGTCACTTCAAGGAACGCAGCGTGGAGCTACCCGACGCCAAGTACGAGCTTCTCGTGCAAAAGAGACGGCGAGACTTGTTACGAAAATGTAATGTAAATCTTATACAAATCGAACTAAAGGATCCACATCAGATATCCGAATAAATCGAACCAAAGTTTTATCGTTAGCCAAAACATGGGAGCGTTTGACCGGGAAAACTCTGCGGCGGCAGCAAGTTCTCGCGATGTTCTACAAGAAACTGTTGCACGTCGCTTCATCTTGGAAAATATACGCGTACTCGGTGAGCTTTTTTCTTGAGAAAAGGAAACTAGAAAATAAGTCCCGACAATTACTCGGATGATCAAAAAAAAGAACAATGATTCTAGATAATACTGGCGATCGTTACCCTGACTCTAACCACCATGATTAGCGAGTTGAGCAGTTTCGTGCTCTTCGACATGACGTAAGTCTTTTCGGAGAAAGAAAAAGTAACGATCGTTTCTTCCGTCGACACAGATGTTAACTTTCGCGATCATTAATTTATGGCACGTCCATTGAAGCCGTGTGTGATTACATCAATGTCAAGTACTCGATCAATGTCAACATTGAATAATTATCCCTCAGCGATATCATCGAGACGTTGATGTCATTTTTGATAAAATTTTACGTTAATCCTATAAATTTCGTCAGAGAGTTGAAGGACCGATGTGAGAGTTGGCCCTTCAAGTTTAACGAAATTTGCAGGATTAGCGCGGAAAGGAAATTTCACCCGGGACACTGCGCGCCAATGCACGGAGGGAAGCAAAATTATGTATCGCGCAAATTATTCTCCCTTCTACTTTCCCTCTAATTCTTACCTGTGCAGTTATATAAATCCCGAAGTAACGCGATTATCCTGTTGTTCTTGCAGCGAGAGGACTATGAATCTGACGCATTACGTACACATCAACGATCTTCATGTTCTTTATTACGCGGCCGCCGAGAAATCCGCGAGAGACTTCCTCGTCGCGTTGTACACTACCGGTCAGTCGTACAGCGACAGACATAATTATCACATTTCCAAAAACATCTCCGCCATGGACCTGATGATTCACCCCGACTTGCAGTCGATAGAGGTAACGTAGAGAATACCATAGGAACTCTAACGCCAGGTCCACACCCTTAACCCTAGAACACGCACGTAAAAAAAAAACAGTCAGTCAACACAGACGTGGGTCTCAGGGATCCAAGCCAATTTTGAATTGCTATAACTTTCTTATTTTTCAATGGATTTAAACATTTCGAAAAAGAATATGTTCCTTGAAATGTCTACTTTCATTCTGTATGATGCGAAATGCATTCTAAATAAATACAAAATTATTATGAATAAAACCTCATTCGACGCAGTTTCGCAAGAAATCGGAGAAAGGGCATTTCTTTCATGATTTCTTTTTTTTTTTTTAATGAAAACGTAACTAAAAGTAACCTTGAACCACGTTTTCGGAAACTAGAAGAGTTGAATTTTGAGGGGAAAAATAGGGTGTTGTTTTTCAAAAAGTATAATTATTCTGAAGAATGAAAATCGACAATTTTTGAAGTCTGTCCTTTCGATCATTTTTATAATTTTCGCTGATATTGGAAAGTCTAGGTAAATATAACAATAAATAGACATATGTATTATCTGAGTGAAATACGTAGGCAGTCTGAAAAGTTCTCGGCCTAACAATGAAAGAAAATTTTTTTGCCGTGAAATCCGTTTTATTTTTCAATATAATCTCCTGAAACTTCAATACATTTATTCCAACGTTTTTCCAATAATTCAATATCATTATTAAAGTTGAATTTTGCCATTGTCAAAACACTCGTGTGAACATGTGCATTGTCTTTATGGAAAACGATTCTTTTCTTCTTTAAAGCAGGTCTTTTCTCACGAATTTTTGCATCCAATAGATCCAAAAGGTTACAATTTCAGAGTTAATCGTTTTATCTTTCTGAAGATAATCGATCAACAAAACACCTTTGTAATCCCAAAAAACTGTTGCCATAACCTTTCCTGCTGATGGAACCGTCTTTGCCTTCTTTGGTGCACGTCCTTCACCGGCTTTAATCCATTGTTTCGACTTCTTCTTTTCGCTCTGGTGTGGATAGTGGTGGATCCAAGTTTCATCAACAGTTGTGCAACGACGCTTGAAATCCATTTTATTTTGCTTAAAACGATCCAAACACGCTTGAGAAATACGCATTCGGATACGTTTTTAGTCAATTGTTGGCAAATGCGGCACCCATCTTACACAAAGCTATTTCATGTGTAATTCTTCATGCAAAATATTTCCAATTCGTTCTTCTGAGATGCCTATGGCCTCAGCTATTTCACGCATTTTCATTCACCGATCGTCTAACACCATGTGTTAGACGATCGGTCTTGTTGAATGTTTTGTGGTGTTGTAGCAGTTTTTGCCGACAACCTTCGCGTGGATCATCTTCGAGGCTTGTACGACCAGATTTAAAAAGAGCAGCCCATTTTTTCACAGTGGAAAGTGAAGGTGATGCATCCTTATACACTTTTAACAATTTCGGATGAATTTCTGTTGGTGTTAAACCATCCAAAACAAAGAATTTAATCACTGCACGATATTCAATTTTTTCCATTTTAAAAAAGACAATGACACGTCAATATTAAACTGGTGCTACTACTCGAATGACTCGACAGATCGAAATAAAATTTTACACGGGTTTATATCAGAGATCAGCCACTTTCCAATACAATTATAGTTTGACAGTTTCTAATGCCATCTATGTGTCAGGCCGAGAACTTTTCAGACTGCCCTCGTAAGTAAATTGCCGTTGGAAAAAACGCTTCTTTCGTGAACAAAATCCACGTTATTCACTAAAAACAAACTGAATATTCACATAAACATTCTCAAAAGGTCACGTTCCAAATGGCGATTCCAAGCAATATTGTGTTTAATAATAAGAAAATATACTTACGAACTCGAAATTCAGCACCAAAGAAAATATTCACTTTAGCACTGGTTGCACAAAATGTTCGGGTTTAACGCACGTGGATCTGGGAGACCCGTTTCGAAAATTGAAATGTTTATGCATCAGCTGCTTTGACACGACTGACACAGACAACTGTGGGGGTGGGGGACAAGTGTGATGCCTAAACATTCCCCCCTCTCAATTCCAGACCTCAGATAACGCCAGATAAGAAATTACAGGCTGGCAAAATCGGCGATGACGTGCATGTTCTAACGTTAAGGGTTAAAACGCAAGCAATTAGCCAACCATAGTCGATTATTCTTCTTCTTATCACTCTACGCCAGAGCTGGCCACGATCTGCACATTTCGGGCGAAATTCAGTAGGTGACGCCTACCGTCCCCCTCGCACCGCTCCGCGCTCAGCGGCCTGGGCGACGATCGCGGTGCACTCAGGCCCGTCGCTGTATAAGAAATCAGCTGGGGCGTCACCACTCACACTGAGAGAAAAGTATATGATATTTAGAACTATAATGACATAGTAACTAAATTATAGTCCGAAATATCATATTTATAATAAATATTACGATAATATCGGTAATAATTATGATATAAACATAGTATGACCAACCATATAATATTTTTACTAAGAATTATAGTAAGTTAAATTAAAATTATTGTATGGATGCAAATATAAAATGGTAGGTAAAAGTAACCCTTGTATATAGTCAATATTATCAGAATATTTGCTAAATGATGACAGATGTAACTGTATGAATATTAAATCTCACTATATTTGTGAATGAGAAATTACCATATATGTGGTAAAAGTAACTAAACAATTATTTAAGACAATCATTGACTATATATTTGTGTTTATTCTACTATATTTTGCAGGTTTCCACGAACTATGAAAATATAATTGACGCCAAAATGAACTATAAAATATAGTGAGATTATAGTTGATTCAACTATATTTTTCTATCAGTGCACCTACTGAATTTCGACCGAAATGTGCAGATCGTGGCCAGCTCTGCTCTACGCGAGTAAGCGACTGTGACTGGCCAATTTCTTACCGCTGGGCTTACCCAAGATAAATCTTACGCCGAGCCTCGACGAACGTTTCGCTTCAGTAGTTCAGGGATCGTTACGTCATGTCCGTCGACGTGCATTCAAACGGAAGCGTTCGACTCATGTACTCGCCCATCGCGGTACACAGCGGGCCGATCGCGTTAAATCTCCTGCACAATGCGCTGCTGCGTTATCACACCCGATCGGAGGATCACGCGATCGAACTGACGAGTCGGCCACTGGTGAACCCGGGACAGGTAATCACCCCCTGCCGTTAATTGAGCAACGAAACTGCCGACGGCGACGGTACGTTACATCGCCGAGCAATTTCACTGAGCCGCTTTCAATCAAATTGACCTTGCGAGCGCTAGGCTATTTTCAAGAAAACTTTCAAGACACCATCTTCACAGTGGCAGCATCTGCTGGTCGGTCCGCGGAGCGTAAGAAACTGGGAGAACGCCGTAATAGCGATAACCCTGTTCCTCCTGCTACCCTCCATCGACATGGGTATACGAGAGCTGAACACCCTCTCGAAAATGATGCAGACTAACGCGGTCGGCATGTCCACTCGGATCTATTGGATCCCGACGTACATTGTCGACTTCCTCTTGTACTCGTTGTCCATAATAGCCCTCGCGATCGCGACTTTAGTCGCTTACCAGCGCACGTTGCGCTTCTCGGTCGTGGAGGTCGGTAAGAACCATCGGATCGATTAACATCTCAAATATCCTTGCAATTCTTTTCGCGATTTAGAGGAGCAGCCAAAACGCATTCACGTTTCAAAACGGCTCGTGAGTCAAATTCATATTTTGATAAAAGCAGCCTGCGAGAACGATAAAATGATGATAAAAACCGATCTGCTCTTTTTCTTTACAACAGGCGCTAATATTCCATTTCGATATTTATTCCTAATGTGTATTTCTAATGCGTTTTTCGAATACGTTCAACTTACGTCGCAGAAAGACTGCGAAATATTCTTCACTCGCGAAAATTTTACGTAACACAGTAAACGCGCACGATCGAACCGTGAATCGCCGATTAAGGCTCGGAACTGGAGGGTCAGATTGCTGAAAAATCGTGCTTGTTTTTGTGACGAACTGAATAAATGTGCAAGAATGAGAATTTTTGATATATTTATATAACATATGAAGAGTAGACAAATTTTGTTTATTAACAAATATTCATATAAATATACGTCCACTTAAATTTTAAATGCGTTTGTCTCGAAATTTTATTGTTCAACTTTTTGCAGTGATTTCTCCGAAACTGAGCTTCGTATCGATTTGAAATTTTAAAGCAATAATATTTGTTCATCTGGCTCTCAGGTGAACCATGGACAACTCCGTCAAAATATTTCATTTCGAGATATTAATTTTTTTATTGTAAAAGAACTAAAAAATTTGAATTTTTTCCTAATAATAGCTGCCATTTTGTTAATTTTGTTCGATTCTTTTTTTTTTTATAGTGCTTCACCGGATAATGATAAGCCTCCTTGAGATTTCTAGCTAAAATTCGCTCTGATCGGACCACCGAGAGCCGAGATATTACTGTAAAAACGACAACTTAAAAAAAATAAGGAGAGTATATTTCAGCTACATATATCGTATATTTATATGAGTACTTGTTAATAGACAAAATTTTTCTACTCTTCACATGTTGTATAAATATACCTAAAATTTTCATTTCTGCACATTTATTCAGTTCATCGCAAAATATTGTGAAAAACAAGCATGATTTTTCAGCAATCTGACCCTCCCCTTAATGGATGTTTCCAGTCCAGGTGCTGCTGATATTCTTGTGTTACGGAAGCTGCGCCATTCCGCTGGGTTACTGCATACAGCTTTTCACGCGTAAGCCGGAAAACGTGTATCTAACGGTGATAATTATCAACGTCATAGTGGGTTAGTAACTCGATCAGCTCGGTAACCTCGCGAGTTACTCGTTAGAGCAAGGTTTGGCGTCGAGCCGATTAAAATTGCTAGGAGATTTGAAAAATACACCTGAAGCGTCGCTGAATCTTTTTGTTTTCATTAGATTGACATGAGGTGCGATCGAGCGGATCGAAGATCGACACACGATCTGAGTGATTCGATCTCGAGCCTCGTGTGTGCGCAAGATTAAAATATAAAACAGCGTATAAAATATCTTTCGCAGTATTATTGGTCAACGGCTCTGTGATATTCCCGCTGGCCTTTCGCGCATTCAGCGGCGGCGGAAGATACATTCTCGAAGCGCTCGTACACGCGTTTCCGCCGTACGTGTTGGCTTGCGCCCTGAGCAATTACATCATGCTGAATCTGTACAACAGACAGTGCAGTTATTACAATACCTGCGACACGGAATTTTACATCGAGGATCCTTGCTGCCGTGAGTTCGATCGCAGAGACGAACGTGGTGACGGACGAATCGGTTCGCACGCTAAATAACTTCGACGTCTGTTGGAATTTTCAGAGAACTGCAAAGCCGAGCACTGTTACAAGCAGCTGAACGTAATGCTGATCAAGCAATCCGGTGCTGAATATCATCACTCGGTTGTGGACGATGTACTCTTAATGATATCCCAAATGTTTGCCTTTCATATATTGCTGCAGATTTTCGAGCAGAAAAATCGCAGAAAATGGAACATTTATTCTGTGTCTCCTGCGACGGACGATAACGTCGTAGAGCCGGAAGTCGCGGAGGAGAAGAGGCGCGTTGAAGAATACATGAAACGTAAAATATGTATATAATAGGAAGGAAGGAGAAAATTCTTTAACTTAATGCGATGTCACACGATAAGCGAAACGGTTTGTTCTCGACAGAAGCATTTTATTCCATTTCTTCTTTCATTTCTCTCCCTTCTGTTTAGAGTTTGAAGAGACAAAATCACTCCCGCCGCAAATCGCGCTCGTTGTCCAGAATTTAAAAAAGGAGTATGCGGAGAGACCGGTGGTTCGAGGAGTTAATTTCTGTGTAAGCGGAATCGCCGAAAATTCGGCAGAAACATTTTACCGTGTAAACAGAAATATTTGCATTCAGATTCACAAGCAAGAGTGCTTCGGCTTGTTGGGATTTAACGGAGCTGGAAAGTCGACGATATACAAAATGCTGACGGATCAAACGAAAATGTCGGCCGGAAAAATGGTGATGTACGGTTACGAATTAACGAAAAATCGCGAGATGGTGAGTCGCTATAACGTGTTATATAGTAACATTAGTAACATGTCGCTATATCCGACTTGAAGTTTTTTGGTCTTATATTAATCCTATACAAATTCCGTCAATGAGGAAAATCTCGAGATACTATACTGTACAGACTCTTGTCCTTTTTTTCATGTTCTTAGAAACAGGAATGGTGAAATCATATTACTGTGCCAACATATTCCACGTGTTTTATTTTATTTTTCGTTTCTAACGAGAAATATTTAATTTATATCCAAGCTTAATTTTTTTTTCTAAATTATGTTAGCCATAATTGTTGGTACTGGGGGCATCCAAATGTTCTCACGCGAGAAAATACTTTCAAGTTTATAGGTATGATAGGGTATTGTCCACAAACCGAGGGACTGAGTGACTTTATGACGGGAAGACAATATTTGCAACTTCACGCCGCACTTCGCGGTGTTCCGTACAAACATATCAATGACGAAGTGAACAAGTGGCTGGATGTCTTAGGTCACGTAACTCGGAAACTAATTAGAAGCCTTGAACTTTTTCCCTTCATTTTCTACAAACAAATAACTAACTACTATAGTAGATTATTTAAATAAGATTGCACTGAAATTAAATCAGCAGATATGTTGGACTTTGAGAATTTAATAATCGCAAATTGCCCGTGGGGAATTCAAAGAAAGATCTGCATCTTGCAAAGTCTGATTGGCAACTTGCCAATGGTGTTGATGGACGAACCTTCCGCTGGAGTCGATATAATGACTAAGCACGCTCTTTGCGAAATCTTGCAACAAGTACGAGAAATGGGGAGAACCGTACTGATTACTACGCACAGGTTCAGTTCAAAAAGCTTGATGAACAAAACTTATGTGTCAGAATTGATTCCTTAGAAATCTCTTTTATGAATCTCAGTATGGGAGAAGCGGAAGCAATATGCCTGCGCGTTGGAATTTTGGTCAGTGGCCAGTTTACCGCGATTGGATCTTGCGAGAATCTAAAGGCGAAACACGGTCGCAATTTTATATTGAGCATCAAAGTCATACCAGGCTTTCAACTTGAAAACCTGGAGAAAATCAAGAAAATCATCAACGAGGCTTTTCCAACTATAAGGTTCAAAGATAGCTACTTGGTAAATTGGATATAATTTTTCAGCAAGCCTTTTTACAGATATAAGTAAAATATTTATATTTCTTTACACATACAAACACACATACGCTAAAATGTGCAGTATTAAGAGAAAACATATACAAGGTGTAACATCAATATACAGGTCAGTGTGACCTTCCCTCATTCGGACGGTAATACAGAGATTGCCGAAGAAATCGTTCGTTGATAATGATACTTACAATGCTCCCAGTTATGAGGGAAATCTGCAGGAAATAACCGCTAGGATATACGCCTTATGAAAGGATGCCACACACTCAAGGTTATTTCTTATAATTCTATGCACTCTCGTGTGACACATCCGCAAATTATTGGCAATGGCAAATGTGCTTGTATGAAGATTATTAATGATCTGACGAGAGCAACGAGTGATTTCTTCAGCAACCTCTGCATTATCATCCGAATGGGACAAGATAATCCGTCATATTAACCTGTATGTTAATGTTACATCCCATTCAAAACAAATCGAACGCATTTAAAGATAGCACCATATCCGGGAAATATAAAATAGATTTAATTAACATTTTATTAATATGGGATATTATAGTTTATTTATAAAAAAAATTATATCTATGAAATATTACAGGATATTAAAGTTAAAGTTAAAGATTAATTGTAATTAAATTACAAGAGAAACAGATCTGTTTTTATCCGACTTTTTACAGGGTGTTCTTAAATATGAACTCGAAAGTGACATTTTGTACAGTTACGTGTTCGACAAACTGGGAAAGTTGAAACAGAGATACGTGTGGATAACGGACTTTTCGATCGGTCAGCCGTCCATGGATGAGGTATTGTTAAATTTTGTAACCGAGCAGGAAGAACCGCCCGAGAAATTAACACTTTATAGACGTATCTGTTCCCGGATTGCGCGTGTTATTCGAAAAGCTTAAATAAAAATATATGGTATTGTCTCTTTCGGATATACAATATTATTTCACTTATTAAACATACATGAAAATCTCTTGCGTTCTCTAAAACGCGTATTTCTTTTATTAATTAAATCTTAATGATTACAAATTCATTGAGCCACATATCCCCTTCGCGATTATTTTTCTTAAGTAAACATTCTACTATTATATTATTTTTATATCATTTCTATATTATTATCATATTATTATTTACTACATTCTTCCGTTTTAATTTCTGATTCACTAATATGACGACAAATTTCACTGATACGACTAGCATGAAAGAACTTCCGTTTGTCGGGTAATTTCTTCGAGGTAGGAGTGCTGTTGCTCAAGTTCATCTGCTCTTTTTGAATCTGTTTGTTTGTATCTAAAATCGCACAGTTCTCTTTGTCTCTTTTATCTTCTCGTGTAATTGTTTTTCTTCGTTTTCGTGCTGCTCGCGGATCTCGTGAGTCCTCATGACCCGAGTCGTTGGATTTTTCAAGCAGTTTTCGATTCCGTACAGAAACCTTTTTCTTGCCGTTATTAACGTCTGTTTGATGTTTCTTCGATTTCTTACGGCGCTGAATGCGACTCGCTGCGCTCGTAACTTTCGCTTCAGACTTATTGTTCTCATCCGTAACGTACCGATCGCTCCTCTTTTCTACGTTCAAGACTTCTTTCTCAAACTGCTTCGAGTCGTCTGACGGCTCTTTTGCATCAAATAATGTCTTTCTTCTTGTAAATTGTTCTTGCTTACATAAATCGATTTTCTTACTGTCCATAAAATCCCGCTTTTTATTCTCTTTGACGTCACTATTTTTGCGCTCTTCACCTTCGACGCGAAGTGAACTTTCCATCTCATTATCATGCGCAGCGCGCATGATCTCTTTATCTTGTTCTTTATTCTTGCTCGCTTTTTGCTTTTTGTTGCCTCGGTGGAGATAAGTAGACAAGAATCCTGTGGCTTCGAATGACTCGTCGGAGATCTCTTTCACGTCCGACGTGATCGGCTCCCAAAGAAATTCAGTTTGTGATTCATTAACCCACTTGAATGCGGAACTCAGGTCGTTTTTCAAAAAAGGCTTAAAATGCTTGTTCAATCTTTTGAGCAGACTCGCCGACGGTTCTTTGCTATCGTCTGTATCCAAGAGCAGTTTGTAGGGTCTCACTTCGGCAGAATTATAACACAAGTACAATATAACGTTACAAATCGCATCGTTCTCGATGTCTTTCACTCCTGACATTACCAGCTCGATCTGACTGATTCCGACGATCTGAGACACGCGAGCGTTTTTAACGTCGGCGAGAAAATTCTAAAAAATAAAAGCAGAATTTTGTAATTTATAGTTTATCAAGAAACGAACAAAATGTCGTGGTAAATATTCAATTAGCCAATCAATTTTAATTTAGCATCAGATTGCTCATTTACCAATTTATTTATTCATATATTTATAGAAGTTTATTTATTTATAGAAGAATCTCTTTTCACATACTTATGAGAGAAACGAGATTTTATGTAGAGATTTTTTGAAGGTTGATAAAATATATACAAAATATGTATAAAAAATGTATAAGATATGTAGAAAAGTCACATAAATCAAACCAGACTAGCGCGAATCTGAGTTATGCGAATTGTCGCCAATAGATATCGATTGATCTACATTCGCGCGATACGCGTACGAAACGTACAAAAGGAACAAGAAAACAATAAACATTTCGCGAACGCTTAATATCCGCGATTCGTGCGATTTCAGTCGCATTTTCAGTCAATTACCCGCAGTTCCTCCAGCTGTTTCGCGCGACAGATGTAGCAGTCCACGTGATGCTTGCAGCTCTTCAAGAACTGCCTCACGTTATTCAGATCTTCGATCGGATGCCGCGATAATATCCCTTGCACGTCGATGGACATGGGAAGTACCCACTTCCCCAGTTTTCCGCACCCGTGACTGTCCATTAGAATCTCCACCGCGTACGGCTCGGCCCCGGTGACGCTGTCTGCACCGGACACCTCGAAGACGAAGCTACCTTCGCACTTTGTGCACCGTACCCCCGTGAACCGGTACAAATCGTAGCGCAATTTCGTCCGTATGTCCAACACATTGCAACGTGCCGCGGTTTCGCCGTCGCGCGACGCGTCTGTCGGCAATTGCAATTGTCCGAACTTCGGGGTTTCGAGCCTGCTCTCCAACGCGGAGACGTACGTTCTCAGCAGAGCGATCTGGCTCAGCAGCTTTCGTCTCCGCTCGTGATCAGCTAACTCTAAACGATGGGAAGTTTGTCGATGAAATCTCGACCGCTTGAACCGCGATGACCCCCGCGTCTTTGCTCAAATCGCGCATCATCACGTTTAGCCAAAGGAATTTTATGAAACGCGCGACCACGTACTGTCAGCTGTGTAACTTTGCCGTTAAACGTACTTTTTTTTTTTTTTTTTTTTTTCACGGAAAGACAGAACAGACATACTTGCGCTGATGGAATGATCCTTATTCGATTCCACGTCCAAGGGAGGTACAGTTTTCTTTCTTTTAGCCATTGAATAAGCAAACGCGACGGACAAATGGAATATTATTATTCTTGATTTCAATCCGAAAGAGAGAAAGAGAGCCTAAATTGTGCAGCTCTTTCATCCTTTGGACCTAATTCACTTGATGCAATTAGATGTCGCGGAGGCGCACGCTTTATGCAATAAATGTCCACAACAACGACAATATTGAACCAAACGAAAGTATCTTCAACAGTATTCGATACAATGTGGCTATATTTATATCGTCACATTTGATATTTGAAATCAAATCTGTGTCGCGTAATCTCGATAACATTCGTAAGACCCGACAAGATTCGACAAGACTTATTTATATTTCTTCACTGCGCATTTAATCCCCGATACAGTCTGAGTCGCCGCGCAAATGCCGAACTTAACCTAAGGTCAAATAATATCTAACGTTTAATCTGAAGTCACTAATGATATAATTCGCACACAACTTTTTATGAACCGCTCTCTTGCGCGTGCGCGTGTACGTAGTTATTACACACAATTTATTATTATTACATATATTTCTGCCTGCGCCATTTTAACTAGCAAAATCGATCACAGCAGCACACGCGCATCGTGATGAAATGAAAAATTTTTTCTCAATGTTATTACACACGCACACGCGTGGTGTTATCGATTGGGAAAATGTGAAACAAATGTAAATATTTTATGATCAGTGATGAAAATAATCGAGAGAATCGCATTACCGATCACGATTAAAGAAGAAATTCTCCACTCGCCCGAACTATTACCGTGAGCCGGTAAACTCGACATCGAAACGCCCGATGACACTTACCAGTCACCGGTAAAATTGCAATTCTCTTCGGCACACTTTCGCGCTCACCCCTCCATACCTGAAGACACGCTACATTCGTGTGCTAATTCGTATTCAGTCCAAATAAACATTTCCCTCTCGAAACACACCAGATAAACCAGGGCACTTACCGGAGGAAAATACAAACGCAGTGTCCTCGCGATCGACATCAAATTCCGTACACATTCGCAAGTGTCGAAGTGTCCAAGGAAGATCGAGCCGCGCAGTGAATTTTCACGCAAACCACCCTCTCGCGTTTCCGCAGACCGCATTTGACAAATCGGCCGCTCAGACAACGACGTGTTATGACTCGCGCCTTTCAAGCGCGGTGATTAATTGCGACTCAGGAAGCGCGACGCGGGGCTGGGGGGGGGCTCGCGGCGGCGCACTTTTGTTACAAACATTGTGCGAGCAGCATCATGCGACGAACAAGCGCAGCGTCGCGCCACTCCGGCTCGTGTTCTTCTCTTTGCGCGAAGTGAAGGAGATAACGGGCAAAAGTAATACCCGCGACGAGACACGCGCCCATTTCCAACGTAAATACAAACGCTGGCGCATTGTTATCCCGCGAGTGTGTCGAGCCGACGTCGAGCGAGCGAGCAAGCATTATCCGAAGTGCGGGAGCGTGCATTATCAATCGGACCTTTGAACCGCGGGAGAAGCTCCCGTCGTCGAAAAATCCGTCGTCCGCCTGTCCCCCTGCTCGTCCCCCACGCCGTCCCGATTACGATAAAGTCCCCGAGAGACGCGTCGGTTCCGACCACTTAGACAGCCGTGCGTGCACCGTGACGTCAATTATACCGGTCATTAAATCCCGATGCGACTAGAAACCGCATCGGTTCGACGCACCTGACGCGCGGCCTCTAATCGAAGGAAAACAATCGCGGAAGAGGGCGGGCGATTGGGGGGCGGCGGAGGACGGGTGGGGCCGCGATCATGTGCTGTAACGTAACGACACGAGGTCTGACGGAATATGTCTGACAGAGCGACACGGCCTGAGTCGTGGGAGATTGCGGGCGAGAAACCGAATTATCGGAACTCGAACACGGCGAAGTCAGCGAGTTCAGCGGCGGGAAAGTCTCGGCGTCGCGTTCGCGTTGCGATAATACCGCGCGATCGATGTGTATGTGTGTGTATGTGCACATGTGTGCGATTCTTTCCTTTCCTCCTCCCTTTTTCTCCCAGCAGCGGTACGAACGCCACTTTTAATGAGAGCGACGAGAGCGAGAGAGGGAGAGCGTGCGCGGCGCGGTGCGTTCTTCTCGGAAACGATTTACTTGGCCGACTAATTATACGGGGAGACAAACGCGCGCCGATGGAATGTGCGCTCTCGGTCCGAATGTAAAACACTTCCGTCGTATTCATCTGCGTAAGAGCCTTTTTATCGTCGCGGTATCACGCATTATTTATCACGCCTCTCGCCCCTCCCAGTCGCCTCCTCTCCAGACAATATCTATCGCGGTAATTATTCGTTAATTATCGGTATGCGCATTACGGTAAGCGCTGTAAATAAGCCGCTCGCTGTTAGATACGCTGTTAATTTCCGCGCGCACACGCGCGCGTCTCGAGCGCGAGAGAACACTTTGTCTCCTCCCTGGAGGAGGCGAGAAAGGGAGGAGGAAAGTTCACCCGGCTACGCTGCCTATGCCCGATACTAACGGGAACGATAAATCCGTATCGTTAAAGCGCAGCGTGCGACTGCTGCCAACTCGCGAGAGCACACGAATCAGGGGTGTGGTAGTTTCGCCTGAGAGAGGAAGACAGGATGGATGAGAGAAATGCAGGACGCGGGGTCTCATCCGCACGGTGGGCCAGCATTCCAGAAAACTGTCAAAAGATACATTTTTCGACTGTTTCTGGATTTAAACAAATACATGTCATTAATATCATTTAATCATTGAATATCGTTAATTTTATTATGATTATAGAATTATAATTATAATAACAGTAATAATAATTATTATTATAATAATAACTATTATTATTATTATGCTTGCAAGTTTGCTTTTGAATATAATGAGCGATAGTAATCTTCTTAAAGAAATATAATACAGTTTAAGGATAAGAATTTTACATGGCTTAAAGAGATTGTCATAATTCTTGTACTTGTACCAGTTGTTAGTGTGAGTCGTATTCGAAGTGTTCAAAAAATCTGTTGTTTTCATCATATATATATATATATACTTACATACATATATATATATGTGTGTGTGTGTGTGTGTGTGTACGTATCGATAATTTGTCTCACAATTCGTATTTAATATTATGACTTGTCGATAAATAGTCCCAGTGTTCAAATTTCAATATTTTGATTTTTCGGAACATTGCGTATCTACCAACATTGCAATAATTATTTTGTTCTAGCTGTCGTAAAAGCAGGTAAAAGCAGACGATCTTTTCTGGATATTAAAGTACGAAGCATCAGTTACAAAACCGATTAAGTCCAATCGACGAGTCACGACGAGTACATTTTCAAAAATGCTCTGAAAGATAGCATTGATATTTTCGTGCAAGCGAACCAAGTTTTGACGCGTTATTATATGGTAATAAAATTATTTTTTTTTTTTGCAACTGTTTTTTTGCAACAATATAGTCCTGCATCAACCCTATTCTCACCATAAATTTCGACTCTCAATTCCCAGTAGAAGCGGAGATATTAACGGCACAAGTTGGAGAACTTTAACCTTCGATATCTCCTAAACGGCTAGAGATACAGTCTTGTTTTTTTGCAACAATATATTCCTGTATCAATCCTATTCTCACCATAAATTTCGACTCTCAATTCCCAATAGAAGCGGAGATATTAACGGTACAAGTTGGAAAACTTTAACCTTCGATATCTCCTAAACGGCTTGAGAAAATTATTTTTTTATAATTTATTATATACTATTAGAAAGAGAAAGAGTCATAGAATTTCTTTACATAATAACGATTATTATCCATGACTATTTTATAGCTTGTTTCATTCGATAAAAATATCTTTTGTATCAGTTAAACATGACAATCGGTGGCATTTGTTAAAGACGTCAACTTTGTGAATATCTTGCGACCTTAATATTAAATGTCTAAGAGAAAAATCATTTTACATTTCATCAGTTTGACATTAATATTATCAAATAGACATGTATTTGTTCAAATCCAGGAAACAGTCGAAAAATGTATTTTTTGACACTCTTCTGGAATTCTGACCCACTGGAGATCCGTCGCGAAATCGGCGTGTCAATCGCGGAGCGAAGTACGAGACGTGAAGAAATGTAATTTGCTTCTTTTGTTTTTTTTCGTCACAAACAATTCGCGAACATATCGACGAAGCGATCGATGGACGGTCTCGTTGGACACGCGCCGCGGGATCGGCCTGCGAGGACGAAGAGCGTTATCATCGAGCAGCCGCTTCTTCGCCGGTATCTTTCGGGAGCAACGAGCTAATCTACTCTCGTGGAAAAAAAGCGCAACGGTGCCCGCGGCGAGGTTAATTAGCAAAAATCGCAGGGGAATAGATAAGACGCTCCGCTCGCTCTCCGCCCCGCTCTATCACCCCGTCCTGTTCCCTCGCTGGGACCCCTCGTCGATCTTCTTCCTCCTGTTCTAACTCGCCTCGGCTTTCCTCGTCTGCTCGCAGCCGCTTAAATACATTCGATCGCAGGCGGCCGGAGAGGCGCGAGAGAGCGTAGAAGACTATCGAACGCATAAAAGACTTTTCGCGGCGACCAGGCCGGTCGCAATGAAGGCTCAATTTATATGGCGACCCCCGACCTCGCCTTGGTAAATGGTGCACCGCTATTTTCATGTGGACGACGTGGCCACGACGACGTCGGGTGCGCGAACGGCAGCTCAGGAGGAAAAGAAAGATGGAGCGCGACTAACGACCGTTTTTCTCGCGAGTATATTACAATATCGCTGGCCCATCGGAAGATCAGACCGATCAGACAAGCGCGGAGCGCATGAATTGGCAATTTAATTGAGATATTACTGTGATCAAAAAGTATCCGAACTTTATTTCTAAAAATCAAAATTACAATTCGATCATCAAAATTCTTATAGTCTCCATCAAAGTACTTGTAGTCCCCATTGCTTGCATCAACGCTCATATGCCAGCGTTTGATCCTGGAAACATCGCTCATACGCTGCAGACGCGGCCTTCAATTCACGCAGCGATTTTTCTTCGATGTCCTCAATGTCGATTCGAAACGCTGTCCGCGAAGTGGTTTTTTCAGTAGGGGGAACAGGAAAAAGTCGCAGGGGGCCATGTCTGGTGAATACGGTGCTTGCGGAGCGACATTCGTTGAGTCTTTTGTCAGAAATTCACGCACAAGTGTCGAGGTATGCGATGGTGCGTTGTCGTGACGCAAAATCCACGAGTTGTTTTCTCACAATTCCGGTCGTTGCTTAGGGATTGCAAACGTCACATCACGGACCAGTAGTATTTTGCATTGACATTTTGAGCAGTTGGAAGGAATTCCTGGTGCACAACACCGCGATGATCGAAGAAAACCGTGAACGTGACCTTGACTTTTGACTTTTGACAAACGGCGAGCTCTCCTCGGTCTTGCTTCATTGTTCAAACGCCATTCCGATGATTGTTGCTTTGTTTCGACGTCGTATTGGTAAACCCATGTTTCATC